GACGACCCCAAAAGAACGTAGTATTAATCAACCCGGAAAGGGATCGTAACCGTATCAACTCGAGGCGGTCAGTATTCTTTGTATGAAACTCCATACTGCAACTCACACTTATCCGCACCGTAACGTAAACGCCTCGCCTAGGCGATGACAGTTCGCGAAAGGCGATACGGTATTGATCCCTTTCCAAGTTCTTCTTCTTATCGTGTCGATAGCAAACCTATACAGTGTCAGCCCAAAACTACGCTACAAGAGTGGCGTTGTCAGCAGCATTCATTAAATCCTCCTGCGTGCAGTTGCTTGGGCACTCAGGGTACGACATCATGTGCTTCATCAACTAGGGAACAAAACTGCACCTGCACTCCATGTTTCCGAGTTGATAAGTCTGCTATGAGTTTAATTCTAAATACATAGAGGCCAATTTCAATTAAATTAATGAAAACTATGATACAGCTTCAGTTTTTGATTACGCTAAATATCCGGCCTGCACTCGAAGTTCCCTACAAAATGCTCCGATTGCACAAAATGTCTTATTCAAGTTGTGCCCGGTTTCACAGTCTCTCTGCTACACGTCTAAATGAGAGCTCAGCAAAATTTCAGAGCTGCCCGCTGAAAACAGGCACAGCCCAAATAGATCAGCTTGGTCATATTTATGATTATACTAGCTTGCCGCCCACGGTTTCGCCCGCGCGAAATTTTGTCTGTCACAGAAAAACTTTATCGCTTGTTTCAAAAACCGGGTTGAAACTATCCTATGTCCTTTCCCGGGACTCAAACTATCTCTATGCCTTTCAACAAAATCGGTTCAGTGGTTTAGGCGTGAAAGCAAGACAGACATTTATAATATCAGTATAGATTCGTACCTCTATTTTTATTTCAAACTGCGCCTGCAAATTGTCTTATTCCATCGTGTATCTATGCATCGAGGACTAACCTGCTCAATAAAGCGCCGTTGACGCGCGCCATTTCCACTCTCAATCTAATTTCGGATAAAATAGATATTTTTTCTTGTACTCTGAGTGAATTTACAAAGGCATCATTATTTGTTATATGTTATGTGTAGGTTTGTATATGTAGGTGATTACTAGTTTTGTATTTGACGTTGTGTATGTTGATGTGTTGTCTTCGCTGTCGCAGTGGGATGTCCTGTGATGACAGTGAAGTGTTGTTGTTGTGAATAAATAAATAAATAAATCTACAGAATCACTCGCAAATTAATTTAATTTACCTAGTTGTTCTTAAATTCATATTCATTTAAAACTGCAACTCATTTAATTGGCAGTTGCTTGCATATTTTTTATCTTGCTTTCAAGGTCTTATAATCATGGAAAATGGTTGATGAACATCCAATTATCTAAAATTAGCTTTGTAGAAGAGTTAATTGCCCGAGACGGACTCTACATAGTAGTATGCAACGGCTTTACATAAATTAAGTACTTGATAAATGTATATGCTTGATATTTCATATTTGTAAAGCCTAACCTACTTCTGACCTCCACTGATGCATTCAAGCGGTTTGTCCGTTACGTACCTTTTTAATATTTAAGTCCCTATACTCTTCACCTAAATTCTCAGCTCTAGCTGATGTTTTCCCGGACTGGTAGCGGGCCTTTGAATTGACAATAGTAGACCTTTCAGTTCAAAGTTATTGGACCGAGTCGTGAAAAAATTCACTCATTTTTGTCCGGGAACCGAACATAGCTCGTTCGTTCGCCGCTCATTCGTCCTGTAAGTCTCCCGTGGACAGGCTGTTCTACTTGACATATGACGCAACGAACGGCCAGTCCGGTATGCGAGCTATAACCGAGCAAGTCGAATTTCAAAGGCTAACTACGAGGATTAGGGTTTACTCGTAAGCGGCCATGTTGTGTGGGACAAACGTAGATATCTGACTGTAGATAGGAGATTTTTGTCCCAAAATAACACGTATTACAACTGGAATAAATGCTAGGTTATCTTGACAGGGTGGTGTTAGTACATGTCAAAAGATCTGTGCGAATCAAAGGCTTAATATTTTTATTTCCAGAATACCTTTTTGGAATTACATTCACAAACTTAATACACACAANTAGAGAATTAAATTCTGAGTAAAACTGTATAAATAACTCATTTTCGGTATTTTGTCCTTTACGACCTTTGAGCCCAGAGGTATCGATATGTATCTAGACTAGACTACCTAGACTGCATCTTACTTAACACCAGGTGCGAAAAAAAACATTGCTCTACCACGCGGGTGTGTATCTATTGCTTTAATAACTTCAATTCATAAATGCACTCAGCAATATGGAAATCCTTGGGGGAGGCCTTTGTCCATTGGACGTCATTTGGCTGAAACGAACGAACGAAACTCGTAAATAAATGTTAATTTTTATCGATCACATACTTTCTATGTGATCGATAAAAATTAACATTTATTTACGAGTTTCGTTCTCTCTCTCTCTCGAGATACTTTATCTAGAAGTTTTTGTTGTCAAAAAAGTAAGTTTTCTTGCCCTTGGATCCTTAGAGGGATCGAACCGGACTAAGCCCATTTACTCAGTGCAGTCTACTAATGCTGTTTTTTTATATTCAATCCTAATCCGTCCGTCAATTGTCAAATTTAAATATGATTTTGGTCAAAATATCTGCGGTTTTCGATGTTTTTACATTTTATATGACTATTTAAACAATATTAAAATGCAAACGCATCCAAAATTTAATCGAAAACCGACTTAAAGACAGTTGCAATCCGGATTTGGACAAAGATTGATTATGGGAAACGGGCGTAAATGAAGGTAGACCAAATAGTACTTATACTTACTCCTACGTATACTGGCGTAAGTGAAAAAAGTAAATTTTACAAGAGAGCCATTTTAGTGGCCAGAACCATATTTTTGGGTCATATCTTCTGACCTACTAAAACGAATTTAATGAAATTTCACATTTAGCCTTAACATGTAATGCTTTTGCTACTGCTGTTATCAATTTTTATATTTGTCTTATATATTTTGAGATTTTACGCATTGCCCTTTTACGTCGTCACATTTCTATAATTTCATGTATATTGTTCAACGTAAAGAGACTTAAATGACAACATAAATATAATATTTTAAGTGATTACTCTCTTTATTTATGCATGTAATTATTTTAATTGTTTTTATGTGCTATATCAATAATAAATCAGTTAGAAAAAGTTGTTTAATGTATCGTTATTACGTTTTAACGCAAATACGCCCATATACTGTTCTGAGATTTAGTTAGGTCTTTTAACATAATGTGTCATATTTTTAAAAATTATAAATAACTTGAAAAAATCGAACTGCCTAAGGCGGGAATTGAACCCACGATGCCTTAGGCAGGTCGATTTTTTCAAGTTATTTATAATTTTCAAATTAGTTTGAGATGCGACTCTTAACGCTAAAAATTAAATAACTATATAATGTTTCATAATTTATAAATAAAACAATTTGCTAAATATTTTCATGGCTTTATTTAAGATTTGGATTATAAAAAATATATATTTATGTAAGCAACTACTCGTATAGATTGACGAATCGTATGATTGGGCTTTATACGTGGCATAGTTTTGCACATACGCCTATTTGCCTAAAATTTTATTTTGTATCTAATGGAAAAAAATTTTTTTTTTCTTACTGACGTTATAGATTAGAGAAAAATGAAATCATTACTTAAATAATTGGAAAAAGGCGTAAGCGGCAGTTTCGCCTTTATACGTAGGAGCTATCGGACATGTTCTCTTGCGATGCCTATCAATTTAAAAAAGAAACTGTAAATATGCCAAATTACATAAAAATCTGAGATTTCATTAATTTTGGGCATATTAGGATAATCTTAATTTTTCTTCATACTTACAATACACCAAAGCAAAACAATAAAACACCGTGTGTACCTGTAACAAAAAACACGGTAAATTAAAACTAGGTTTAAGTCTATGCCTTGGAGCTACAGTCCGTTTGTAAAATACCAAGTTAAAATGGCCGACACACGCCTAACGGCCGAATTACATCGAGTACAGCCTGTATATGACCCGCTCTTTGTTTATTAACAACTAGGGCTAAAAACTTAAAGTGGTTAGGTCGAGTTAGCCAAATTTTAGTGAAACTGGTTTAACTTTTGGTAAAATATGTCTGGGCGCTGGTGCTTCACTAATATTATAAAGAGGAAAGATTTGTATTTTTATATGTTAGTTACGTACGAATGACCTCAAAAACTACTGGATAAATGAATGGCTGAAACTGATTTAGATGGACTTTGGCGGGAGACCACAATAATAATTTACGCTGACGGAGCTTCAAGAAAAAGTCAGTATTTTTTTTTTAATAATTACATCATTATTTCCAGGTTGTTTCTTTAGCTTAAGAAAAACAGTCGTTCATGTTACTTGTTCGATGCTCAATAATTTCCAAGATACATTTATTCTGAGAACGTCCTATTACCGATCGAATCTTTTTGAGATAAAGTATCCAGCTCTTAAACACAAGACACGGGACTATTCCCACCTCTCGTTCCCACCACTGCAACTCCTGTGTAGCCAGGATCTACAGCTTGACCGCCACAAAAACCCAACCAATGAAGGTCAAGTTTGTCCCGGGGGAAAGTTAAACTGTCATTGGACCCNAGCGCAATATTTTGTTGCAATTTCTTACAAAACTTGCGCGCAAAAAGCAAATCTAGTATGTAAATCATCAAACTTCTAATGCTCGTAACTCAGTTCAGACTGAGTTTAGAGGTATACATGCCATAGAAAGTTTGGTTAATTACACTATTTTGTAATCAAAAAACAAACTTTGGTCGATGGCCGCGCGAAAAAAAAAAGACGCCACCTTCCATACAAAATCTGGCATTGCCATTTAGACTGCATTTGTGAGTCTTCTGTGCATTGTATGACCATTCATTATTGCTACAGTATGACAAATAACCAGTGAATACTATTATTATGCAGAAAACTTGTCCTTGTAAATGGTTAGTATGGTTACTTATCATCTGTTTTCCTTTTTTCACAGCGCCCATGGTCAATAATGTATCACCATGGCTTAAGATGACCCTATCCATCACAATAGTTATTGTGCTAGGAATTGTCTGCGTACTTGTACTTTATATGCAAAGTCACAATAAAGATGAAATATCTTCTAGTCATGATGATTCAGAAAAGGTGTCTACAAGTAAGTAAGAAATTATGTTAAATTAATTACTTATTATTGTTTAGTTTGTCATTATCTTTGGCACTTCTTGCACTTTGCGCATGGAGTAGATAAAAAAATAATAGATAGTTGATGCAGAGAGAGAATGGGATTAAAATTGTGTTATCTTAATATTCTTAATTAAACTGTGATCTCCAATCCGCCTGCCAAGCGTGGGGATTATAGCAAAACCCTCCACCATAGTGGAGGAGGCTCATAGTCCAGCAGTGGACTGTAAAGTGCTGTTGTTGATGATGATGATTATAAAGACTATTGTTTTCTAAATTAATCGCCAATACCCCAGATATTATGTGATACCTATACAATTTTGTACTTGGTTCCTGTCTATGAAAAAGTGAATATAAAACACTTCACTACATTTATCATATTATAGAATGTTGAGCTGAATACAGATGTTGTAATAAAAACGAAAAAATAAACTTGATGAATACATTATAAAATATACAATGACTTGGAAGTGTGTACTTCAGATTTCCATACATCCTTTGCAACATTGTCAGGGACATAGTGATCTTATAAGGGTTCCGTTTTATTTCTGTCGGTCACAGGAAATGTACATACAGAATATAGACTTGTGTAATTTGGTGATCCATAGGGAAATATGATTTTGTATTTTTTTATTTGGGTGATAAAATAAAATCAATCCATGGGGTAACAAGAAATTCAAATAATCTAGCTACCAAATATGTAAAAGGGTGTTATCACACAAAGTTCAGCTGTGTCAGTCAGATTAACTGACTGAAAATAATTTGATTAAATACTGCTTTATCAAATTACCTATTATGTTAAAAAATATACAGTAATGACTAATACTGGTTTAAGCACTATGATGAAACATTACCTACTAAGGTTACACGGTTAAGGGAATTAGTGCAGTACTTCAACATAAACTAATACTGCCAAGTAAAAATAAACGATTACAATATAGTTAAGTAAAAATGCGACCGATGTACTGAACCATTCGCACGCTAAAATAACTCGTACTTGACCGGCTTCTTTTATTCAATAAAGACCGTGGTTGGAAATTTTATTGAATGATTGGGGCGATTTCATCCGCCGCGGTGGTTAAATTAACCGATGCATCGGTTATCCTATTGGTGCGAATGAAACGTTAACAGTATTCTTATGTGAACGTCGGGTTAAAATGATTTAACTGTTGTATTTGCCACATATATCTTGTCTGGCGAAGCGAACTCATCGTCATTCGCGACAGTATTGCAGTAGCGTGTGAATGGTTACAGTAGAATTTATTTGAAATTTTAGTGCCTCGGTGAATAATGCTAAGTCATCAAATCAAACGGAATAATTTGAATGTAGTTCTTTAAAATTTCACTCAATTTCATGATGCGTGCGCGCAAACCAAAGAAGTCAAAGCATGATAAGTCTCTGCTTGTTCTCCGACGGGTGGTAGCTTTAAGGTTTATTATGCTCGTGAAAAAACTCCTGAGCATTATTCTTCTTTTGATTTAATCTGCCATCTTCATCCATGTCCGCCATGAGTAGGTAAGTGGCTATATTAAAAGTGGTATTTATTTGTTTTTTTTTGTGTCTCGTCGATATTTTGCTTTTTATTGAACAGTTTTTTACTTTTTGTACTTTTCTTTTTAATTTTTTTACTGTTTTGGACCAAGGGGGAGGGAGGACCACTGGAGATCTTTTGCATCGTAATGTAATTTATATTAATAATTTTATTTAAAATCCCAACTTAAAATAATTGCATTACCTACTTATAAATATGATTTTGAACTGAACGAGCATTTGATTTGAAAGTGCATTACTTTTGTTATGGAGATCGAAGTTACAAAACTATTTACAAATTGCCTGTGTTTTCGGAGCTGTGCACCCCTTCCAATCTAAGAGATAATATGCTGGCATGAGCGACTGCGACAGGATGTACGGTGACGGAAGACGCCACTGTGTTTAGTTTTATGTGCTGTCTGTACCTACCGGTAGGTACCCATAATTACTTAGGTATGGAAACGGTGTTAGGAGTGGCTGGGTGCGGTTCGTAGCTCGTGAGAGAGAGAGCAAGTGGCTATACGCGGTAGCATTAAGGTACAATTCCAAGACGGGCCGCAGACCGCAAACTGCAACCGCAAACAGCAAATCTCTATGAAATCTCCACTCTGTGGCTTGCAGCTGCGCCGCGCCGCGTTGCAGATTTCATAGAGGTTTGCAGTTTGCGGTTGCAGTCTGCGGTCTGCAGTCCATCTTATATTTGTACCTTCAAGGAAAAAGTTAAATTTCAAGGCTATTTAATTAATGCACTCACTTTCTTGTTTCGAATCATGTTCTGTGTATTATTTTTGTAAAGGTTTGTTATGTAGCAGCGTTGCACAAAGAACAACGATTATGAAGTAGCCCAGCTGCATGGCGTCGTGGTTAGGAGCTCGTCAAAATGGCGGCCATCCATACGCGGCAATAAGGAAAAGTTTGATAAATTATACTGTTATATTGAAATGTTTCTAAGTATTATTTTCGTAAAAGTTTTCATTCTTATAATAATATCGTCTTAAGTATGTACCTACTTAAAAAGTAATTATGCTCATTGCCTAGGGTAAACGGCTCTGACGACACGCACAACGCACGGACCGTTGTCCCCTTCAGGGGGCTTCCCTGGAGGCAAGACTGCACCTACTTTAATGATGATGCTTTAATGGATGACTCAGAAATACGTTCTATTCTTAAACTTGTTAAATTCTGCCGCTGGATTGTAAACTCTGGATATCTGTTATTATTAAGAAAAGTTCACGATTTCAATCCCATTCTCTATTCTCATTCGCACAGATGCGTGGGTTAAAAGATCGTACAAATATAAGTGCACCGCAACATGCAACTCTAATTTTAGCCTTTTATGTTCGAGAATGTGCGTTGCCTGATTAAAAAAATCTCCATGTGCATGCTATGTTATTGTATTGATTTTACAAATACACCCCTTTTGATTTTACTAACATTTTTTGTGTCGTAATAGATACCAAACAGCACACGGTTAATTGCAAGCTTGCTAATCTGCAGAGAATTGTCGCCGACGTTGGTTTTTCTCTTCATTTATGACTTTCATTTTGCAATGAATGAAACGACTATAATGATCATCATGTAACTGAAAGTGAGATGCGGTGTCAGTACCACGAACCCATGCTGTCGATACAAACTAGTTTTGTTTAATTAAGTTTTGAAAGAACAGTTAGATTTGTTTTAATTTTTCTACATTATTGAAAATTTCATAATAAAACTTTAAAATGATTATCTTTTAATACCATAGTATGTTTATCAGTATGGTGCTTTGCTAGTAAAGGTTGTGGCGACATAATAATTATAATTGCCTAAAGCAAATAATTTTAATAAAACTATTAAATTTATCACTCCAACTTAATTGTTTATTACCCGATATAGTTGGATATTTATTATAATTTATAGCTTGCACAAGCTCACAAATATTACTGAGCACTTTATTTAATAACTAACACAAAATTACGTTTCTCATTCCATTCAATTAATTATATTTATGAGGATTAAGTGATATTAAATTGTCGTGGTATTTCTCTTATTTCAGACTACACCAAGGTGGTGGGGATGTGTTATGACAGTTATTTTCAAATGTTAGTTTTTTCGATCATTGTGGTGCCAATAACAATATTGTTAATATTATATCCGCTACTAACATCACATATGGATTATGATAGACACAGTTCCCAAGCAAATGGGGTTGCCGAAGTAAAGATTGCAGATTATCCTCAGGGGGATTTCAATGATAGTGTTGAAAAGACTAAAATTAAAGGTATGTCATACGTGAATATGACCTGTTTCTGTATTCCAAATTTCTTTTCTCTTTTTTTATTATTAGACTGAACTAATTTTTAAGTTCTATTTTCAATAAGTACTTGTCTGTTTTGTTAGATTAACATATTTTCATCTGGCAACAATTACGAATTAGCATACGATTCGTAACATATTTTAGCAAAGTAACGTGAATAAGCATAAACACTTATTCTAAGGCCTTTACTAATAGCCGGTATTAAATTATCTACATTCAAGCAATATGAATCTGTGAGTAGTGGCCAATTACAGGCTTGAATCTACCCTTGACTTTGAATTTTGATTGGTTTTATAATTCTCCCTAAAAAGCACTCTCTAACTCGAGTTAGATGAAATTCCTCAAATGACACTACCAATTTTATTAATTTTTAAGAGTTGTCAAAGGGCAATCCTCTCATATATTTTTGTATGGCGAAAAAGAGATATGAAGAAACAATTTAAACATAATTTTATATTAGGTGTGAAATTGTTGCCAGATGAATCCAAAAATTATGATTTAAGTACTAAAGATACTAATTCTGCGAAGCCAATAAAAAGTCTTAACATTTTCTTGTTCCTCAAGTTTGTTTGTAAGAATGTGTAACGAGTGTTATGGTTTACTAGGCAACCTTTTCCGAGCATGTTTTGGTCCCTTAACATTAATTAGAATTATTTTCATTCATTGGTACCCAGATGCGTGAAAATCGATGTATGACCGGATCTCTGAAAAATTGCCTTTCCTGTCTTAACCTAAGGGCGTGTTTTGACGACAGTAACCAGGGCCCCGATGCGCTAAAAAATTTCAGCTGCAACGTGACTGGACGACGAACGAAAATCAGCTTTTTGACAAATCCGTATATCCGTATCCGGGTCGGCAACACACGCCCTAAGGACCGTGTTTATTCCCGAGATAAAAGTACAGTCAAAATCAGTCGACTCTTAAGCTAGACTATACATTTTAGAAATATCACAACTGCTAAGAGTAATTCATAAAAATTGTTTTTTGGAAGTAGGCTTATAAAAGCACTTTTATTACAGATTATGACTTTAATTTTGACTTAAAAAAACATAATATGTTATACGTTATGACACTCGGGAATAGACACGTAAGGGAAAGACTTAATTTAAGACCATATACCTACCANACGTCGCAGACGGCGTGACAAAAAAATCACGTCGTCGGTTAAAGGTTAAAAACGACCTTAACTGAGTTTGAATACTTTTTCAGAAACACATGAAATGAACACTTTTCGAACCAAAAAGTTCTTTTCAAGGTTTATAAAACATAAGAGAGGTACGGTTTTCATGATCAAAAATAAACAATTAATTTAATATTCAAATTATTTTTTGTTATTAGTGATCATAATGGGAAATGATTGTTATGGTATTCGGAAATGGTCATTTTAAAACTAAATCTGGTCATAAAGTAAAACCTTTTCCGGGAATTTCTCGATTAGTTCATCATGTCGTATCATTTGTATTTAAATGCAGCAGTGTTGTGATTGTTTCACTGACCACTCACTCCACAAGCATGACCCATAAAAATAGAGTTGCCAATGTATTGTGTGGTTCATAAAAAAAGGGCTTGGTGCTTGTTATGCACAAATACATATTAATAAGTATGTATTTAATATGAATCCAATGAATAAGGTTTATTTAAGGTTAGGTAAATAAAAATGAAGATGTAATAATTTCATCGGATGTGATAATGTTCTCTAAGGATGAAGGAAAATTTTTGACCTCCCGTTACTACGAGCATACTCACACAACGAATCTGTGAAATAGATCGCTGTGTGAAAGAGCACTTTCATGGTAATATTTAATAATGCAAAGACTAATTTTATTTTACATGCCTGTATTGTTGATATTGTACCTATTTAGCTCATATAAACCTCTGTCTCAAAAATAATACAGATAGTTATCTACCATCGGATGAAACTGCCTCAGTGATAAAATTAATTTAATACTAAATTCTTGTTACGTCTTTGCGCTCTTAGGTTTAGAACCACTAAAAGTTTATATCATACAGGGTGGAAACGATAAGTGATCTCATTCGATTATTTCTAAACTATACAAGATATCGAAAAACTGGTTACTGATCCTGAAAGTGCTTCACGAGCTCTATCCNTGGAGTACCCTTTGGACGTAAGGCTTAGTTTGGGACTAGAAGCGCAGTGTAAAATGTCCAAGGATATTTATTTATCCAAGGATATTTATATGAAGTATGAATCTTCCATATAGAATTTCTAATTAGGTAACAGAAGTAAAGTTCTTCTTCTTGTCTTGTCCACAACAAACCTATGTACAGACAGTGTCAGCCCAAAACCACAACCAAAACTCCGCTACTAGAGCGAAAATAAACCTTTCTTGTTCTTTAATCTGTATCCGAATTTTCCCAGATACTAAGTACCTATAAGAATCTCTAAGCCAAAACAAGAAATTAGATCAGCGGTTAATAAGGGACAACAAAAAGACAAAGAAGTATAGACTTCAAAGAATGAAGGAAAGAAAATAACAAGTAATAACCAACCGCTCAATAGAATTTAGGCACAAAAGGGTCCAATAAAAAAGAAGCTATGAAAAGGCATTAATAAGTTGGTACTTAAATGACCTACTTTACTCGTAGTAACATAAAAGAATCATAGCAATTAATAAACTTGATTTCAATACATACCCTTAGGTATTTACCTATAGCAAAAGTAATTCAAGGAATTCAATGTCCAAAATATTTTTCCTAGAATTTAATAATTATTATTACTCTGTCGATCGACTTCCTAAAATAAGTTTGATCTAGATATTTTTATATTTAGGTCCAAGTTTAGTTTTAAACTATTTATTGTTAGTACTAAAACTAATTTTATTAGTTAATTTCCGCCTTTGTTACCTGACCGATCGCGTGTTTTTAGTTTTCCTTGTAACAAATACGTCAAGTAATAATAATGTATGCAGTTAGATTTAATGATTGATCGCTAATTTNTTGAAGTTTAGGTGTTTTTTTTGATAGCCGTGGTGGGCATATTTTGCAGAAATATATCTTCATTTTAACCGAAACAAAAGGTATCAAAAGTAATAAAAAAGTATAAAAAACATAGACAATATAAAAAAGAGGTTGATCCACCAATCGGTTCCCAACATGGAGGCTGAAAACATTTAATTTTCGGATAGATCCAGTTTATTATGTAACCTATTATTTGTACCGTTTGAAAGAGCTTGTGAAGCACTTTCAGGAATCAGTAATCAGTTTTTCGATATCTTGTATAGTTTAGAAATAATCGAGTGAGATCACTTAACGTTTCCACCCTGTATACTTCCATCGAGTTGTTCACTAGGTCTGGGTTAGTAGTGGTTGTCAAACTCTTAATGTCATTTTAAACACGAGATGTATAACCCTAGGTTGCACCATCTTACATTAATTATACAAACGTCTAAAGTCAGTCAAACTCTATACAAAAACAACGATTAAAGTTAAAGTTAAGGTGATGCAACTTAGCCTTAATGTCCATCTCTAGACTTCTTGAGGAGCAGAAATATTCGCATTAATTTTATAGTCAATTCGATGTAAAACAAATCGCATATATGAACCTTTCCAGCGGATCCGTTACTGATATCCCCAAACCACTTGCGGATAGTGTCGCGGACGGACTGGCTCGCCCAGCCGGTGGAGAGCGAACTCCAAAAGATACGCCAGCCGGTGCCGTGGGTGGTCATCACCCACACTGCTACGGAACCCTGTTCCTACCAGGTACGCTATTCTATGTATAAATAAAATCAATCATACACATACGTGGGCAGGGCACATAGTACGCAGAACTGACGGCCGATGGGGCAGCAATGTTCTGGAATGGAGGCCGCATACCGGAAAACGTAGCGTGGAACGTCCACCCACAAGGTGGACCGACGACCTGATAAAGGTAGCAGGAAGGCGCTGGATGCAGGCCGCTACTAACCGTGCGATGTGGAAGTCATTGGGGGAGGTCTATGTTCAGCAGTGGACGTCCTATGGCTGAAATGATGATTATGAATCATACTCTATTCATAAATAGTGATAATATAGGAGATACAACGTTTAAATGGTTGTATTTCTTATTTCTAGTTTGATTTCAGTAAATACTTTTAAAAATCTAATAAGCTTTAGTGCCTTTTCCTATGATGCTTATTTAGGCACGCGTGCGGATTTAAGAACGTCGCACATTTATCAACCCGGAAAGAGATCGTAACCATAGCAACTCGAGGCGGTCAGTCTCAGTGTCTCAGTATTCTTTGTATGAAACTCCATACTGCAACGCACACGTCTTATCCGCACCGTAAGGCCCAGAACAGACGGTGAAACGCAACTGCAACGAAACTGCAACTGCTAGTTACTTTTGAGTTGCATCTAAGTTTCTGCCATAGCGTCCGTTGAGAGACCACACATGACGCGACCAGTTTGAAACTTTCAGTTTCAGTTTCGTTCATCAGAATGATCAGAAAATTGCAGTTTCGTTGCAGTTGCGTTTCACCGTCTGTTCTGGGCCTAACGTAAATGCCTTGCCTCGCGATTGACAGCGCACGAAAGGCGATGACAGCTCGCGAAAGGCGATACGGTGTTGATCCCTTTCCCAGTTGATAAGTCTGCTATGAGCTTTAATCCGCATGCGGGCTGCCCGTATTTCATTATTTCATACATTGTCATGTTTTCTTATTATGCAAGCTACATGCACGCGAACGCGGATTGGCTGCGGGCACAATACGAAATCTTTAACTACTACAGCGTCTTGATTTTACACGAACGTGGACCAGATCCGCACGCGTCCAGAAATCCGCATCACAGGAAAAAGGCATTTATAGCCTGACCAGGAACATAAAAACCCTCGCCATGTTGCGGAAATCTAATGGTACTAATTTCTTTTAATGGCAACAATAACTAAAAACTTCATTGTCATGTCACCTTGCATGTCAGTCTATTGCTGTCAAAGTGTAAACAAACTTTATTTTAAATGTGCGCAATTGATTTTGTGAATTAAATTGCTAAAATCTTTTTATAGTCGTGAAATAAAAGTGGTTCACAATGTATTCAAGTATTTGTCGAAGAGAAATAATAAGGGTTCGGACAATATTTTCATTGAATAATTTTTCCGACAAGGGTGTCAAATTGACTGACATGTTTATCGTATAGTACAGTCCACTATGAAAATTAGCTGTGGTTTGTTTCAACTACCTACAATTTTAAAGTTTTTTGTCACTTTCTAAGTGTTGAATTTTATGGAATTGGGAAAGAAGTACCGAGTTTGAAGCCTTCATGAGCAGACATTGCAGTTGAATATTCCAGTTCTGAATTTGATTATTGATGAATAATAAAATAAATCCTACTAGCTCGATTGATGGTTTCATTTAATTTAACCTATAATAATATGTTTTCGTTAATTTATGAAAATATTAAATTAGCCCGTAATCCTGAATCCTGATACATAAAGTTAGCCTATTAATTTAACACAGGTACGACTGTACTCAGTGTTGCACTATCAAATGCAATTGATGCGCCTCTATGCCAGGGTTTTTATGTTCCTGGTCAGGCTATACATAGTTAATTAATTATATCATTTAGAAACTGCATTACTGCTATTGGACTTATGTTTTGCCCAGTAGTAGGCTAACTTTAATATCGTATATTTCAGAGTGAATGTGTGCTGCGCGTTCGACTTATCCAGATGTTCCATATAGAGGCGAAGAAATGGGACGACATCGGTTATAACTTCCTCGTAGCGGGCGACGGCTCGGCTTACTTCGGCCGTGGATGGGAGTACATAGGCGCCCACACCCTGGGCTACAACCGGTATAGCATCGGCATTGCCTTCGTGGGCACCTTCAACTCCGAAACCCCCCCCAAAAAACAAATCGAAGCTTGCCAAAAACTAATCAAACTTGGCGTGCAGCAAGGTAAAATCGCAAAAGACTACAAACTGTTCGCTCATAGGCAGCTTACTTCCACCCTGAGCCCTGGAGATAGATTATATGACATAATCAAACAGTGGCCGCACTTTGTCAAAGAAGACACCAACATAGACGATATAGTTCCAAAAAATTATTAATATGACTATATTGACCGCCATTGTTCACTGATATACCTGACAATTAATTAAGTGTTCTTCTGTAGACTTTAATCCCACGTGTTTCACTGTAATTGCCTGAAATCTACTATAAGTTCGTAATAACTATTATACACAAATATTTAATAAGTAATACTAGATCAGGATACACGTATTTCTTGAGAAATATTGAATATTCAAGATTTAGCCGAATGCTAAATGTCTCTCTTTTTGGTCTCAGTCGCATGAAGTTTGAGATTTTTGTGATAAAATTATTCAAGCATATCACAAGATTCTTTTAGTTACATTACCTATATAAACATAAAACACTCATATGCTAAAAGTCAATAAGTTATTTAACTCTGTCTCTCCCTATAGTTGAATTTATTTATTGCTAAAAAAAGGCACATGTTTAGTATCGAAAACACGATGGCCTAATAATTTAGATTAATTTGAACACACAATTTTTGAAGTCTTGTGATAGATAGGTTTCATTGTCCGCTGCAAAATTTATTAGGCGATGGAATATATCACTCATAGACGTGACGACGAACAAATTTACGTGATTGCTTTCTAAAAAACTATCCCATTCAAACTATCTCGTTCGATTCATAGACGTAATTATTCTTATATTAGAAATCTATACGTAAGATATTTACTCGATGTTTATTTTTAGGATCAGGGCCACGCCCGTTAGTTGTTAGTATCTCCAGCGGCCTCAGTTCTTATTCAGAAGTTGCATAGGAGTAATGACTATTATAAATGCCATATAATCAAGTTTAAAGTTAATTTTGTGTATGATCTTCGCAGTAAATATTTTATATCAAGACCATTTGGAACTCACAAAGAAAAATACGTATTTTTCTGGCCCACGCAGAGATTCAAGTAACTATTTTTTTTTTCATATGATCATTCAGTGTCGCAATAGCATTATAGCTTGCTTTTTATCATTTCTATCCCAGTTATATTTTCTTGAATTAAGACAAAAATTGAAGCAGTCACTTTGGTTTAATCAAATGAATTGAACCCTATAAGGCGTAGATTCTTGTTCTTAAAGTCTGTATCAAGTTGGAATCATTGATAGTAAGGAATATTAATTGTTTCTATCTTCTATCTTGTCTTGTTGTCTACCGAATTATTAGAGAGCTCACAGACGAGTGACCATTATGTCGGCAACTGCTTGCAATAGTGGTAGGCGACGGTCAGCGACTGTCGCTAACAGTCTCCGACTCGCAGCTTTCGCTGTCATGACATGTTGACACTTAGGAAAATACGTTAGTTATAGTCTATCCAATATAGCTTGATTAGAATGGCAGCTGTCAAACGAATGTGACTAGTGCTGGGTATGTTTCGTACGGTTCACATAGATGTATCGATAAGTTTTCGAAAAAATGATAAGTATAAAAAAATGCACCCAATTTCTCTTCATATCTTTATTCATAAAAATGACAATTATGATTTAAATTTAAAGACAGTAAAATTTAAAATTCATGTCAAGGGTGTACAACCTAAGTCGTAGTCATTATCATCAGTGTTCTTCAGTGGTTTTTTCCTCTCGCTAGAGGGCGGTGGGCATCTCTTCTAGAGCAACGGTGCTATGAATACCCAAAAAATTACCGGTGATTGATTTCCGATGTTTGATCATTTAATAGTTTTAATTTAATATGACATTTGTCGATATGTCCCAACACTAACATTTTTGTAACTCGAGATAACCTTGTACAGACGTCGTTAATACTCCAGCTTGATTTTTATAATTTCGAATTACTACTTATTGGTGTAATTTAACGCTGCATTTACACGAAATTAACATTTTTATTGGAAGCACTGTCGTCGAAAATATTGTTTGTAGGTCAGACGTGAATTATTTCTTGTCCGCCAATATTTAGCTCTCATTGATCGCTACTACTAAGTTATGTCGTTACTTTTGATGGCAGCTGTCATTCTAATCAAGCTATATTGGATAGACTATAGTGACTGCCCGTCTTCGAGAGTCGCGATATATCGGCGACCTTCGGCGGTATTCGCAGGAAACTGTCAATGTGCCAAACGTATTCTTTAGTTAAAAGTTATCCGACGATTGAAAAATCGACCCTAATTTGAGTATCTGTCGGCGAAATATCGGCGACTATCGCCGTCAAGTCGCAATCAGTCGCCGATATATTAAATAGGACCCTCCCTTATGGCTTATTTACATGTATTAAGTAGTTATGTAGGTAACTAAATTTTAACTTGATTTTTCTGTCAAGTTGGTGGGCGGGGCTGGTCACTTGACACGTTTTTTGACAAGCAGTTTCATAGTAAACAAGAGCTTAGCGTTTGGATTTGGAATTATGTTAAAATTTAGTTACGTTGCAATTTGATCACTTAAAATTAGGTTAAAATTTAGTTAAATACTTAACTACTTAATACTTGTATTAGGTCTCAGTAGAATTAAAAGTAGACAACGTCATATTATGTTGATGTTTTATTATATACCAGATGATTGTTAAACATATTTTGGAATGGTTTACACAGGGATTTTGGAACGATATTCCCTATGATCTCTGTAATGCTATAAGACTATAAGTTGCATTGTGCTCAGTTTTATTTAGACGACTGTTTTACCTATATTTTTTATTAGAGTTTTTTTGAATGGAACTTCCGTAATCTACCTTAAAATGAGGAATGTAAATTGAATACAGGGTTGCAGATTACGAATGACAGTTTACTGTCAGAATATGTTATGCCAAAATGTGATAGAATAATCCCATATCGATGGCTCCTACGTATACTGGCGTAAGTGAAAAAAGTAAATTTTACAGGAGAGCCATTTTAGTGGCCAGAACCATATTTTTGGGTCATATCTTCTGACCTACTAAAACGAATTTAATGAAATTTCACATTTAGCCTTAACATGTAATGCTTTTGCTACTGCTGTTATCAATTTTTATATTTTTCTTATATATTTTGAGATTTTACGCATTGCCCTTTTACGTCGGCATATTTCTATAATTTCATGTATATTGTTCAACGTAAAGAGACTTAAATGACAACGTAAATATAATATTTTAAGCGATTACTCTCTTTATTTATGCATGTAATTATTTTAATTGTTATCATGTGCTATATCAATAATAAATCAGTTAGAAAAAGTCGTTTAATGTACCGTTTTACGTTTTAACGCAAATACGCCCATATACTGTGCTCGAGATTTAGTTAGGTCTTTTAACATAATGTGTCATATTTTTAAAAAATATAAATAACTTGAAAAAATCGAATTGCCTAAGGCGGGAATTGAACCCACGATGCCTTAGGCAGTTCGATTTTTTCAAGTTATTTATAATTTTCAAATTAGTTTGAGATGCGACTCTTAACGCTAAAAATTAAATAAGTATACAATGTGTCTTAATTTATAAATAAAACAATTTGCTAAATATTTTCATGGCTTTATTTAAGATTTGGATTATAAAAAATATATGTTTATGTAAGCAACTACTCGTATAGATTGACGAATCGTATGATTGGGCTTTATACGTGGCGTAGTTTTGCACATACGCCTATTTGCCTAAAATTTTATTTTGTATCTAATGGAAAAAAAATTTTTTTTTCTTACTGATGTTATAGATTAGAGCAAAGTGAAATCATTGCTTAAATAATTGGAAAAAGGCGTAAGCGGCAGTTTCGCCCTTATACGTAGGAGCCATCGATATATTCAAAATATTGTTTGGCCCTGTATACTAATCAACTAGAGATTAATATAATTATTAAAAATGGTTATGGGATTTAGTAAGTATAGTAGGTAGTTTTATGGAATTTAACGAAAGTTGTGTACGCATTTAGACAAGTTTTTATGATCATTTAACTTTAGCAAAGTATATGGGTAATTATATTGTGAGTGAGTGGTGTGCTGAAATGTTTATCGCTGAAAACAATTGACCGGTTCCCACTAAATACTGCAAAGAAAAAGAAATTCAAAGTAATTTATCGTTAGTATTGGAACTATTAATTGTAATAATTCCAAAACTAACGATAAATTACTTTGAATTTCTTTGGAATACCATTCTGAGTTTGTTTAGGTATAATATTATAGTTTCAAGGTAACTGACCTTAGACGCAATTATATAAAGCTTTTTTTTATCTTATCTCACTATAAACATAACACTGTATTATCCGGCAGTTTTTTCAGGATGTAAATAAATCAGTAATCATATGAATCGTTATTTCGTCAATTAATAACAATAAAATAAGCGTAGGTTTATATTTTACCTAGACATAAGCTAGTATGTACGTAAATAAGTCCCCTGTGGCACTACTCCCTTACGACTGTGGTTCGTAATAAGAAGTCAATTCGCCGGAGGTGACAGTTGTTATAACAGAGAAACATTTTTAATCCTTCACTTTTGGTGGGAACTGACACCGCCAATCAATTGACGTATAGTTTTTAAAACTGTCAAATCGAGACTTCCATAGATTTTGTATGACAATACTAGCCTGTGACATCACTATTTTGTGTACTCTCCAAAGGTGCACAGTTGACTATCGATATATCGAAGTGTTGAAAAGTCTGTACAAACAAGCCACAATGTCGGTTCGCCTCCAGGATCGGGACCCGAAACGATCCAGTTGCAGCGAGGGGTAGACAGGGAGACGTCATATCTCCGAAACTGTTTACCACCGCCATGGAAGTTGTCTTCAAGCTTCTGGACTGGAGGAGATTTGGCATAAATACCAACGGCGAGTACATCACCCACCTTCGAAGTGGCAGTTGGCGGGGCACAAAGCTCGTGGAGACGATGGCCGTTGGGGCAGAAAAGTTCTAGAGTGGCGACCACGGGCTGGAAGACGTAGCGTGGGCAGGCCTCCTACTAGTTGGACCGACAATTTGCTAAAGGTCGCGGGAAGAGCCTGGATGCGGGCAGCCCAGGACCGTTCACTGTGGAAAACCTTGGGGGAGACCTTTGTCCAGCAGAGGACAGTCATTTGACTGAAACGAACGAAAGTAAAAATGGTATATGCCATGCCATGCCATAGTTTATGGTATCAAATATAATATTTATGCCTCATTTGTCAAAGGGAATTTTAAATGTTGCCTGTCATGACAACTAGTTGCACCAGCTTTAGTATGTAAGCGATCAAATAGTTGTATTTAAATAATTAATGTAATTTTATATATTAAAAATGAAATCCTATTTTCACAAAAAAATCGCAAACAAACACTCACTACTGCACACATTAAAAACCATCTTTCGGGTTCTGTAAAACATGTACGGAATTAGTGCTGTATTGTGTTGGTTTGTGAAAGGGGCTTTATATCAAGAAAGTATTGAAATAACTAATATTTAGTAATAATAATTCGAGACATTGATAAGGATGTGATGGTAGTTTGACATTTTATATTAGTTTGACAGTTTTATATAATTAATTGCGGTTTTTTTACAGCTGTTTCCATTTTAAAGCTGAAAAATCATCATTTATCTAACATTTTAAACGTAGCACTATACAATCGGTGTATTAAAAGTTTTTAAAATTTTACAATTAAATTGAGCTGATTGGATATAATCAACTGTAAAGTTTATAATGTATTTTACAGTAGAATTTATTTGTGTGTAGGTTTTCAAAGATATGTTAAGATTTTTTGTGCAATGACTAAAAGTCTTGGGAAGTACGAAATTGCATTAATACAGGGTTTAAAAGGACAGGTTACCAAAATTTTGAGGGTAATTTTATGTATTACTAGCGGCCGCCCGCGACTTCGTACGCGTGGATCCCGTTTTACCCCCTTCATTTATCTTACGCGGTTTAGATTTTTTATACACATTTTTTTTCCCGCTAACTCCCGTTCCCGTCGGAATTTTGCAATATCCTGTTGTAACTAAGCTTTAAGTTTACTAAGGTACCTGCATGCCAAAATTCAAGCGTCTAACTTAAGCGGTTTAGATTTTTCATACAAAAGGATTTTCCCGCTAATGCCCGTTCCCGTGGGAATTCCTAAGTATCCTATAACCTGCCCAGGAGTATGAAGAATAATTGTACCAAGTTTCGTTAAAATCCGTCGAGTAGTTTTTGTTTCTATAAGGAACATACAGACAGACAGACAGACAGACAGACAGACAGACAGACAGACAGACAAAAATTTTACTGATTGCATTTTTGGCATCAGTATCGATCACTAATCACCCCCTGATAGTTATTTTGAAAATATATTTCATGTACAGAATTGACCTCTCTACAGATTTATTATAAGTATAGATGATTCCCGAGTGGGAGACACTTTTGAGCGTAAGTAGTGGGTATAGTCGCGAGGAGAGGGCAGAAACCCCTAAAAGAAAGTGGTGAAATATAATGTTTTTATTTTAGGTCATTATCAAACGTGGAGGAATAGTCCATAATATTAACTTCTTGGCTAGGTTATTATATTTTTTTAAGTTTATAAAACATGACCAACTTTGATGATATTGTGATTTGATTCAGATGCATTTAATATTTTGTTATTCACTTGTTATTTTGTTAATCTTGTATTTATATATTATATTCTTAATATTGTATTGAATCAAATTGAAAATAATGAAATCTGATGTCTTGAAAGACTTTAAATCATGTAGATTTGGTATATTTTTTTACTTTGACAACATTTTGGAATGTTTGTGATGTACCGTATCCATGTAAGCTATTGATAAGTTTTAGTACATAAAATGTAATGAACTATCATCGTAATAAGAGATTACCTTATATTAATCAAATATCATTGTATTTGTTGAGCGTAGATACAGGCTTAACCCATTTAGCCCTACCGTACCCTATGTGGTACGGTATCTTTTTGAAAATATTTCGAAGTACCAAATTGTTGTTAATTTGTAAAAATAATAATGACAGTAAGCTTAAAGTTATTATTTTACATAAAAATATTTAAAAATATGTTTTAACAAGTGGTTTCGGAAATATTTATGAAATTCCTCGACAGAAAACAAAAAAAAATATTTACAATGTATTTAAGAAGGTATAATTTCTTATTATTCATGGTAAATTATGTTATTTATCAATTTAATTTTTAAAATTGAGTCCAATAGATATCAAGACTACAAAAAAAATATTATTGAGATTATTTTTAAATGGTTTATTCCAGACTAAAATAGGTGTACCGTATAAGGTACAGTAGGTCTATGCATGAGCAAATCATGCAATTTTAATTTTAAATTTTTATTATTTTTATTTGTTTTAGGCTATTGATGCTTCACTATATTGCCACAACTCATGAAAATTTTGATTATTTCAGTAAACATAAAGCAATCTTGGTATTTTTCTACTGCTTTCTTATCAGATGACCGCTAATGATGATCAGACTGACGAAGATTTAGGCGATAAATATAGTGTCAATGTAAATAATAACCCTCAGAGTTATCTTCGATGGATTTGCTAAATTTCCATCGTCGTGTTGCTAAATGCGATTATGGATAGCACTAAACGTAACAAATCAGAAGAAGCCAGGTCTTCTTCAGCTATCCTCACTAACTTCGGAGAAGGAGGAAAAAAAGAACCAAATGTGGTTAGTATCACAGAAAACGTCTTATAAGATATGCCAAGTGTGATACTAGTGATTATGTTATTTTATTTTTATTTTATATCATACAAAAATTACTGAAAATCTTCTTTGAACAACGACTATGTTTTGCTTGCTTATAGACCTACTGTACCCTATATGGTACGGGCTCCCCACGGCCCCCTATTTATGCATTATTTTTTTAAATATTTTTTTCATGATTTTTAGGCTTCCCTTTGTAAGTTTTTGCTGAAAAATAAATTTTTATTTACAAAAATATTTATCGGTCTAAATGGGTTAATAGTGTAGAAGTAAACATAAAAGTCACTAGCTCTGTACAACTAACTAAGCTTCAAGAAAATTAGACTTCAATATCACGTGAATACGGAGAGATTACGCGGGGAATAGAGCTCAGCCCTACAGAGATCTAATTTAAAAAGATTTTTGGGAATTGATCAAGAAAGTTTATCCATTGATCTTGTTGTGGTACCAAGGTTAAGTAAGCCCGAATGCAATATTATATGTATACTTTTTGATGCAATAAAGTATGCTCTAGTGACTCATACTTTTTTATTTTTTTGTTCCCCATCCGCATATAAACTTAATTGAAACGATCTGCACGAGGAATTTACTTTTCTTTGTGTAATATACATATAATATGGTGTCCCGAAAACAATGGACAACTCTGTAACCATCGATAGGCCTCGCCATAACTCATTAAGTCATTACCCTCCATTCCGCCAGAGTAAATACAAATGAGTAGGTCATCTTCATAGAAACGCACCTAGCGCGGTTTGTATGTGAGCGCGCCAATATACGTATGCGGCGCGCACGCACACACTGACAAAATTCGGCGCAAACACGACTGGCTCCCCGCTAATCCCCGCTAAATTTTGTCAGTGTGTGCGTGCGCGCCGCATACGTTTTGGCGCGCTCACATACAAAGCCACCGCGGGCTTATTCCACTATTCCCCATTGACAATCCCCGTCAACGGGGATTAATGAACTTTTAGTTCACTGTTCCCCGTTAACGCCAATTGGAACTTATAAATTCAAAATAAAATCCTATGAGAACGGGGATTAATGAACTTTTTGTTCACTAATCCCCGTTGACGGGGATTGTCAACGGGCAATAGTGGAATTGGCTTATTCCACCGCGCCCGTGCGTTTCTATGAAGATGACCTACTCATTTGTATTTTACTCTGATTCCGCGAACTTAAACGTCAAAACAGCTAACGTACGCTGTTTTTTTTGTGTATTGACCAATCGTATCGCAGAATCATCGATGAAGCGCGTCTGGACTGGAGACGTTAAAAATGACCGTAATCGGGGCTCTGCCCTCGTATGTTAGTGTGAATGTGCTCATTATCCACTGCGGTAACAGTACTCAATATTCAAATAATCTATAGTAGAAGTAATCTACAGAAGAAGGTTCACTTTTGAAAATTCAAGGAAACGAAAACTGTACATTTTTATAGAACTTTAACTATTGCAATTTAAAGAAAATTTAATACAATTTATTTTTAAATTTACCTTTATTAAATTACATCGCCCAGGAAATTTCCTTGACGCTTACAAAATTCGATCAACATACATCAAAATCTTGAAATGCGTTCGTTAGAATTACCTCGAAACCTATTTTAATTTTTTTGCTGAATGCTCAGCTTCAGTTGCTGCATGGTTGTTGGATTATAAAAGTATACTCTATTCTTAATGTAACACCACAAAAAATAATTTTCTGGAGTGAGATCAGGGCTTCCTGGTGGCCAGGAGATGCCTGAAATTATTTTTTTGTGGGAACATGTCTCTTACCATCTAAATGCTCTCATTTGAAGTGTGACACGTAGCCCCATCTTGATGAAACCAAGTGCTCCGGTCATAGCCTTGCGAATCTTGCAGCTTTGATATCAAAAAGCTTTTCAGCCTACCAGTATAGCGCTCTCAAAAATTAATCATCCTTTCAATGCAACAAACCAATTAAGCAGGGGTGAAATCTCACTGCCTCTAAGAAGCGCTAATCTCATTCCAGCAGACTTCTTTTTGTGGGGTTACCTTATGAGCAGAGTACCTATAGGTACTCTCATAATCCAAAAACTCTGCAGCACTCATTCATCCTGAATCCATTTCGAGGTAACTCTAACGAAAGATTTCCAAAATTTTGATGCATGTTGACCGAATGTTGTTAACGTCAAGGTAATCACATGTACGATAAAATTTATAAAAGAAAGTAAATTTTAAAATAAATTGCACTAAATTTCCTTTAAATTGCAATAGGTGAATTTTCAAAAGTGAATTTTCTTCTGGGCCACCCTGTACTACGCAAGCAATGTAAACTGTTTGACATTTGACATGTCGCGAGCAATGTGTTCTGTTTTTGAGTATATTGCCGGCCCCGCCCCCTTTTCACATCTCCCTTTAGTTTCTGTGATCTGTGGTTTCAGTTAAATCAACGAGAAAGCACAGAGAAAGTGCCTTTTTCCTGTGATGCAGATTTCGGCACACGTGCGGATCTGGCCCGTTTCGGGCTGCCCGCATTTCATTCTTTTATAGGTACATGTTTTTCCGTTTCTCGGCGTAATCGGAAAAATCCGCATCCCAGGAAAAATGCACTTAATTACCTACCCGTTGATCACTCAATAAATAACTGAATTCAGTACCTAGCCATGCCTTAGATACCTACCTACTCTATGACCTATAAATCCTACTTAATAATAAAAGCGAAAGTTTGGATATCTGGATGTTTGGATGTTTGTTACTCTTTCACACAAAAACTACTGAACGGATTTTGATGAATCTTTACAGTAATATTGTTTATAATCCAGAATAACTTATAGTCTATAAATTATGACGATCTGTGACAAACGAAATTTCACGCGGGTGAAGCCGCGGGCAAAAGGTAGTTATTTATAAACTTGACCACGCTAGGCATATTAGAATAATCTCTAGATCTGAATTCGTGTGATAAGTAGTAGCATTCAATTGATATTTTTGACGTGGATACATTATTAATGAACGGTGGTTGTAATGGGCGTTAAATTGGAATCATTAAACATGAACTATGTAGGACGAGGGAATAAAACATATGGCCATTACGCACTTTTGGGGTCCCCACACACGGGCAATACGGGCATGTCACCGTTTTGTGATTATTAAGCCGGTGGTCCGTGAGTGGCGACCCTTATTACGTTACTACCATAAAAAACGAAACTAAGTAATTTATTTATTTTATTAGGAATGAGCAAACCACTGCAAAACAACAATAAAGACAAATACATGACAAATTATTAGTAATGTAGCCCACAACGCTATTATGTAGGTAGGTAACTAAATTATTTAATTTACTTACATAATACAAATCTGTGAACAATTTGTTGAATCTATCCACAAGAAATTAAGTATATTTAAGTATGTAGTTACCGAATTGTGATCGAAAAACGTTATTTAGTAGTTAGGAAGATTTAAAAGAAATATTTAATTTACAATTTGTAACTAAGTAATTGGGAGCCTTCTCATAAAAAATTTGACTAACGATGTGACAGACAATTTTTATTCCATGCAGGCACACCTCGAGTTTGCGTATCGGCTTTCGATCTACGTTTATAATTACTGGTTCGTGTGGTGCCAGCAAATCACCTCGATTACTCACTTCGGACAGACAGTTCCATGCAGTCGCATGTCTGTATTCCCATCATTCGTTTTAAACTGTTTTAAACACATACATTCAAGACCGCAGCATGGTTTACTACCCAGATAAACCCTTAGACGTGAAGGAGGCAAAGAAACATTACGCAGATGGAGCGGACAAAAAACGTTTGAACATTAGCTGGACTCGCAAATTCGTCGAGTTCAGCAAACGGACGGACCTCCATGGTTATAAATACATAGTTATGGAGGATTTGAATGTTGTGGAAAGGTCTGTCGTACCTTCCCATTAATATAAGTTAACATTATAAGCTGAGCGATTCAAATAAGTAGGTAGTCGAATTCGAAAAGCGCGCGGCGAATGTAGGTATTCATAACTATTGGTAAACTTAGTAACGCTTTGCATTCTGATTAACAATTCACTGATGGAAGTATCGAGGTGGTAACACGCGGGCGAATGCATCGTAATGACGTCGATTGTTGCTAACCACGGCTTTAGATCATTAAACTTGTTGCAATCATTCGATTTAGCCTTCGTGACCTGTCGTTAAGGAGGCACAAAATAACTATACTTAAGTAGTTTAATACATGTAGTAAAGGACTACCTTTAATATGACTTACTAGGGACTCTGCAACATCAAAAATTCACAAGTGGCATTATCTATTAGTAGTAATTTCTCAACAGATTAAGTCTCTACCTTATGCAATTATACCTGTACTTACCTATTATGAAATTGGTTAGAAGAAAAGGAAAAACAGAAGATTTACCGATTGTCTACCGGTTAAAAATACTAAAATAAAAATAATGAACCACTCATTCTCATTCTTATTTCTTAACCTACTACTTAGTAGCTAAAGTTAAATTTTACTTATCCCGAACAACAAGTCAAAGGCTATCCAGACAAGCAATGCTGTCAGCATTTTGGGCACTAAGTATTCCTGTTGTGGCGCTATGCTGCCCGCATTGTAACGGCTAAGTACCTACTTTAACATAAAGGTATATTTTCCATACATTTAGGCTGGGTTGGAACATCTTTAACTAATTAACGTCGAAAATCTGTCAAACTCCATACAAAAACACCGGTTAAATTTAGGTGGTGCAACGCAACTCAGTCTTAGGTATTATGTTAAAGCACCAGGTAAGTAGTAACGGGACTAAGTATTCCCACCTCATGTTCCCGTCGCGCTGCGATTCCTGTGTAGCCAAGATCTACTTAGATCTTGCTTAGACCCAACCAGTGGAAAGTCTAGTTAGTCTCGGAGGAAAATGAAAATCTTTGGAAATAAACCTGTCATTAGACCTAAGTAGTAAGTAGGTATACTTACATTCGTTTAGTTATAGTTTTTAATAATGTACTGTTGATGGTCGTCAGGAGCTGCTGGGCGGTCGCGGTGTTGGCGAGCATTTGCGTGGCGATCTACTTTGTAGTCACAGCGTACAAATGGTACGCTAGAAACCCCATAATTACCGTAAGTGTACTTAATAGCATTTTTTTTTAATTTTTTCCTCGATTTTACTTATTGCATTCAATCACGAATAATTTTGTCACCACTCGTAAGGCCCGCTATACACGGAAGGCTCGAGTATTTAGCCAGTGATTAACATACACGGACCGCTCTTGTAGTCGCAACAGCTGGAAGCTGCTATTGATAACTGCTGGAGCAGTTTGTATCAGGAACTTGCTCAACAAGTAACATTTTCTTTTTCATTTGTGACGTGGAATGAAAAGCGTGGTTGGAGGTAACCACGCGAAAGCAGTCGACAGTTGGAGCAGTCAGTGTATGTGGTTGGCAGCTACAGCAGTCCCGGCGACTGTCACAACTGCTCGAGCGTATTGTACTTAGAATACTGTATTTTGCTAAGCAGTTGCAGCTTGAAGCTATCTGTGTATGGCGGGCCGTAGGCTGCCCAACGGTGCCGGCGTCGGCCCAGCCGCGGCTGATTCGAGATCCGAGGAACGCGGGTTCGAATCCCGCCGTCTGCTGGACTGGACTGCTGCTGTTGAACCCACTCGTAACACAAGCATACAAGCATACGTTATGTTTAGCTTATCAAGAAGAAGCGTTAAAGGGAAGAGACAATTAGTATACAGGGTGGAATTTTGTAATGCCACCTGGAGGGAAAGTACTCTTAATACTGTAGATAGAAAATTTTACTGAAAGAAAACATTCCTTTATTTTTGAAAAGAAAGAAAACTGCATTCAAAGATTATCGAAAATTTTTCGAAAATTCACTACCATACACCATACAATTTTCTGTACATAATTAAATTATTTTAAGATTTCATGGTTTTCCTTTCATTTGATTTATCAAGTTTGTTAGAGAGATTTTATCCTTACACTTAACCCTAACGATCAATGTAATAAAAATACAGGGTGTAATTTTCGATACCCGGGTGTGGCAAGCAAATTTTTGGAAATCTTTGAATGCAGTTTTATTTCTTTTCAAAAATAAAGGAATGTTTTCTTTGAGAAAAATTTTCTATCTACAATATTAAGAGTACTTTCCTTCCAGGTGGCATTACAAAATTCCACCCTGTATAGAGCGATACTGGCTAATATTCTTAGAAAAAGGTAAAAATAACACACCTTAGCCGTTACTCTCTTGGCAGAGCGGTCGGGGTCACGTTGTGGCGTCCTCGTCGATTGTAGAGGCGGATACAGCCTTCAGCACGATCAGCCACCATCTCTTTCTATTGGCAGACTGCATCCTACCTACCCACTTGAAAAACAATTACTGTCACGATGTTTACCTACTTTAAACGTTGGTTGCATTGCAGGTGATAGAAAGTACACAAGGTGCCATCTGGGACGTGCCATTTCCAGCGGTGACCATTTGTGATTTGAACATCGTCTCTCGAAAATCAGCGCTCTCCTTTTCCAAAAATGTGTAAGGTTTTGTTACTTATTCATATTAATATGTACATGTTAGTACCTTATGCATTAACAGTGTTAGTACCCACTTAAGTCTCAGATCAATGTGTGTTTATTGTAGGACACTTCCACCAAATGTCACTGTAGAATTCGTATACGAAACTGTTCGTTTGGCGCCACTTCTTCATGCCACTTATGTGGTCGGAAGTGCGCAGAAAAGAGACTTGAAATTGCTGCAGAAGGTTCTAGATCTAAACAATATTTCTATGGAGAAGTTGTTTCGGAAGGTGAGTAATACTTTTTCCTCCTTATTTGATGTCGGTTAGTTAGAGAATAGAGCTGCAAACCTGTTTTCTATTGCATTACCCTCAGCTGTCTCCTGTGTCGTCATGCAACCAGCTGCTGGAGCGGTGTATGTGGAAAAACACTGTATACCGCTGCGACAAGCTGTTTTACCAGGTGTTCACGCTGCAGAACCTGTGCTGTGCCTTCAATTACTTCGCACTCGATAATCCAGATAAACAGTAAGTACTGTTCGTCTGAAATGGCAACATAATGTTTAATCTATCTTCCTCACAATGTTCATTCTGGTGTTATTTGAACCAGATAGTAAAAATACAACATCGCCATTTTGGACCGATTACAACGAACATGATTCATCAAACTAATTCGGCAATGATTCGCTAACGAACATAAACTGCTTGTTGTGCGCAAATCCAAATTACTCATTATCTCAAACAAGTCAATGATAGCATATTTTTTGAGATTGTAAATATTTGGTTAGTTCTACTCAAATACTGGGATTACTGAAGACCGTCAAAATTAACATGTTTTCCGTCTGAACTCAAAATCTCAAAGATTTCAAATATTCATGCATATCATGATCATTGCATGTTTGTAAGGGCTCATACACATTAACACGATACACGACACGAAATCGCGTCGTGCAGTCGTGCTACAAAATGGGCATTGTTCCACATTACGATATTTTTTTCTTTAGGAGTATGGTATATCGGCGCTCTTTTGCGTTCGGACAAACGATACATAAATTACTAAAAATTTTTTAACTTCTACTCATGGGCTTATCCAGCTTCTTTTCTAAGCCTGGAAAGTGAAATTTGTCCTTAGGATCAAGTCACCGCGCAGAGTCGCCTCATGCGGCTACCAGACGGCGCTGACTGTGCTGGTACAAACCGACCCTGGGGACTACTACAGCGCACACGTCGCTTCACAAGGAGCTTTCGTAAGTATCCTTGTCATTCAATATCTTTGTAAGAGATACGGGAAAATGGAAGTAGGCTTTAATAGAGCCGACTCCAGAAACCAAGGTCTATGACCTATGACTTCGTGGTTGATCATTTTTATCTAACGCATTTAACAATCGAGTCAGTGTTTGAGGTATGGAAGTAGCACGGGAGGTGTGACATAAAATAAAAATGACGTGATAGAGCATACAAGACTGAAGCACGTCTGAAGTGTCGCCAACGTTGATAGTCACAAAAACAGGCTCCCTTGCCGTTGTGAAGGATACATGAAGTGGGCTGCGTTCACTTTGACCTGACCACAGCCAGCAAAACGAATCCAGTATGGCGCTAGACCTGTAGTTATCTTGGCAGGTGTACTTAGACCTGTACCTATACAGGGTGTCTTTGCAAACAGTTGCCAAATTTTTAGGAGCGACTCAGGATCAGTAAGATAATCGATTTACGTAAAGAAAACAACACTTTTTTCACATTTTTTTTTATCCGTTGCGTGCGGTTTCAAAATTGACTTACGTGGATAGTTTACTTCGTTCATAGAAAAATACGCATATCTAGACAGTTAACTGCAAAGCTTATTAGACAATTTATGGTGCGCGAAAATAAGCCTTAGCCTTTAAAAATTATAGGCATCCGCGAATTGCACTTTCTATATTTTTTTCTCGAAAAATACAACGATTCAAAATAATTACGATAAACTTTATATTGTTCTATAGAGCTTATCAAAAAAAATTAGCAACTGTTTGCAATTTCACCCTGTGTATCTCGGCAGGTGTACATCGACGATGCCTACAACGCACCGGACCTGGACTCCTCGGTGCGGCTGGTGAACCCCTCGTCGGAGGTCATGATCGCTCTGTCCCCCGAGCGCACGTACAGCACGCCGGGCCTCAAGGCCTTCACCACGGACTATAGGAAGTGCTACTACAAAGATGAAGTAACGCAACTCAGTCTATCCCTCATTCCACCAGCTCGCACTAAACGTGACGATTACTCTTTTATAATGCGAACAGAACAGGTTCTGGAGTAGAGGCCGCGTACCGGAAAACGCAGCGTGGGACGTCCACCCACAAGGTGGACCGACGACATCGTAAAGGTAGCGGGAAAGCGCTGGACGCAGGCCGCTATCAACCGGGTAACATGGAAAGCATTGGGGGAGGCCTATGTTCAGCAGTGGAATTCGCTGCCTGCTGCTGTCTTTCCTGAACACTATAATCCGGGCCTTTTACATGGCAGATATGTACCATCCTAGACTGCATTTCACTTAACATCAGGTGCGATTGCGGTCAAATAACTGGCTTGTCTTGCATAAAAAAATGGACGAAAGAAGATAGATAGATAGGTAGTACGTAAGTACGTAATCTATTGAATGCTACACAAAAACTGACAACTTTAAAAAGTAATTAATAAAAGATGGAATGGAACAATTTAGACACGACTTTGTAACTATGGACGGCGATAATAACCTGTGCTATCGATTTGAGCTAATTCGAGATTTTAGGAACCCTAGTTGGATTTTTAAGAATACTTAGATTTTTTTTACCATTCTAAAATAACTAAAAAATCATTAGTAGGTAAAAATATTTTTCTGTCTGTCAACATTTTTGTCAGGGTCTTTTTTTAAACTTTTGCAACCGTCTTTATCAACTTTCATTCATTTAAAATGGTCAAATCAACAACTGAACACCAATCTATATGTCGTGGTCAACTAATTAGGGACGTTATATGACTAAAACACAAGACCGTCTCTCCAGTCCCAAAAAAAAATCTTCACGAGGTTTTGTAGCTTGTGCCTATTAATAACAAGTATAGCCTGACCAGGAACATAAAAANATTACATTCTTAAAATTTAAATAAAACAGTTAAGAAAAAGATACAGTATTTTATTGTTTTCACATCTCTGACTCTTATTGTAGATAAAACATTTCAAATGTAGAAAGTTATTTCATTATAAGGTCCATACAGCTAAATAGCCCTGTACAGTTTATCGTTTCTTTGAGATACAGCAGATCCGCTGCCTGGGAATTGAAGTCAACTTAAATAAGCCATACATTTTACCTTCCTGATACAACATTTCTGCAGCTCGACATTAAAAAATCAATTGCTGTAACTAGTCAAAAGTCAATGAAGTAGTAACTCTAGATTATTCCAATCACCTTTATTAAATAAAGTTTAATTAGTAGACAAAACATGTAAAATTTCAGCTTTCTAACTTTCTTAATTTAAGATTTATGAATTTTTGAAATAGTTTTTTTGCTCTGGTGTAAAATCGGACTTTTTGAGATACGACAAAATCGCTTTCTGCCGTCGATATAGTTAAGTATGTTAGTCCTACGCGCACGTCTTAAGTTAGCGTACGAGTCATAAGTAGTAGATGTAGTAAAACTGGTTTCGACGCGCACTTTTGCACTTTAAGGTTTGAGAATTAAGCCAAAATTACAGTCTATTGAGTAATGTATGATATTCCCCGGCTTTTAGGGAAAATAAATCTAGGAAAAAAAGTAAAATACGCACTCATATACCAGTACTGTTTTGAACCATGCTTAAATTTTAATATCTGCGATAATTTAAAATTAGGTACCTACCTAGGTAACATTAAAATGTATTCTCATTTAATTATAAAGAGCGATAAATATTGAATAAAAGATTCATAAATGTTCACTATCGTGCGTATACCTAACAATTTAGCTTAATAAGCTATTGTGGAAAAATTCAGAAGTACATACATATAGATTTTGACACCAACAAATTTTGTTTATTAGAGCTAAATAGATGGATTTGATATGTTGTTTCAGGTTTTTCCCGCTCTTGCAACTTCAACGACATTGATTGTCTCGAAAATGTGTTAAGTATGTTATGATATTACTTTACTCTAAGTAAATATTTGTATGTTGATATCATTATATTTTACTCTAAGTAATTGTAAGGGGGATTCCATTATACCTACTGAAGTTCAATGATTTTCGTTTTGTGTGTGATAGATACTTGAAAATGAAAGGTGTTGATTACACACGAGTGACTAAACATATTATAATATAGGAAATACACAAGAGGACGATTGTGTAGGGATTTCAGAACAGGTGTGATTACAATGACGGTGCATGAATCTAAATGATTGAAAAACCACAAAATAATAATCTTATTTAAGGAAAACCAAAGGCGTTAGCAACGCTCAGTATAGGTCACCACTACTCAAGATAGAGCTTGAAGGTTTTCCTATGGACCTAAAGGGAAAATTATAATTACCTAACTATTAATGGTACTCTACTACTTGTGTCTTGTCTGCGATATTTCTTGACTCTATGGAACTGCCCAAAAGTTCGTGTCCTCCACATCTGTACAATTTTATGACCTTGTACGATACCAATTAATTTTCCATTATTTTCATGGATAGAATCACGTACTGAGTTGAGGAAGCTGTTAGTCTTGATCAAATTACAACTTTTTGCACCGGGAGTTAAAAAAAGAAAGGTAAGGTAAGGATTTTCAATTTGAGTCTTGGACTTTAAAGGGGGCTAATAAAGGTTTGAAAGTCGCGCTTTATAACGCTGAAGTAGCGTTCATGAACGTATCAAACACAGATTCTACATTTAAATAAAATCGGTCCCAAACTTTCTGCTAAGGGAGATTATTCCCAAATGAGCTTGTAGCGTTCAGTAAACATCGGCGGGAATGCGGGATCGGATAGGAGTGCTCCCGATATTTGCACGGGACCGCATCCACAGAGCCCACATCCATTTGAACTTTATGCTGTGAAGATACGGTTGAAAACCAATGACTTTTTTTAGGCCTGGTTAAGGGTTAAAATTCTGTTTAGTTTGTACCCCGGCGTCAATACGATATGGCGATTGATATTATCGGGAAAGGATAATTTGATTTCAAATGCATAAATAATAGACATATTATTATGTAGATTTTTTGCACCTCTTACAAATCTGACAATAGGTAGAAAAATTCAGACTGAGACGGAAAAAATTGGCGTTATTATCCTTAAGAAGCTATTTCTTCCAGACAAACCCTTCAGGTTAAATTGGATTATTCACACACTTCATTAAGATGAAGCGTGAAAAAAAATATCAAAAGTTGAAAAAGTCTGGAGCCCGAAAACTAACGGAGTTAGCCTTTGCACCATGACATAATGTTTTCCTTGTACATTTTCAATTAAAAACATGGTTATTTAGATGATGTATGCTAATCGTAGTTTCATTAGATTTTAAATTAAGTATCCCAAATTATTCGTAGGTGTGGCGATTTACTTAAAATTTTTAACATAACTCTTTTGATTGTTATTTGGATATCAATAAAATCATTCAATGTTTTTTTAGGGTTCGACGACTTCCAGAACTTTGAAGACTATGGTGGTACAGTCAATTGTTTACCAGAGTGCGAACATTTCAATTACCACTTCGAGGTTGCGCTTGGTTCTTTAGCCAAGAAAGTGGAGCTTAATGGTCACCCATTCTTGTTAGTATACGCAATATTCGTAATTTTGAAGTGAATCGTGCACTTTGCTAATTAAATTATTTATTTTATTGTGTATGGCGACTCAAAACAGGAAAATATTTACTTCACTGCAAATCCACGCACTTTATCACAGAGAATAAAGTTGTTCCTATTTCTTTTACTAGATTGCGCTGTAAGTCTCGAATAGGTGCTGTTTTTTTTCTTACCTATTTTATGTTTCCTCCGAATAGGGAAAAGAGGGATTTCATATTTCTGTGTTTCTCATTTAGTCTTTTACCAATTTTACGAACTTTATCGTCCTTATATTCATCATTTATCCTTATTATCCGGAAATATCTCATATTTGTCCCCTTATGTTTTTATTACTCGTATTTAAAATGTTGATTTGTTTGTAATGTTTCCAGCAAAGACGTGAAGTTAGAAAATCATTCGTTAGTGAATATTTTCTTCAACGACCTGGTTTCGACGAAGTACCGCCGGGATGTGTACCTCAACTGGCAAAACCTACTAGGTTTGTTTTTCCTGTATTTCATAACACCAGAATAACAATGAAATTCTTTCAGTATCTCATTCTTTCAGTATGTCAGTTACCTAAATATTTACTTATTCGAACTTCGCAGTTTTTGTACGACATTGTTATGTTCCATTGTCTAATATTTTTATTAATTTTGAAATCACGTTTTACACAAGTAACTTAATATTTTTATCACATTTTCCCCTACTTCCTTCGACCGGGTAGGTACTTCCCAATTAAAATATTTTTGAAGGTTTTCTTAGTAGGTAGGTACTTCCCAATTAAAATATTTTTGTCTCAAATTACTTTTGTCTGGACCCCAAGAATAATACGCAATTAGGGTGGATTGTTTTAGCTATTTGTTGTGTTTTGGCTCGAATGACGCAAACGGGGAAAATTAAACAACTGATGAAGAGAAAATGATCTCAAGTAGGAGGTAAAGTTGGTGGGTAATTTATGATTTGTAATGTAATATTACACATCTTATTGTTTGTATGTAACCTAACAATGGATTTTTCTTACTTGTGATGATGATTAGTACCTACTATTTGCCGACCTAATACTTTACATTGAGAAGGCATTGAGCAAAAAATGCTTGAACATAATAAAAGATTACACAATTATTGTTCCCATATGGCGAACTAAATCGAGGGAAATTAGCTATTACCTATTAGATGATAGACAGATCAACTATTTAACCGACTTCTATAAATATATTACGTTGTTTTATAAAACATCTACGCGTTCTTGCTGTTAATTAAACTTAACCCTAATGTACTGCATTGTTTCAGCTGCCTTCGGTGGACTTATGAGCCTCATACTTGGCTTCACGTTGATATCAGGCTTTGACCTGATTCTCTTCATCATCTTCAGAGTCGTCTTCGATGTATTCTCGAAGCTTCTTAGGAGTACCGATAATGATGTCGACACCAAGTATCATAAAGGAAACAAAATTAATCAACAGAACCAAAGAAAACAGTGGTTGGAACCGAGTATAAAGAAAATCGCTCCTAAGAGATGGTGAAGTCAAAGATTTTTCATAAAAAAGTTAATATTTAACTGTAGGTAAAATGAACCTTTTTTGTAATACTGGTAATACTTAGGTTACATATTTTTCACCTATGTATCTACACATAGGTACTCGTAAGTAATTATTACTTTATAAGATATTAGCTTTTGCCCTGTTTTCTACTCGGGATTTTTTGTTCAAAAAATACAGAACCGTATTGTAAGTTTTAGCAACTTCGTAAATAAAAAATGTTAATCTTTATGTATCTCGTTTTATTTTAATGAGTAATTAAGTACATATGTACATACCTCATTGGCGCAGAGATAAATTGTTCCTGAATGAATCACGTGCCTGTTATTGTCGAATAGTGGTGAAATAACATGTCGTTTAGCATGAAAATTCAATTACGTTACTTATTAGCAAGCAATAGGATTTTAGACGCGTAGTAAATTTTCTGTAAATTCGCGAAAATGAGGACAAAAAATAGTTGAGACTATTTAAAACAGCACGAAACAAATTAATAAAGATATAATAAGTAAGACTATTAATGTCCCGAAGCAGTGATAGGGTTAATACTGGGACATGTAAAAGTGATTTTTAAAAGCCTTTTTGCAAAACTAAATGAGTTTTATGAGTTTTTTATGAGTTTATGATACTTTCTCGCGATGAAACTTGCAGAATGGCAGCGGTAGTTTCAGAGATTAACTCTATTTAACAAACATAACATTTATACACTTACTTAAATATTACACAGAAGTTTAATCTCTTTTTTATAATATTAGTAAAGATACAGAATCCTTTTTGCTGCCCAAACAGTCCTACAGTTTTTTAGTATTAAATCATCGGGATTTTTTCATAGAATGTATTAACTTATATTGTTTTCAGTGAAGCTTCTTGTGTCAGGTCATGTAATGACCCGGTGCAGGTCTGGGTCCTTCAGAAGTCTCATACAACTTAGCACTTTTGATGAGATAGGAACTGGTGCATGTCTGGGTCGTACAGAAATCTCACACAACGTTGCTCGCCCCGCCCAAGTCTCGTAGCACTGAGAATATTACAGGACTATTCCCACTTCTCGATTCCACTGCTACAACTCTAACCATTTAAAAAATGAATGTAGAAATACTACAACGTAACTGTATAACACCGGCCGCTAAGAGCCACCCTGTAAAGTAAAACATACTTATCTGTAATTTAAGTAAGTGTTACCAAATATAATACAATAAATAGCTTATAATGGGATAGTTATGTACATTAGGAATACTATGTAGGAATGCGGAATGCCCTAGGTAAAACCCGTCCGTGGTATAAAACTTAAGTAGATAGGTACTTAAGTAACTTTTCTGTTGCTTAATTTATGTAATCATTTTGTAAATGCATGAAACATTACAATTTTCCCAGTTACTACATAGTTGGAATTGCAGTGATTGGCATAGCTGGGCACCGTTAATCAAATAGTTAACTTCGTTAATCGTTAAACCGTTAATAAAAAAATTAACTTCGTTAAACGTTAAAACGTTACATTTAGCAAGATTTAACGCAAGTTAACGTTAATCGTTAATCCGTTAACACCTTATAATAAAACGAAAAAAATAATTGTATGCAAGGTTCAAACAATATCGAAAGCTTGTATCGCGCATGGAATTTATTCCTCTTTTTAGCCAGACAGTTTTGACAGTTCCAACTCCTTGCAAGACAGTTTTTTTAGGATAGCTGCCAAAGCCACGATGACCCAAACTTCATAATCCACCAACATTCTAACCTAATATTGGGAGCATACACTGACAAACTTTTATAAAATGACGTTGGTCTGGCGTTCACCAGCTCTTAGTCTATAGTATCTCAATCTCAGAGCCTTGGTTCAATTACAATACAATTTAGCACCAATGTGCTCGAAAAGAAAAATTCAACAAACCCAAACTCGATAAGTTTTCACCATTTAGTTTAGGAATTCCTATGGCCACCTCCTGACTCCATCATCAGGACCCTGGACATCATCTAGTACTAAAGTGCTCAAAAAGACAAATCTAACGAACCCAAATTCGATGCGATTCCGCCGTTTCATTTAGTTCGCCTCCTGACTCCATCATTAGACTAGCTCAATGGTACCACAACATTGCATTTTCATCGTACTTACATAAGTATACCAAATTGCAGCTCAATCGGTTGAGGAGAACTGGTCTTAAATTCAGTTGCCAGATTTGTCCCACACATACTAACAAGTGAAGTCAATATAAGCATCTAAATAAATAAATAAAATAGCATTTTTATATTTGTTTCTTTCTGGTTACAAAAAACTGTTGTTCTGGAAGTTCTGGAAGCCCGAACGTACTCGTCAAAACGCGTTTTTCTAGTGTTTTTCAGCGTGCCTGCTGTATCTTTTTGGTAAATAGTAGGTACTGGATTAACGATTAACGGACTTAGGATAATTTAACGGAAGTTAACGAGTCCGTTAACATTTTTTAAAGTTAACTTAAAAGTTAATCCGTTAATAGAAATGTTAAATTCGTTAATTAACGATTAACGGATTAACGAGTTAATGCCCAGCTATGGTGATTGGTGTTAAGTGCTGTCAACATTCCTGATGATAATAATATGAAGAAAAAGAGTTAGTACCTACTATTGAAATTATATTATTTTATTTTTAAGAAATTTTCTAGTCTCGAATACCTAGCTTACATACGAGTACATTTCAAATCAAAATAAAAAAGGTTTTTTATTTGCTAACTGACTAGCCTACTTAGGCTGTGTAAAATTGGGATATTTTTGGGATTATTAGGATTTGCTAACTTCATGGTTCCTTATAGAGTATTTTATCTATTATTATTTTTATATTTATGTATAGACTTCCTATTGTCACTAAATCTTTTAATATTTACATGTTACGACTACAATAAAAGACTATCACACTGTTATATCATGGCATGTCGGATTGCAGGTAATATTATATGTAATATGAAGCAGGTTTCCAAAATTTCATAAATAATGAAAGCTTAAGATATTCTATAGATTATGAAATATAAACAGCATTATCAACGTCTGGTTTTACCAGATCAAGATACGAGTACATTACAAGTAGACACTGCTTCAAAGTAAGATGTCATCAACCAATGAATGGCAATGAAATAATAATCCTATCAGATAGGTAGGTACGTAGGTAGTTTGAGTTCGCAGATATTAAAATTAAAGTTCATATTATGTTACTGAAACTAGAATTCTTGCAAATGAATAAGCCCAGTAAATTGATACAGAATTGATGACTTTTATTGGTGATATAATGTCGAGGTTGTTCATTATGTATTTGATTTATTATATCATAATATTATCCATTTTTATAAAGTTTCCAAAGTCTATTTCGCGCTCTACACTTAATCTATCTATATCTATACATCTATACATATATATAAAAATGAAACCCGTTTCGCGTTGTCACGGCATCACGTGTGAACGGCTGAACCGATTTCGATAATTCTTTTTTTTAAATGTTTGTGGAAGTCCAAGGATGGTTCTTACGGAAAAAAATATTAACACTAGAGTGCTCGCGCCCCTAAATACTCCTAGAGTGCTCGCGCGGGTGACATATGTCCCCCATTATGATATGGGTTTATTTTTGCTAATCTTATTTAATACAAGTAAAACAATTTATAATATTAAACATCAACTATATTTCTTACTAAATAATTTAAAAAAAGTGAGAAATTCTTTTATGAACTCTTATTATAAACCAAAAGAAATACTTCAATATTTTTCCAATATTTTCGAGTCGAAGAGACCAAAGTAGTTTAAATAGTCGTTTGACCCGTTATTTTGGCAAAAATATCACCTAATTAGAAAGTTAATCAATAGATTGATCTTATTCTGTGATATTTTGATCACAACTCGGGCACGATATGATTTGATGATCTGGACAAAAACGCCTATTCCACTTGTTACATTTGCTTACGAGTGCTTCGATTTCTTGCTCTTGTGCAAAAAACACATCGTCCTTTGCCACAATACTGGCAAGCTTTGTGCTAGTTGGTGTTTTCGCAAGCCCAGAAGAATCCTGGTTTTTAATTTTATAGTCCTAGGTGAATTATTACTACATTGCATACAATCTAAAACAACTACTTTCTTGCATCAGTTTATGCTTATAAAACAATATAATTATTGTAAATGTTTAAAAAATGGTTAAATATTATATCCTTGAGCTTACATGAAAGTAAACTTGATTTTAAACCGCGACGCTAGGGGATCAAACAATTCCTCGAGTGCTCGCGCGGGGGACATGCGTCACCCAAACACTTTAAATGTTTTCTGCACTCACGTTGATGCGTCTAGCAAAATGGCGTTACTACTAAAATGTGCGACAATACATGCTCGAAGAATACCTGAGAAGGCAGTACTGTAGCTCGATACCTTGAAAAAATATTTACAAATTTTACACCCTGGGTGACATATGTCACCCGCGCGAGCACTCTAGTGTTAAGAAAATCACTACGCTAAGGCGGTACGAAGTTCGCCGGGTCAGCTAGTACTGACATAAATCTTTAAAACTATATCTATGGATACCACAACTTTTCTTTGTAGCTAATGATAATAGAAATGATTGTCCTTGCGGTCTGCGGTCCAGAGGAAGATTTACACTTTTGCCGCCAGTAAGTAGGCATATACACAGTTTTTTGGAACGCAGACTATTGACCCCAAAACTGCCGCTCTCTAAAATCTACTACCCTATGATCCAGCCTACTTTGTCTATTGGTAAATCCGCCACTGCTGCGGTCGCTTTTAAACTTGCACTTATACCCAAAGAAATCGAAAGTGCAAGTTTTATTGCTAGTGACAATAATAATAAGATAGGCCGCGTGCGTCATGTTTTATCCGTGATTCACTGAAGAAGTTTGATGTGAGGTGATAATTTTGAGCCCAATTTATTGTTTTAAACTTTCATGGTCACTAACATAATTATTATTACTGACGGGATTGCTACCATGTAACTTAATTTTGAACAAGTTTTCTCAGTTTCTCCGTGATCATGGCGCTTGCAACAGTGCCGAAATATCGGAAACTCAAAACTAAGGTAATTATTTTGAGCGCAAGGTGCTAATAATAATGACTGAGTATTTTACATAGTAGGTAAGTAGGTAACATGAATTTTACATGGAAAATAAGACTTAAGGACTCTACACACCAGCCGCCCGCCGATAGCCCAACGGGTTGGTGTCGGCGGTTTTATTTCAAGCAAAAGTATAGTTCCAAAATACTGGACTGTCCTGTCGATGACATTGACAGTGGGGCGCCACCGTCAATACCGGATCGCTGGTTCCGATTTTTGCCATGTTGGAAACCATATAGTTGAACGATGGTAGCGCCCCCCTGTCATTGAGTTTGGCGGGACAGTTCAGCGTGGGTCATCTATACTTAACATGTTGAGAGACTTGTCATGTCAAAAGTCAACGACTCATAACGGCTTAGTGCGACTGCGTAGTCTGCATTAGATCGAAGAGTGTTAATTGATACTCGTACCTATTTTAATGGAGTAAGATATGTGCACTTATTTATGAGATACAATTAAAACATTTATTAGGCGTCCTGTTCTTAGGTCATAAAATTACTTGTCGAGTACAAAAAAATACGGTTTTCTCTGAGATGAAAGCTATATCACAGATGTCCTCGCTCACTTGATTAAATTATTTGCTGTCTGTCGCAAAACAACAGAACCAAGTCAATGATTCACCTTTGGTATCTTTTGGGGCAATTCAGAGCCGGTTTATTGTGTTATGATTCTTAATATGATTGTTACATTTCTGGGACGGAGGGAGTTGAACTTATGGTAATAAAAAGTAGAGCTGCTAATATCGTAGATATGACAGGTGGATTAGAATATTTAGCAGACTTTTCTTTTAATGCAGTTGGCTAACCTAGATCTAGGTGAAAATTTCTTTCTTTAGATTTATCACTTTTTTTGAAAAAAAAAAAAAAATTGTTGTATATAAGCTGGTAGGGCCCAAAAATCTTTTTTTAAAGGTTTTGAGCCTATGTTGGTCACCTGTCATCCGCTTTGCAATGGAGGGAAGTCGAATCTTAATTTCGAACTCCTCCTATGTTCTTCTGATTAATTTCGTTGCGGGTCCAATGACAGTTTAACTTTCCCCCGGGACAAACTTGACTTTCATTGGTTAGGTTTTTATTGCGGTCAAGCTGTAGATCCTGGCTACACAGGAGTTGCAGTGGTGGGAACGCGAGGTGGGAATAGTCCCGTTTTGGTAGGGCCCAAAAGATAAGGAAACATGTACCTAAAGTGAATCGGTCCTGAGTGATTGTGTAACTGATTCTTGGTTAATTCAGTGACCATGAGTTGAACTAACTTTAGAAGTAAATTCTTTAATTAGTATCAAAAGATTTGGTGCCAATTTTTTTTTCTATCAACTTATATTCTCCGATGAGTAGTTCCTGCAATGTAGCATCAGTTCTTTATCTCACAAATATCTAAGTCGTACGATCTCATTATCCCTTTATCGTTCAAAGGCTATTAGAAATATCACTGCAAATAGTAATAATTCTTATTAGGTATGTTTAAAATAAACAATTATCCATGTGGAGTTCCTCTTTCAGATAACAGTGAATTTTATTAATCATGCTTACCTTATCACGAATCGAATGCCATTTGAATGTGTGATATTCTATATTATTTACGATTCATGAAAATAGCTAGATCTTTTACCTTCCAAAATAAGGTTAATTTTTGTGAACTATGGTGTTATTTACCTACTCTTTTTGCCGTGAAACCATTCGTTGTAAAGCACATTAAGTTACAAATATAATATATAGCTCTGCTACTATTCCTAAGATGCTATAGGGTTTTGTCGGCCGTTTGGTGTAGTGGTTCAGTCAAAACGGACTACTACGCCGAAAGATCCCGGGTTCGATTCCCGGCCGGGCAGAAATGATGAATTTTAATTTCCGTGATGGTGATACTTACACATATATGTATGTATTTACAAAAAAAGTATTTAAGTATGTTTAAATCCGTAGTCTAGTACACATAGTACAAGCTTTGCTTAGTTTGGGATTAGAAGCGTAGTGTAAATAAATTGTCCAGGGATATTTATTTATTATTATTAAATAGGTATATGTGACTTTAAGTGCCATTGCTGTACCTACACATCGGAATGCAAGCAAAGAGCTTGGTAGGTATGTTCGTCATCGTTCGTAAGTCTCAAGAAAACGGTTTGTATAAAAGAAAAAAATGGGTTAGCTAGTAATTAATATATTCTTGAAGAGACACACCCATACAATGACATGTAGATATTATGTACTATATGGAGATCTATAGATTCCGACATCTAACATAATGTTTATAATCTCGTAGATATTAACAATGTTATCTTGGACTATAGTTGATGTGGAACTGTGTTACCTAAACAATTCCACGAAAGATTTTCAAATAACTGTAATCTAAGGAAAGGTTATCTTAAGTACACTAACATCACAAGCTTTGACAGACAGAGTTGATGTAAAAAAATTTAAGATTAGGTCTAGTTATGTATATAGATTAAGCAAAAAATGACATAATTGACACTCATGACTCATGATATTCTGTAGCAGACATGAAATTTTTTGGTTTAAGTTTGTTTATGATTTTAATGTTTGGAATATTAATTAATTCAATTTTTACCCTAGACACGTGATCTATAAGACTTTCGCGTAAAGACGCAAAGTACGACACTTTATAAATCATTGTTATGGGTAAAGTCATCTCCGGGGCTACTACTCCAAATTAAGTTAAACTCATGAAACAAAAAAATAAATAATTATTTAAAAAAACTTTTAGAACAAAATTATCTTAAGGTACCTAATATTTACCACTGCAGTTTTTTTATCTTACATCATAGGTATAATATGTAGTAGTATTCGATAATAAATTTAAGTAAGTATTATAGTGAAGTAAATGAAGTAACACAGGGTATCTCAAAAAGATAGAGGAAGATAGATTAAATTGTATATCTACCATCCGATTACAAAACAGTGCCTAGGTATGTACGAGTATTAGCGAATGACGCACGTTGTTAGAATTTGATTGAAATTGACATAAACACAAAAATGTACAATCAATCATTTATCAACATCATTATCAATATTCTGCCTTATTGATTTATCGGTGATTACTCCTATTGAAGGGATTTATGAAATTATAACCATAAATCGGTACACGCATCTGGCAAATGCTTTCGCCGTTAAACTATCGCCGTTGCCTATCAACGTTATTAATGAAATCCTAATCGCTGCAACGTCTTATCAAATAAGATTATCTACTTAAAAACCACTGCCATTGATATTGTCTACCAGTGTAGCGAATGAGATCTGTCGTGGACTGTCTATCGTCGCAATTAATTTCAATAACATGTTTTTTTAAATAATTTCTCACTCGAGTTTGTGTGTTATTTCGATGTAAGTAGTGGGATTGTGTTAATGTCGATCGCTTTTTGTTTCGTTGTATCGTTTGAAGAGGACAATAAACGGCAATAAATAGGTTATCGACTGCTTTAATGTGTGTAACTAGTAGCTGTTGAGGAGATATCGAATCTGATAGTAGTAGCGGCGGTAGAGGTAATTCGACGTTCAGGTCAACTGTTATTTATTTGACGCTAGCTGTGGGCTGTCTGTAGCTCTACAGCAAAAACGGAAAACAATATTATCAATAACATTAGTTGTGATGAGGAAAATGCAATCTGTAATAGTTGCATTATAGAGAGCTAATTAATATACCTTTTTATGGATTTTTTTGTTGAAATAGGCTGTAAATCCTTTAATATTTCGGAAGTGACAAATATAAACTGTTGTTAATAAGCGCAAAATAGTAATAAATAGATACAGTCATGATGCCTATAGAAAACTATGTAAGGTAGTTTAGTAATTAGTATTTTAATATGTCATGCAAACTTTTAACTCGATCAAAAGCAACTCATTAAAAATTTATTTAAACTGTAGGTTTACTATTTAATGATCAAATATTGAGTTTTGACAAAAAAGTTCATATAAAATCTATTTAATAAAAAAAATATTTATATTTCCTGTTTTTATTTCAATTTGGCTTTTTCCTCTTTCGCTTCCCAACTTCTAAGTCGATGGCCTGCGAGATTTTTTTTCACGGCATGAGGTAAAGGCATACGAAATACAGTAAGGTCTTTAGTGGCCATATGCATTTTATTAGGATAAATTAATTTGTTAATCTACTCAAAAATGATAAAAACAAATGACTAGTGGATCCCCGTAATTACAAATTCGTTTAGGTATATGACATGAAGTGCATTTTAGTTAGGTGGCTATCTATCAACAAAAATAAAACTACCTACCTATTTGATAATTAATTTGAGCACGTTTGAAAGACTTCAATCAAATCACTCGCTTCCTAGGATTAAATGACCGAAATCCGTGACCATAGACAATGCTTTTATGCCTTTGGTGGATAGTGCATAAAATGCATTAGGTAATTCAAAGAAATTCAAAATATTCGTTGATGCATTAAAAACGATTACATTAAATCATTACAAATAGTAAATGAGTTACAAAATTATCATAATAAATCGAGATGCATGAAACTTGATGTTAAGTTCCCAAATAAAATACCACTGCAAACTAGTCTAGCACTGGCAAGGAATATCGAACAGGACCGCTATAGAAAGAAGAGTTAGGTTTGTTTCTAATTAAGTAAAGAATATTACAATAGATTGATTCAATTTTTTTTTATTTATTTTAAAATGTACGAAATATAAAATAACACAAATAGGTATGCAAACCATAATGAATATTTTGTTGCAAAACCTTGCGGTTTAAAACATGCTGTAAATAAACTTTTATCAGCTGTATAAATTATAAAGGGGCCATAATTCTATTAAATTATGAATTACTAACACATATAAGGCTTCCTGCTGTTGCAAGTCACATTATTTAATAGGTATTTGTACATCAATTTTATATCCTAATGCAAATGAAATAAAATTAATAATGTTCCATAAAATATTATGAGGCTTTTATTTTTTTAATCCAAAAGAAATCTAAAATGTTAAATAAACATTATTTAATATTATTTGTAAAAAACTAAAAAACCCTTCCTAAGTATACGAGTACAGGGTGTTAGGTAAATGGGTATATGAGCCGACACTAGCCCATGTTAACATGGTCATATAAATGGTATGGTAAAGTCAGAAAATTGATATCTTCATTTTAATTATTTTATTTTTCATACAAAATTGGATTTTATAAAATTTATTTTGTATGAAAATAAAATAAAATAAAATGATGATATCAAATTTCTGACTTCACCATACCATTTATGCCCATGTTAACATGGGCTAGTGTCGGCTCATATACCCATTTACCTAACAACCTGTACATATTGCTTAATTTTTAATACCAGTATTGAATCAGTACTTAACTAATCTGTACTAATATTAAAAAGAGGTAAAGTTTGTGTGTACAAACACACATATTTGTTAAATTGTAAGGGGGTAATCTCGGGATCTACTGAACTGATTTTAAAAATTCTTTCACCAAAGAAGCCACATTATTGCTGAGTGTCATAGGTTATATAAAAAACCGAAAAATTCCAGGCGGAAAGCTAGTCAATAATAAGCCGTAACTAAGTCAAAGAGAAATAAATAATGTAAGGTATTTTGTAAAATATGACCATTGAAAAATAAGAGTATTCTACTTTTATTTAAGACTAGCTGACCCGGCGAACTTTGTTCCGCCTTAATGGCAATAAATAAGCAGACTTTTTTTTTATTTCGAACGGGATAAAAAGTATCCTATGTCCTTCTCCTGGCTCTAAACTACCTCCCTGACAAATTTCAGCTAAATCGGTTCAGCCGTTCTTGAGTTATAAGTGGAGTAACTGTGGAGTAACTAACACGACTTTCTTTTATATATATAGATAGATTGTAGGAATCGAACCGAACTTTATGTAATGTACCTTACAACGACATAATTTTGTTTGCTCGATTTGAATTAATTTATAAAACGCCATAGGTAGTAGGTACCTAGATACCATAATTATTACAATATTATATTGTAATAATTATGGTATCCTTTGCTTACGTATTATACGTAAGCAAAGGAAATATAACAAAAACAATGGATTACACACTTTTCGTCGACGTCACTTTGATCTTAAGTTTTGAAGATGTTTTCCTCACGATGAAAACGGTTGGNTTAAAGATAAGATTTATAAACAAGTACGAGCAGCAATGGAAGCATTTAATTTTCAGAAATACCGGAGAAAATATTGCTCTCCGGGAGGTCGGGAGGTTAACCATTATTTCCGGAGTCTCCCGGGCAATCCGGGAGGGTTGGGAACCCTAGTTGCACTCGTAGATATTGGCAAAGCCAAGCGCGCGAGCGGATCGCGGGCCAACCGCGCTGGCCCGCGCAGGGTTTTTATCTTAGTCATCAGGAGTAAAACACCTATGGTACGCTATCCTTAATAAAGGGAAGTATTTGTTTTAGCCTCTTAGACGACGCTAAACATTTGACCAGACGGTGAGTGTCATCATCAACTCTCAAGTTTTGTTTATTTAAATTTAATAAAAAATAATAACTAAAATATTAGGGTTTAACGCTCGTGGTTTCTAAGAAAAACGAAAATTTTAATTCGTACTATCTAATCGTATATGGGACTGATATTTAGTGTTATAGTGCGGACAATATTAAGTGGCTACCTGGATTGGGCGTTAATTATTATTAAACTTATACATACATATAAGTATAAGTAACGGTAATATAGGTAACGTTTACTCTCGTACCAACATTATGCTAATGTGTACTTACTTACTATGCAGTGCTCACAACGAAGTCATGAATCCGTGCATTATTTACAATAACTTACATATGGACCCAATACTTAATAGTTTCTTTTGATCATCTTGCTTGACGATTAGTTTTATGTAAGGAAATAAGTTAACATAATCGTTTTCTCGATAAAGAGTATTTACATGCTTATTATACAAAATACAGGTCTACGTAACAGTTACAATTAGAAAACATTAGTTTTGAATTAAATTATGAATGCTATGTGAAAACAATGGCACCGTCTTATCGTCTTAAAAACGTTCTGTGTGGCCCGTCACGTATGACTACGTACTTAATTTGCAATTAATTATCAGATTAAATTACGAAATAGTTTCGGAAATTCCCTCCAGTTAGTTGTGACGAAGATCAATTTCTGGATAAAACAATAAAATATGCAAATTTCTAGATACGACGGGTATTTTTGATTCAATCATAATAAAACCCTATCAATTAGCACCTAGCACAGTTCTGTCACATCGTCAAAAATAGTAAAACTGCCAGAATATGAGTTATTAAGTGCGCGTTAATTAAATGAGAAGACGTGAGCGCTACTGAGCAGTTGTTATTTATTTAGTGGTGTTAGTTCCATTGAAAGGAAAACTTCCGAATGTGAAAACACATAATATTAGTTTTTACAGTCCGAAGCAAAAACGAGGTTTCTTTTAACTATACTTTATCGCACAATCATAACCAAAAACACCTATCTACTGAATTTAAATGTAATGCATAATGCCTGTTGACAGTAATCTATTTAATTTATCAGTTATCTTTTTTGATAATCAATTAATGATATAAGTATTTGTTATTCGATTGGCGTCAAAGGGCTATCTAAGATCATAGTGCCTATTATAAATATATCTCACTATATATTTAGAAAATTTATTGATGGATATCATTGGTTTGAATTTTACGAGAACCAGGAGGTAATACCACAGAAAAAAATTATTATGTAATGCTCGCCAACAACCAATAAAACATAGCTTAAAACTATCACTAGTTTTGTTCGATTGCTTCATGTGTTTATTGTTACACAAATACAGATTCAAAAGACTGATGAATCAAAACAAAAAGAATCATTTTCACTTGGACCTTCTCTCAGACCTTGCATGCCGACCTTTCATCTAATTCCAATCGAATGGAATTAGTAAATCAAACTGTCGATTATGTCTGCTCGGTTTAAGGAAACTCGGTATTGTTTCAGATATTTCACGGACTGCTCGCACTGAAAATGGCGCGAGAGGCGATTCTGCTTTGCGCCGCGTTGACCGCGTTGTGGAGCGTCGCTGCACATGCTCAACTACACAGTAAGTTTCCTCCAATTTAAAATTTCTAAAATGAGTTTAAAATTATTTTTTGTTACCGAAGTGGTTTTATTAGTGGTACTTTTCTAAACACAAGTTTTAAACACGATTTTTATGATATTAAAATCAATTATGAATGTAGAGTCTCACAATATTTCTGCGATATTTACTTAATATTATATTTTATTTATATTTATATAATTTGCCTTTTACTGTCAACATTTCGTTAAATATTCAGAGAGCATTTTTATGTATGCTTGGGTAGGTCATTATGTTCATTGTAATTTTAATATATTGTTAAAATGAACATCTATTAGTATTTCTATTCTATACTAGTAATATTCTATTAGTATTTGTGATCCAAGGATAAACAAATCAATTGAGATGCATTTGTGAGGAAAATATTCAAGAGAATTCAACAAAACTAATGAATGACCAAAAGTGCATTTCGATAAATGTGCATTGATTTAGTAGCGTTTATCATAGCAGATTAATTCGGAAAATTGAGACACCAGATTATAGGGTAATTATTAACATAAGTGGTTATCGCATAAGCAAAAAACCATGGGTTTACGTCAAATAAGGAAAGTTGCGAGCACCGGCGAGTGTCGCACCACAGGTGCTAAGTGCGGTGGGATATCGAATCTTAGACTTCAATATAAATCAGTCGCTCTTGGAGCGTGCACAGATACACACATCATTGTCTCTCACGATTTAAATATATTCAGATTCAGTGAACATTATAAGATTAAATTTGATTGCTTTAAATTTAAATTACTTAGACTGATAATTTATCTTATTAATAAACTAGCGGCCGCCCGCGACTTCGTGCGCGTGGTTCTCGTTTTACCCCCCCTTCATCTATCTTACGCGGTTCAGATTTTTTCATACAAATGTTTTTTCCCGCTAACTCCCGTTCCCGTGGGAATTTGGCAATATCCTGTTGCAACTAAGCTTTAAGTTTACTAAGGTACCTGCATGCCAAATTTCAAGAGTCTATCTTACGCGGTTTAGATTTTTTCATACAAATGTTTTTTCCCGCTTACTCCCGTTCCCGTGGGAATTTTGCAATATCCTGTTGCAACTAAGCTTTAAGTTTACTAAGGTACCTGCATGCCAAATTTCAAGAGTATATCTTACGCGGTTTAGATTTTTTCATACAAATGTTTTTTCCCACTAACTCCCGTTCCCATGGGAATTTTGCAATATCCTGTTGTAACTAAGCTTTAAGTTTACTAAGGTACCTGCATGCCAAATTTCAAGCGTCTAACTTAAGCGGTTTAGATTTTTCGTACAAAAGGATTTTCCCGCTAATTCCCGTTCCCATGGGAATTCCTAAGTATCCTATAACCTGCCCAGGAGTATGAAGAATAATTGTACCAAGTTTCGTTAAAATCCGTCAAGTGGTTTTTGTTTCTATAAGGAACATACAGACAGACAGACAGACAGACAGACAGACAGACAGACAAAAATTTTACTGATTGCATTTTTGGCATCAGTATCGATCACTAATCACCCCCTGATAGTTATTTTGAAAATATATTTCATGTACAGAATTGACCTCTCTACAGATTTATTATAAGTATAGATAAAATATCAGTGATTTCAACGTCCGGCTTTAGGTTTGTTGCACTTTATCAATCACATGGCTAATTATTAATGTCAAATATTTCTTTTCAATCTAAATTAATTATGCGTAAGAACACCTTTTTTTAATCTCAATTATTTTTGGAAGCTTATCGCTTGTTATTTATCGAGTAATGATAATCCGGTGTTAGTATGGTTCACAGCTGCCATTGATAGCCCGTGAAACTATGATACTGATAACTCGAATGATCGGACATTACCTGATTCGCAAATCGATTCCTACCGCGAGATACCGTGTGTGGTCTGTCATTCAATACGGGTCATTGCAGCGTTAGGTAAATTAATGAATTGGCGGAATTCCAGGCCGTAAACAAATGCCAAACAAGCAACATTCATATAAACAAGGAACAAATTACCCACGTCCTAATAGGCTTGTCTGAGACAAGTTACATCACAGAAGTAGCGATAAACTCCTGCGACAGTGAGAGTCTTCACTGCAGGAAAACGTTCATTTTCTTGATAACAATTGAATGTCAATGATAGAATTTCATTATAGCGTGCGATGTAGCGCGGACTATTAAATAATGGTTGGTTAATGTTTTGGCGCAGACAAGAGCGACGCGAGGTTCGTGCCGATAGTGAACAAGCATGGTCGGACGGTGCTGATCGAAGAGCAATTGATGTCGAAGCTCGATGAGGAGGTGGCCACGTGGCACTGGACGCCATGGCTGCGCACCAGGACCCAGGAGCTCGATGGCGTGGTGCAGGCCGTGGCGTGCCCATCCAGTGACTCCGTGGAGAGCTTCCCGGATGGCCTATTCGACGGTGAGTTTCTTCGAACATTATTTTTAAGGTATTTTCTGCCCAATGGTAACAATAACAATGCTCTTTACACCTCATTGTTTTGAAATTGCATGATAAGTATATTAACCATTTATTTGTAGAGATACACGCGAGTAAGTCTCTCTAACTATTGAGTGATGATTTTGCAATTTAGCTTTATTTATATTGTAAGTACTGGGGGATATGAAGAATTTGAGAGCCTATTTATCCATCATCATGTATGACTTTAGTTAGAGATCGAGGTAAAAATCCCGAAATTTTTCATTAAGAAGTCTCCAAAATTAAGCAAACTATGAAACAAAATTAAGCAAAATATATAAGTAGGTTTTCACAAAACCTTATGACCTAAATTACAATTTATTGAAAAATAACTTGTATACCAATAAACAGGGACACACTCAGAAGAAGAAGAAGTGTTACAGTATCTAAATGAAAATGTTATCGTAGTTTACGAGTATGTCGATGCGTGAAAGATATACTCGAGCCGTTATCATTTCGTTTGTGTTTGTTTACAAGATCCAAGTGCTAGGAAGAAGGTCGTAAGCCCTTAGTTCTTATCGTTGATATTTCTCGTATGTCTCTTAGAAGACTACAGCCTTGACCATACCCCAGTAGCAATGCAGCCTTGCAAAGTAGGGGAAATTGTGCTCAACCAGTAATCAAGCACTTAGCTTCAGTTATCATCACAGGTTTGTTTTAGCCATTAATCTTGATGAATGCAATAAAATTATGCCAGGTATATATTTACCTGTTTATATTTCCTATTTACCTTTATCTTATTGATAACATAGATCATATCCTTAAAAATAAACTAAAGTAATACGAGTGAGGTGATCGATAAAATTGAAAATATTTTAGTAATTTAACATTCTAAAAATTAGCAACCAAATCTTCGAGTTCGATTCTCATAAATGTCGACAATGTAAAGCGTTACCATTTCAAATTTCATTTACATATGTAGATAAGTATGCCTGCCTACGATCGCGATGTCTAATGCTCACAAAGGCTCGACGTAGGTATATTGTTCAGTATATTTCAGAGAATTTCATTGAGAAAAACCAAGATTATGTTTAACTGTCCAATGTGAATTAGGGTTAGGACGGAGCGTGATTAATAATAATTCACGATTTCCAAAGTATTCACTTCATACACTTATATTTTTGAGATTTAAATCATAAGTTTATGTAAATTATTTAAATAAAATGGAAAGGAAGGTCTAACCTTCTCAATATTAATTCTTTTAGGTATACGATAACGACTACAATAGTTTATTAAAATTCAGACCACCTAAGGTGATATTTACCCGACTGCACCAGAAAGAGGGTCATTTCATTACTATTTTCGTCGTTCATGTCTATATCGTTGTGATTTAATTTCAGACGAACAACTCCGGCAAGGTGCGTTCATTCTGTACATGATCTTCGGGATTTACGCATTCACGTTGCTGGCCATCGTTTGCAATGACTACTTTATCCCCTGTGTGGAGTTGATATGCGAAGACTTGAAAATACCACAGGTAAGCACACACACATAGACTAAGAGCTAGTGAATGCCAGACCTACGTCATTTTATAAAAGATGAAAGTTTGTCAGCGTATGCTTCTAATATAGGATACAATGTTGGTGACTTATGAAGTTTGGGTCATGGTGGCTTTGGGAGCTACCCTAAAAAACTGTCTGGCAAGGAGTTGGAACTGTCAAAACCGTCTGGCTGTTGGGGAAAAAACTTTTTATTATTGCCCAAATATTATACATAAAATCAGATTTTATGGTATAACGTAAGTTGTCGGACCTGTAATACAGGCTCTTTCAGAACCTACTTCAGGCACCAGTCTTCACAATACGGGTATATGATATGCCAGGCCAAAGCACCGATTAGCACACTAGCAAATAATGTATCACAGAATGACAAACTATCGTATCTTTCCTATGTGCTGTCGTGTGTACCTAATATCTTGTCAAATATTGTCTCAACAACAACAAATTGTAAGCCCATTGTGAAGAAAATAAATATTTTTATTTATTATTATTTATTAGTTTAACTTTTACGGTGGCTTTTTCTGTATATTCAATAGACTGTAATTCTACTAACATGACGTAGGTCTGGCATTCACTAGCTCTTAGTCTAACACCCATAAAAAATTTTTGACGCCTCTTCCAAAATCACCGGCAATACTCGCTACTGTGGTAGTTAGATAGATACAGGGACTGATAACAAAAGTTACTTTGCTATCTCTTGATAGACCTATTAGAACAGTTAAATCGCATTATCATAGGCATGCCAATTCGTATATCCTTCATGAATTTATCTATTATGATAAATATTATTTTTCGTTTTGAAAATAGACTTGCGACGTCAAATAATAAAAATAATTTCCACTAATATATTAAAAAACTATATACTGTACCTTTTTTTTATATAACAGTAGTACTACAGTTGGGACATGGGTAGGAATCGTACTTAAATATAATATCCTATAAAATAATAAAATCCATCTACGTATAATGCTAAGAGGTGGATCTTCCATAAGAAATCATGTTGTTTTGGTTTTCCTTAATACCTTACAGTACCTACTTATACGCAGCAAGAAGGATGGGTTTTACACGCCGTCAATGTGTTATGCAATATTAACGTAAATGAGATAAAGGAATCTTATGAATAGATCAATAATTTATCCATAATTATGTGATTTATTATTTTATTATGATTTCGAATGTAATAATAACACTCGTTTTAAATGACACATGGCGATTGTTATTTCCTTTAGTTTTGTTGAAGTAAATTTAATTGACTGCGCAAGATCATTATTTTCCTGCTAATATCCTTTTTCCTAGTTGAAATGAATTCCAAGTTACGTCAAGGATAAAATTGACATAATTCTTGCAAATTAGAGAATGAGCAACTGTTTTCACAAAATGTATTTAGACAATGGTTACTTAATAACGAGCTTGTATAGCGTTTGAGGGCTTACATGAGTTAATTGTGAATGACATAAAAAAAAGACACATGAAAAAAAAAGACAAATGTATGGTAGATTAAACATTAAAACAGGTACATGATCTATATTTATATGTAAAGGTCCACTTTACATTTAATAAGCACTCGATGCTGTTATTTTTTACACATTTCAGTTAACATTACATAATGTCACCAAGGTTTATCAGTCAAATTCAAGATGTCTTCTTTTTTACAGAATGTGGCTGCTGCGACGTTCATGTCAGTTGCCACTTCATGCCCAGAGTTCTTCGTCAACGTGATCTCAACCTTCTTGACAGAGTCCGACATGGGGATAGGAACTATAGTCGGATCTGCCATATTCAATGCCCTCGGAGTGGCCGCCATCGGAGGACTGGCTGCCATCTCTGTGAGTACCTCCTTCAAAAGATATCAACGTCTAAACCAAAGACAAAGCTGAGCAAACACCAAGTCTTTCAATAGCACAATAATGTACTTATTTTATTCTTCTTTGAATCGTTTTTATCGTTGAAAGTAAATTATACATCGATTAAACAGTTGCTAAGTGTATTTGGCATATTAAGTGTTTGATTAGATAATTGCACGTCTTAAGAAAGGATTACTTGGATGCTCTTAGTCTCGATGTTGAATAAATATAATTTAAAATGTGTTGACAGAACGTGATATGATTAAAAGATAAATAATAGTAAACACTTTCAAGATAATTTTAAAAACTTTCAAGAACTTTTATCGCTGAGTTAACAAATGAATTAATGTTTGTTTCAGCCCATCGTTATAGAGTCCAGACCAGTGACCAGAGATGTGTTGATATACATGGTAAATGTGAGCGTACTGGTGGTGATTGTGTGGGACGGGCAGGTGGATTGGCAGGAGGCTATAGTGCTCGGAGTCCTCTATGTCCTCTATTTCATCTTCATGTTCAACAGCATGAGGCTGTTCAAACTTTTTGATATTATCTGCGGCAAATTATGCTCCAGGAAAAACAGTTTAACAAGTATGTACTCTATGGTTTTTACTAAATGAATGAACTCAGATAATGAAAAATCCACTTCAAAATATTGATCAACATTAAATAACTTTATAAAATGTTTTAGTTTCAGAATCCGACGAAAACAAGAGCGTTGAAGAAGGCGTTGACAATAAAGCTTTCAATGGATCTACGACGAATGTGAATGGAACTATTAACGGTGAAAAAGTTACTGTGATTGATAAAGGTAAATGAAATATATTTATTTCAAGAAATCTTTAATATTCTAGTCGCCAAATCTATATTATAGGCATAACTTAGAAAATACTTAAATCTAATTTACCTTTTTGCTTTTAGTTCCCGAGACCGAAGTAAAAAAACCGAAGAGCGTGTTTCGATTCCCCAGTCAGAACTCTCTAATGTACCGAATCTGGTGGGTCTACAGCTGGCCGCTGAAGTTCCTGATGACCATAACGATTCCCTCGCCGGTCACCTGCAGGAAATTCTATCCTTTGGCGTTCTTCATGTGCATAGTTTGGATTGGAGTTAACTCCTACTTCGTTTCTTGGAGCATGACTGTTTTAGGTAATTTAAATTTATAATTACGAGTATATATATTGCTTTATTATGTACCTATCAACATCAATCAAATGACGAGTCATGAGTAGGAAGAAAATTGATCATTTAAATAAACTAATGTGTACTTTTTAGGTCACACGTTCTTTATCCCGGACTCCGTAATGGGAATGACGTTCTTGGCCTTTGGCGGTTGCTTGCCTGAAGCGTGTTCCATCTTTATTATGTCACGAAGAGGTATGTACCGGTCGCCCTTAGTTTTTCTCACTGAATAACTAGTTCTTGCAAATCTTAAGAGCCGTTATGTCGGACATTTGGTATTCGATTTTCCAACACAAAAAGTTACCCGAATTCCATCTATAAGGGGAAGACCCATGACAAGCGCGTGACGCATAAAGAATGTTAATGTTTCAAACTCGTGCCGCCCGGAATAAAATGGAGTGAAAACACGTACATATTCTCGACAGTTTATTGTGATTTGCAAGTACTATATCGCATCTATTAATAACTCATTTCTAATCAACAACAGCCTTAGTGATACTGCATTTTATACATTGTTTTTCTGCTGTTGCGAATCATTTAAATTTTAATGCTTTTTATGTACCTATTATGTACTCACGTTTTAGGTACGCACCTCCCTGTAAGATAATGATTTATCATTTAATTAATTACTTATATCTAGTCTAATATCTGTTTCAATGATTATTAGGATTCCGCTGTGCGTCTGTGTTAGCGATTGACGTCTTTTAAGATCGGAATTGAAGATCTCAAGGATTTATCGATAAATTAAAATGAAAGATTAGATAACAATCATAAATTGATGTCGCATAATAAGCATCAGCGAAGACTATTTTTTTAATGGTGTACTTTTCATGACTACCGGTTTCCTTACTGCTTATTACAGAGTATAATTTGCATTCTTAGATGGTTAAACTAAAATGTTAAACTCGAAGCGAAATCATTAACTTGTGTAGATACCACAATTATCTGCTGTCGATAATTCTGTCTACTTCCGCGGAAAAATGGTGACAAATCGTTGCACTGATAATTTTAATGACATGTTTGCTGCGCGTGATAATAAAGAAAATAAACAAGTGACAATCTAACGCTTCTTTTTGTTCTTTTCAGGTGAGGGTGGTATTGGTGTATCGAATGCATTAGGTGCTAACTCATTGGCCATCCTCTTTGCTCTGGGAGTGCCATGGCTCATCAGGACTTTGACCCTTGTGGCCCAGGGAGCAGATGACACTTCCGTGCACATCAATTCTGCAGGAATTGACTTTGTAGTCGGATCTCTTCTGGTTGCCGTGGCGTGCCTGTGGCTCACCCTGCTCATCGGCAAGTTCACTCTCAAGAAGACTGTCGGTGGCGTCCTCCTGGTCCTCTATGTCATCTTCATCACCTTCGCCATCCTCGTTGAGATGGGAATCATATTGGACAGATCCGATCTCAGATGCCTGTGAGCTAAATTTTAGAGAGACTTTGAAATGTTTTTGTGTTCTGGAATATCATAAATCACACACACAATAAATTTCTGTGATTTTAAACGTGTGTGAACTTTGAAGAGAATTAAGTAGGTGCGTAGTTACGTGATACTTCGAACCTTAAGATCGAACGAAATGTGTTCGAAACGAGCTTTAGATAGGATTTTAGTATTCGGAAACTGAAAATAAGAGCTTCCAATTAGAGAAAATGTGATAATGGTATAGCATATACGATGTATCTATAGTAAAGCTGGTAGGGCAGTCCGATGAGAATCGATACTGTCATGTTCTACCTCGTTTAAATTAAGTTTAGTTGTTCTTGTATCTGCCTCGAGGATAATCTTCCATGGCATTGTTGTTATAGGTACACGCACAGCTAAACTTTGCGTTAATTATTAGGTTAATTTAGGTTGGGTAGTTACCTACCGATTAGCCAAAACCGACATTTTGTATTATCTATCCAGTGCTAAAGATAAATGCATTTATTTCTTATGTGTAGGCAAAATAAATCATGATAACTTAATTCTTAGTATGTCTTTGTGTAGGATAAGACAACGTGTTCATAAAAAATAATTAAGATATCGTGGTCTAAGTACTTACAAATGATAATATTTTGTTCTTGCAATATAGGACAAGACCATCGAGTACATCTATCTGGAATCAGTTGAGGGCCTGGTGATAGCAGTGATGACCACTAGGAATACTTGCTTTTTATTTGAACACTAACCTCTTGTGAAGAAGTGTAATATCAAAAATTTACCGCAACTATACACTGTGAAACACAAAAGTGACGAAACTGCAACTCTAGTTACTTTAAAGTTTCATTTGGATGTAGAGTCCTAGAAACCGCACACGATGCCACTTTAAAATCTGTTTTATACGCATTTAAAATTACTTCAAATCAGAGATTTACTTTGCAGCTTACACAGTACCTTTGAAGCTTAATGATAAGTGCAGCAACGTTCATAAGTAAGCCAAACCAGGTAAGTATAATCTATCATCCTACTCTCTCCAAAAGTAATTTGAAGTCAGGATTGACTTAACTTTGAATTTAGACTTTCCTGCTAGTGTGCCTAGTTCTATTTAATATAATTTTAGTCGGTTAATATATTTATTTAAAATATTGTCCAATGCCAAAGCAGGTATAAAATATGCACTTATGGGTACCCTAGTGTTGAGTACCCATAGGTAAAGTTTGCGTCATTCGCTGTGAAAAGTGAAATGCGAATTTATGTTGTTTTTAGCAAAGTTTTTATACTATTTGTGATGTCACTTACAGTAAAGTAAGTTCCCTTTTTATGTACTTTGAAAGTAAGAAACATTTCTAAGTTAGTAAATATTTAGAGTCAAACTAACGCGTATCACCATCAGAATGAATGTGAGTTTATGTGGACATCGCATTCCTGACTCTTAGCATACGGGTGCTAAAGTAATACTTGGAAATGTTGGCAGTTTGTAATCCTTACATACAAGAATGTGTGGAAGTGAATATTTATTAAATCTACATTGTTTGCTGACTTACTTTCATTAATGATTTGATTGTAGGTACAATGTATTTTAAAAGTTTTTTTTTATTGTTAGGTAGTTTTTTAAACACATATCTAGTTTTGTGAGAGGAAAGTGAGTAGATCTGAGTATGGATGAGTTAGTTTCACTTTGAATTTTTATACGAAGGAAATAGTGACTATAAACTATGTAGCTTTGCTATGTGTTTACTCAAGGCGAAACGAAGTCGTTTGCTAGTTTGATATAAGCATACCAAAAATTACTAAACAATTAGCTATGGAAAAATATATACTGTAGATATTATTATAGGTTACCTACATATTAATAATGTAAATAACTTTATAATTTATTGCTTTTTATAATATACTGTGTATCTAACTCTACAATAGTTATTATGATTGTTGACAGGAGATTATTTTGTTGAATTAATAAAAATGTGGTTGATTTCAAGAAAGTCCTTCATTTACTTTCAGTTTATTGATAAAAGTCCTCTTTATTGAGGAAGGTTGTAGTAAGTACATAAAATCACAAAAATACAAGACTTTAGTATAATTATACCTCTCAGGGCGCTACTTCCGGAAGTACTTCCAGAAGCTCTGTAGCTTAGATATAACGAATTTTCTTTTGAGAAGCCTTCTAATAAGACAGTTGGTTAATAACTTATCTTGCCCGAGAATGGCCCTGAAAAGTTTAATTCATACTAAAACAATTAGTTTTAGTGTAGGGAAACATAGTTCACACAAATCTAAACAGACAGTTATACTAATACTTCAGTAACTTTTAATACCCGTCCTAACTACATCCCTTTATAAAAATACCTACATTACTTAAATGTTCCATTGACCAACTTTGCCATCAGGTCTATTCAGTCACCGTTATATAATTTACACCCATATGACTAAAAGGAGAGATCATTTGCATATATTTTGTAAATACTTTAAAATTATGTGCCCTTAAAATATTATTTTATAGTAACAGTTCTAAGGAAGTCTTAATTGTTTCATATACTTGATATACATATGTAACTAACAATAAATATGTATGTTCATTTGATTTTCATTTAGACGATATTCTCGCGTGTGTTCATTAAGCTCTCGCCGGCCGTAACACCTGCAACAAAAAACAAATATAATGCATTCATAAGTAAATATTTTATTCTCTTTAACACTGGGTGCTTTTTGTGTCTCTAAATGTCTGAAAACAACCAAAACAAAGTTATCAGGATAACGTAATCAAATCACACAGTAGATCAGCCACGGAATTATCAAAATAAGATAAAATGGGAAAATACATTATTAGCGGAACTAAATGTGCACGTGTGCAAATTAATAAAATAAAACGTAAGTGAAAGTAACAACTGAAAAACATAGGCACATCACTGTTGTGGGACATAAGATTTTATTACATAATACTATAAATATAAAGAAGTAGGTACATGGTATATGGTATGGTAGGTTGCCTAGCAGGATTTAAAATAAATATTGGCTGGATACTGTGGTTGTACTCTGAGATTAAAATCAAGATGTACTCACGATTCACATTACCTGTCATGGCAATAGCATCATTCCTCTTGAGCAGGCGCGACATGGCAGCCCTCAGCACGATCACCACCTCGTGGTTCGTGAAGCAGAATAGCACAGCTACGCACAATCCCTGGAGACAGAGGACAATATCTTTTATGAACGTGTACTTAAGAGTCTTTTTACACGTTATCACGAGTAAAAGAGAAAATTTTAAGAAGCCATTTTTAATGATAATTTTAGGTATTTTAAAATCTAAAATTAAAGCAAAAATAACATGACACGAAACCTAACATTGCAGTTTAATAGGCTCTCATTGCAGTTTAATTTGTCACCAGCAATCAATCGCTATCGTTTTTATACTTAACAGTTGGCACCCCTTTTTTTTTTTTCGGTGGTAAAAATGCATTGAGTTGCATACCCGCCACTGTGGTCAGGCGGCGGGTTATGTGGGGCTCTCCCCTCCAGAAGGGAGGGGCCTACCCACTAAAAATCCACCATCTCCGTCTCGCTGAGCACAGGTGGGAGCCGGTGTAGCGAGGCCTTTCCCGACATGTTCCACCTATGCGCNGTGTCAGAGACGACGCGCCAAAGCACGTCGCCTCCGGCAGTCTTCCAAGGTACCCCTGGCGATTGACAGGACCTAACTCTACAGTGGCGCCACCTTGATGAGTGCAAATGCGATAGTCCTCCTACCACTTTCGCGCTCACCAGTTGGTGCCACTGTCTTCGCTACTAGCAAGTGACAGGACCTTACTCTACAGTGGCGCTAACTGGTGAGCGCTAAAACGATAGCCCTCATTGCAAAATACTGAACTCTCCTATGCATGACATTGACAGTGGGGCGCCACCGTCAATACCGGATCGCTGGTTCCGATTTTTGCCATGTTGGAAACCATATAGTTGAACTATGGTAGTGCCCCCCTGTCATTGAGTTTGGTGGGGTGACAGTTCAGCATGGGTCATCTATACTTTTTAAATCTGTTAAAACGAGACTTGCCATACTAGGTTTTTAAGACCAAAATGAAGTGCCTTTTGAAAAAGTTGTGCTTTAGAATTATTGGGGAGTGGTGGCAAATACCAAAAAAAAAAACAATTAACACATTCGTCCGTGACCGATTTTGTACATTATGTCAGTTTTCACACCACACCGGTGCTAATGCTATCATGCATGGAATAGATTTGATACCGGTAAGTGAAGCATGTTACTTACACTATACGCATAATCATTTGTTATCTCAAAATTTTATGCGTCACCGCACTGACAGTTTATACGGGCATGCTGGAGCAGACACATCGTGAAAAGCGCCCGCCTCGCTACATACCCATACCACAGATAATAATAACCTACTTGTACCCATTTAAACTACGATCCAGTAGAGCGAAGTGGATAATGTTGGTAGAGAAATGGGATGAACCAAGAAGTAGGATTTTTTTCCGTGAGATGTTTTTAAGTATGCATTGCGTATTTCCGAGAACTATAGTAGATCCACCGTGGAAGCGAGCCATCGCATACATACATAACATGCGTTAGATTCAAATAATGTTCACACCTTTTTACTCAGAAATATCTCACTCAAAACGGCATAAGTAACGCTTCCAAATCTTTAGGGCGTGACAGTATTCTAATACAAATAGACGACTCTTGTATGATATTACGTGTTTAATTACAAACAATTAGCGCGTCACACACGGCTAAGATACGATAATATTAAAAAAATATTATTTTCCTACGAGTCTGCGTCTGTGACACACGTATTCCTTGTTAGATTCATATATACAGGGTGATTGACTATGAGTGATACGGCCTTACTTCTTGATTTGTTAGATAGCTCCTCAGACGATGATTCTGATCTAGAATATGAAATGCAGATTGCACTAGCACATTCCAAAAGGAGAAAAATTTGGATAGAGTCTCACATAAAAAAGAGAAAAACCTGCGGCGAATTCAACCTTTATGAAGATATGTCAATGAAGAAACTTCAGGATTATTTTAGAGTCAAGAGAAACTTTCATCTCAATTCATGATTTGATTAGGCAAGATATAATTAACTTTTTAAAAAAATAAAACTGACTTCAAATGCGTGAACACAAAAAAAACTAAAAATTAAAAATATTGCGTATAAAAAAGTTCATCCCCAATTTTACACCCTTGGGGGTGAAATATTTTCTTCAAATTCGCATGAAACCACCCTTTTGATAATACCTATTCAACAAAAAAATAATCGTTCAAATTGATTTATAATCGGCGGAGATATTGCGTATAAAAAAGTTCATCCCCAATTTTCCACCCTTGGGGGTTGTTTTTTCTATTATTAAATTTAAATGGGACCACCCTTGAGGTATTACCTATACGCTGAAAAAAGATTTGTTCAAATCGGTTCATAATTGGCGGAGTTATCGCGTAATAAACATAGAAAAAAAAACATACGGGTCGACCATGCGGGTCGAATTGAGAACCTCCTCCTTTTTTGAAGTCGGTTGATAAAAATAGGGATACCTCCCGATGTGATCCCACTGTCACCAAGTCAGGGTCTGATGATCGGATCCTAAGGAAATCGCGGCAAACCCTCAAATTTTATGGGCACGTATTACGTTTTTCCTTGGGTTATTTTATTAATTTTGAAAAATAGATAAAGTTAAAATTTTTCCTATTTTTTTTCTTAAATTATTCAAGCATCTGAAATTTCAGATGCTTGAATGATGAATTCATCATTTCATGTTGAGCTGATGATGGGAGGTAAAACTCCTTAACGTTTACGACTTGGAGGATAATTCTTCAAATATTACATGTACGAATAGACCGACATTAATTTGTATTCTTTCAGGTTATTAAGGTTGGCTGATGATGGAAGGCTGACATTTTAGGTTGCCAATTTACTAACTTGTAACTTACTAACCTGTAATTTGTAGGGTAGATGTTTTTTACACCTAACATGGGAAAAATATTGCGTGGCGCAGCACAGTGTAGGTGTGGAAATTCATATGCCTGAGTGTTCTTAGTCTAAAGGTTCGACCAAAGCAACGCGCCATCGCCATCGCTCTTTTGACAGAGCACCACTCGCGGCGTCGTCGTCCGCGCATAGCCCGACACAACACCATGTATTTATATTAAGATGCGTATATTTCGTATATCTTAAGATAAATTATTTGCAATATCGCTCAGTATCTTAAGATGCTTAAGATAAAATATATATTAAGTTCGTCGTGTGTGATGGTTCATAGGATTTCTATGGTGAGCGATATTCTAAAATATGCTCTAAGATAATTATATATTTTATATTATCTTCACCGTGTGTGACGCGCTTTAGGTATATTATTATCTCGGTAATTTATATTAATTAACAACAAAGATTTAGTTTTATTACTAACGACTTAACATTTCGAAGGCAGTAACGCCCACCTGAAATAATTCTGTTTCACGTAGTTGTAAGGGTTTTGTCGTAAATCTTTTAATATAGAGTCATCCGAATTCCGGACTAGATGCAATAAATATGTTTTAAATGCATTTAAATTAAGTAGCTTACGATCGATTGTTTAATGGTGCTAGTTTATGTTCACTCCAAACGGATGTTTTATTCCGTTCGTCGTATCTTATCGTAACTGTCTAAGCAAGGAAGCTTCAGGCTTGTAAGAGATATTACTAAAAGCAATTAACGTTTAAACGACAGTGATTTTAAATTCAATTACATAGGTTAACTAGTGAACAATTAGTTATTAACGAAAAAAATACGACTAAAATATACTTTTTGTTTGAATTTTAATAATTACTCATTATTCATTCGGGTAATAATTAATACAAAATCGTTTCAATTTTGATAATGATCAAATTATTATTCATTCGGGTAATTAGTTAAGGTGGTAATTGTCAGAGTTTAGAAGGCTGGGTTGCATCATCTTACTTTAACTACCTATAACAAACGTCAAAAATCTGTCAAACTCCATAATAACACCGGTTATCTTTATAGTTACTGTTAAAGTTAGGTGGTGCAACTCAGCCTAAGAATTTAGAGAATTGTTTTATTTATTTCTAATTGTGGTTTTAAAATACTGATAGCGTGTTTAATCCACTTATAGTTTGCGTAGGACCAGAGTAAATACAAATACGCTCACATACAAACCGCGCTCGGGCGTTTCTATGAAGATGACCTACTCATTTGTATTTTCTCTGGTAGGACCAATGTATGAAATATATAACTTTTGCTTATTCTTTCTTTTATCAGACTCTCAATTGTTATCTACATAATGGTTCGCCAAATTTAAATTATCTTGTTCTCTCTTCTTCTTGTTTCCATTAACGACCATTATTTGTTTGCAAAGAGCTCGGATAATGTAATCCTTTTTAATACGGACCTGATTTGCACTTGGGTGGTTCTGTTTAAGAGGTTGCTTCAATCAAGGGGTTTCTGAGGCTAAACAGGGGATAAAATGCAAGCAATTTAATATGAAAGGCGTGTTAGATCCAATTGCTCACTCAATATATATTTAATGCGCTTTGGATTACTCGTAACTTTAATGAATACACATTTAATTTTAAAAAAGGCGTCTGACACATAAAGAGTAAAGCTCTTAAAAGACAAGTAAGTTAAAACATGTGAATATATTTGAATTAATTGCCTAAAGCTTTAAATGTAAATTTTAGTTAACTTCAGACATCACTATGCTAAAGGCTACATAAAAACTGTTTAATAACTAGAGGTATATTTTTCCAGAATGTCTTAGAGAATATTAAGTTACAGTGTTGTATTCGCAGGGAGCAATGTGGCAAGCATTCGCTAAGCGTCTTCGCAGATGCAGTTTTTGGAGTTTTTTATCAGGCTTTTACAGTATGACGTTCACTCAGCCGCGTAGCAGATAGCTTCGCTTTAGTATTTACAATAAAATGTAGGTGTGGATGTATAATCCAAAGCCGGGTGGAGCCCAAGCAAGGCGAAGCCAGAATTTTATCAGCTTTAATTCATTAATCATGGCGCCTCAATTTCAGGGAGACTCACCTAGCTCATAACTGATTCTGCGGCCATTTGGTATTCGAATCAGCGCAGAATAATATTTGATGATAGTAGAGGCAAGGTTTTAGAAATAACAAAGAACGTGACATTCTTCGTGGTTTTATAAGCTGCGCTGCGATGACATGGCTGAAATTAGTAACATAAAGCGAAGCTATTGTCTGTATGCTTTCATATTGTATGTAATTAAGTAAAATTGTAATCTCTTCACGCAGACCGGACGAGGTTTTGACAATGGCCACAATAAGGCGAAAAGAGCTCCATGAAAACCTAGCATATAAACTGCTCTTACATACCACTTTCAATCATATAGGTACTTGAAGGGTGCTCTGCAGACCTCCACTGCTGTCCCGATTGTCCCCCTGATGCTTTTCAGCAAAATCATTCATGTTAGTTATCTACATAATAATATTAAATATTCACATTATTATGTATTATCTGCCTCGTGAATTTAAAATAAGTATTTTATAGAATTATTCTTTATCATCATTAAATCATGCCGATAAAATGATATAAGTAAAGGTCAAACCATCCAAGTACAATCCAGGTGGCATAAATAAGATAATTTTGGTAACTTCATTTGTTATGAATGAGAAGGAGAGCATTCATTAATAATAAATTAGTTTATTTAATGCAACATTTTATGTAAATGTTTAATCTATACTAATATTATAAATGCGAAAGTAACTCTAGTCTGTCTTGCTTTCACGCCTAAGCCACTGAACCGATTTTGATGATATTTGGCATAGAGATAGTTTGAGTCCCGGGAAAGGACATAGGATAGCTTTATCCCGGTTTTTGAAACAGGGACGCGCGCGTTAAAGGTTTTCTGTAACAGACAAAATTCCACGCGGGCGAAGTGATACTACTTTCAGACCTAAATAAATTTTCAATTGCAATTCATAAAATTAATTAATGACAAAATCATAAAATGCACCGTGCATACTTTTCTCAGAATTTATTGGTTTGTATGTATTGCAAAAGAACTTTAATTGAGATGGGTGAGAAGTATTCTTAACTATCAGAAGATCTTCACATATTTACAATCTTTTTAAATTGTTATACGGGACCCAGTCTCTTTTCTCTCCTAATTAGGCATTTAGATACCCCAAAGAATGTACTCGTAATTATACTAGTAAATACCCAAAAGAATATTGCAAGTTATATGTTGGCTTTAACCTCCTGGGGCCTGGCGTCATATATTTATTACATAAAACAAAAAAATATAAATCAACGCTATCTGTTGAAATTTACCAGAACTTTTACGTTAGTTAGTTAGATGGTGCATTAGTCCATCATTCTTAGCTGTGATTGGCTAGTGAAGTGACATTTATATTTTTTTATCTTTAATTGAACTAGCGACGGCGCCGCGACCGGGAACAAGTGGTTAGTAATAATGAAATTTTTACTAAAATATGAACGATTTCTATAAGCCTTTGTTATTATTCGTTTTGGGATTTGAACTGTTTTATTATCTGAGTATCACTGATTGTGGAAATACGTATGAAAACTACGAAAACCATGGTGAAATCTGAATGTCATACAGGTATTACATGAGGTCCCAATTACTAGTGTAAACTGACAGAGCCCAGTGTAATACCTGTATGACATTATACATTTTCTATTAAATAGCATACAATCTGATATAATTTTCTTATTTGTTTAGGTAGATATATGCGAATATAACATATTAGAACACTCAAAAATCGATTTTACTGGTAAAGTCGGCCCAGAAGTATTATCAACACCTCAAGTCACTTTGATTTTTTTTTATGAAATTAAAATAATTTCATAAGGCACTTAATCAAATTGTTTTTTTATTTTTTTTATTGCTATTGACCTTATCTACATCATTTAATGTTAATTACACATTGGTGTGATGCATTTTTTTATCACGAGGATTTTTTAATTTGAGTCATCCTAATGAAATGCAATATTTTGAAATACTACTATTTAAAAAAAAATAGAGATGCAATGTTATTGCCCAAAAATGACATAAAACTTGATAAAGAATCTATCTAGCTACATTTTAACGAAAAGGTACTTAAAAAATATCAATATTTGCATCCACTGCATAGAAAAAAGTAAGTACAGGCAGAAAAAAAATTAAAAATATAGCAAAAAAATTTTTGGCATCTCAATATATTTCAAAAATCGATTCAAATTCGTTGTAGATAGTCAAGAAACTTAACTAGGAATTACTTTTGTGCAATTTATTACGGGACATCCTGTACATGAAATAAAAAAGTCGTTGACATTGGGAACCGATGTCGTAAATATATGACATTGAGAAAATTGCCGATTTCCAGATATTTTTTTTTATTTTATTTTTTATGATAATTATATCAATTATTAATACTATTTGGATAGTTTTCATATGAATTCACGATAAAAATAATTCCCGGGCCCCAGGAGGTTAAAATATCGTAATAATTAACTTGTTTGATAAAAGGATAAAGTAAATAGGTTGTTGATTAAATATTATTACTTATTTGAATAAAAAATCTTCGTATCGAATAAGATACCACGAGTACACCTACCGATCAAAGAACCTGTTACCAAAATAGATTTTAGATTATAATAATAGCAAGTCATGATACACGGCTTTAGAGACTTATCGAACAGTACCTCTAGTAGGAAAAACTTTCGAGTTCGTTTCGTTGCGTATTCAAAGTGTCATCGAAAAATTTTGTATGAAAAATTAAACAGCGCCCCCTATATTATAGCCGCCCTAGGGGGCGCTGTTGATAGCGCTGTTGGTGCTGAGATAAAAAAACAGGATATAAGCAACCTGTACGCAAAAAATTACATACCTAATTTTACATATATATTTTAAAAGGGAAAACCATGTACCTACTTTTCGAAAGAAAATTCCACAGTTTAAGTATAAACTTTGTCTAAGCTGTAAAGTTCTTGTCTTTCTGTACCTTACACCCTGTATAATATTTATTCATCACAAGTACCTGTAAGCTGGTCAAAAGAGCCGAGATGACCTGGTAAGCCCTCTCGCCCGGTGAGTTCGGTGGGGGCACAAGCGGTATCAGGACGAAATGGAGACCGAACAGGGGTATCTGTGTAAAAAAGTTTAAATTCAAATTCTTTAAAATGCTATTCCACACGTTAAAGGATGTTCGAAATAATATAGGACAGTATGAACCCTGTCGGGCACAACAAACAATTAGAGGAGAGAAGGACGCAGAATTATACTCATAGATAGAATTATTACGTGCTCTATTGAGTCATAGACTGTCTATGAATATGGATAGTACTCGTATAGTAACTTCTTGCTGTGAGCATCTTAAAGTTAAAAAAAATCTTTTTCTGGGTTGTTTTTAGTTAATAGAAAACACAGTTACCTAATTCTTCAAATAACGTATTAATGTACGTAAATGTAAATATCATCATGAGCCAGCATTTGTTTTGTAAAAATATGTAACTTAAAATATTGTAAACATGTATATGTATATCCAATATACAGGGTGGAGGTAATACATACACTTTAACTAGAGTCAAGCAGTGCTTAACCATTAAAAGTCCTCCTGCATGAAAATTGAAGTTTATAAATAAGTCGACGCGTGGGTCGTGAACTTATAGGTGACAGAATACGTATTTAGAAAATGATATAAAATTAGATATTTCCTAGTATCTACAATACAGTGTGAGTCACGTTAAAGTGTACATATGAAAATAGATGAAACTAGACCTATTTTTATCGACAAAAAAGAGGTCAAAAAATTTTTGAGATTTTTTTTTAATTTTTTATAGATTTTTTTTTCTTCCAATTACTTATTGTAAAGAAAACGTAATAACTTTTAAACTAAGCGGTATATCCTGATAAAATAAAAACAGTAACAATGCTAAATAACAGGCAATACTAAAAAAATACATAAAATACACAAAAAAGGCCAACAAATAATAAAAAATGATACTTTTTGAAAAAAATCTGCTTTAAAATTCGTGTTTTTTTGGTTATTTGATAAATTTCTCCAAAAAATGCCCCTATAACAGGTGGTTTTTATTACTTTGTATTATTCTCTATCGTATTATCTTTGTAAAACCAAAAATCGCATGTCTCTATCCCTATTACAACATTTGCTATGATCGTTTGAACAAAGGCCTGCCACAACATTTTTCTCCGCTACAGTTAGAGACAATTTTAATTTTAACTAAAATGCTTATTTTACTTTGAAATCTTTTGTTTTTATTTGAAATCTAACTTGTCTTTATCAAAAAAACAAATCCAAATCAGAGCCATTTTCAGTTTCGTTGTTAACGAAGCGTTGAATGGCGCGCCCGGAGAGGCTTAGTTCAAACGATCATTGCAAACGTTGTGATAGGGATAGAGACATGCGATTTTTGTTTTTACGAAGGTAATACAATAGAGAATAATACAAAATAATAAAAACCACCGGTTATAGGGGCATTTTTTGGAGAAATTTATCAAATAACCAAAAAAACACGAATTTAAAAGCAGAATTTTTTCAAAAAGTTTAATTTTTTATTATTTGTTGGCCTTTTTTATGTATTTTATGTATTTTTTTAGTATTGCCTGTTATTTAGCATTATTACTGTTTTTATTTTATCAGGATATACCGCTTAGTTTAAAAGTTATTACGTTTTCTTTACAATAAGTAAATGGAAGGAAAAAAATTCTATAAAAAATTAAAAAAAAATCTCAAAAATTTTTTGACCTCTTTTTTGTCGATAAAAATAGGTCTAGTTTCATCTATTTTCATATGTACACTTTAACGTGACTCACACTGTATATTTCCCTACATAATCCACTGCTTGTTTAGTTCCACTAAATCCACTTAAATCCTCCAAGCAGCATCCTAAAATATGGCAATATTATATGGAATTATCACTTCACGGGATTTATTGCAACAAATCTTGTTGCAATAAATCCCGTGAAGTGATAATTTTATAGTAAAAAATGCAACATAGGTAATTGTTTAAAATATTAAATATGGTTCTGTGAGCAGTTGAGTTGAGTTGTACGTCTTTTCTAGGACATATACAGGGTGGAATTTTGTAATGCCACCTGGAGGGAAAGTACTCTTAATACTGTAGATAGAACATTCTACTCAAAGAAAACATTCCTTTATTTTTAAAAGAAAGAGAACTGCATTCAAAGATTCACGATTTCCTATCTAACTTTTTCGTGACTGACGAAATCCATACGAGTAAAGACACGTTGAAGACGCTAATAAATACACACTTGTACTAATAAATGTGTGGTAAACAGAAGGCATTTAACACCGAGAGCTAATTCTTATTTCTTTTAGTTCTTATGTGCTTTGATCTGATTTATAGTTAAAGAACGGCCATTTTGTTGTAAATCACATTATGCGTTGGTTGGATTGAAACGGCTATTTCTGTCAAACAAGAATCTTTTTATGATTACGAATAGCGGATCGAAAGCAGATGGGTGAATGAATTGCTGATGAGAATACGTAGAGATTGTTAATTCCTATATACTTTTAACCTAGCGATACTATAGAGTGGTATCATGTAACCCGCCAAACCATTTTTCATTCGGGAATTTAACTTATTCTCACTATTTGATATCGAACCTACAATAAAGGTCACATTTAAAACTGAAATGTAATAATTAATATATGTTTTACAAAAAATCGTATTGTGAGAAACTATAGCCAATTATTTTTTCAAAATTACTTTTTAACTGTAAATATTGCAGACTCACTTTTGACGCATGAATTTGCGTCTAACTGAAATCAATGCGGTGGTGGTGGTAGGTAATCCTTTGTTGTCTTATCATTAAAAAGATTATTGGTATAATTAATCACTGATGTTTTTAACAATCTATCTGTTTCTGGTTTTCTGAAGTTGTTGAGCACTCAAAAACAGCGTGATGTAGGTATATTTAAGTCTTGTATCCACTTGAAGATGCTCAGATTCATTTGGCCGAGCCACTCAAGGCTTTAGAAACATAACAGATTGACATAAATTATGAAAAGGATAATTTAAAAATGTCTAAGTTTTTCACTTGGCAACAAGTGAATTATTCTAAATACAACGTAAATGCGGACTTGAACTCTAGAAACTGAGTAAGTTGGTACTTTAATCATTTAATTCTATCAAAATTTTGATTCTTTCAAATATCATATGCCATAAGATAAGAGATTAGGCCAATACACTTACCAGAATAAGAGTGGCACGTACAGCTTTCTTGGCCGCTACGGAGACGTGCTGGTTCGGTGCCGGGTGAAGCTTGGTCAGGAGAACCCTAACTACATTCACCAGAAACACTGTAAAACAAAGAACCTTAGTGTAACGTCAAACAGGCAGCTTAATATCATACAGGGTGAACTCGTAAACTTTTTGCAACGCCTGCTACATTTTGGGGCGCAAGCTCTACGACAGGCAAAATTTCTATTCCAACTCAGGGACAAGTGGGTTTTATTGAGGTCCGCATAATTTGGTGGTATATTAGACAGATATTCTCATCAACTTTTAAGATTATGCAGTCAAACTGATCATCAGCCTACTTCAGTCCATTGCTACATTTAGTTTTTACGCAATAATATTATTTGAAACAGATCTCTATACAAATTGCAGATTATTTACCTACCCACTTTATACTTTATAAAAAGTAAATTATTACAGATTGATAACTCAATTATATTTTCAAATTCGTTTCAACCGCTGCAATTTCTTTAGAATCAGACTAAATCCATATAAATTCAACCATTGGGTAGACCAAAGGGAAAATTAAAACTTTTACCAAGCTTCGATAAATGTACGAGAAATTAATTAAGAAGAAACATCAAGAGAAAAAATGTCTAAGGACAAACGTTCTGTGAATGATGAAATCTTTGAATCTTTGTGCTAAAATTGCCTGACGCAAGTGACGTTTTTACCAAACCCTGTGTTACCAATTAGAAGGATTGTAAAAATGCCAGTTTCCCAGCCATTGCAGAACGCATGAGACAACGGACCCCCGCTCAATAAATGCGACCACGTACGCCGCACTGGCGACTCTCTAATTCCTAGTTTTAGATGTCACCAGCCAGCCAATTTATCGTCTCCAAAGTCACGAATGGTTCTCGTTAATATGAGATTTTCCTCGCCTTTCCCTTCGTTAAACGCTTTCGTTAGTAATGTGACACAGGCTTTATTACGAGAAATCCTAACAATGACGAGTGTCTTATTGACGGTGATTTTCATATCTCATGAAAAGAGTCCATGACTTTGAATTCTTCTTTGAACTTTGCTATTAAAAGTTACTTATATTATTAATAATAGGTCGTTCGATTTTAAAATTATTACTACTGTTAGAAATAGGTAGGATACTGAAATTATCTCACCATTTCATAATGGCCCGTTTATGACAAAAAGCTTTAATAAACTTGATTCCTTTATCTAAATATATAAAAGGAGAAACTGACTGACTTAGTGACATATCAACGCACAGCCTAAACGGCTAAACGTAGGCACTTGAAATTTGGAAGGGACGTAGCATAGGTACCGTAGAGGTGCACTAAGAAAGGAATTCCCGAAATTCCCACGGGAACGGGAATTAGCAGGAAAATCCTTTTGTATGAAAAATCTAAACCGCTTAAGTTAGACGCAGGTGCCTTAGTAAACTTAAAGCTTAGTTACAACAGGATATTGCAAAATTCCCACGGGAACGGGAGTTAGCGGGAAAAAACTTTTGTATGAAAAAATCTAAACCGCGTAAGATAGACGCTTGAAATTTGGCATGTAGGTACCTTAGTAAACTTAAAGCTTAGTTACAACAGGATATTGCCAACTTGCCACGGGAACGGGAGTTAGCGGGAAAAAACATTTGTATGAAAAAATCTAAACCGCGTAAGATAGATGAAGGGGGTAAAACGGGATCCACGCGTACGAAGTCGCGGGCGGCCGCTAGTACTCGTATATAATCCTTTATTCTATTAAAATATTACTAGCGTATTCGTGTTTCAACGAAAAGTACCTACACTAATTTTAGCTTGAAACGCGACTTTCTTGACTTTCAGTGTTGAGTGCGAAATGAAATAACTGTTGGTCTTAAGCGTGTTTAGTCTATGGTTGGTGTACAAGTTTTCCCAAATCGTTTCATCCATTAACGTGTTAATGAAAGAAAGATCTTTTACCTGTGTCTTCACGAACTCTCTCTCAAAGGTTTTTACGGGCTGTTACAACAAATAATGTTAAATTAATGAAAGCTGTATGCCAACCTGAGACCTAAACGATTTGCCGAAATAAAAACGGTTTTTTAAATAATCAAGAAACTAAATAAAAGGGAACGTAATTCACAACAAGGCACGTTTCACGCCCGTACTACCAAAAGTAACTTTTGTTGTTCGAAGATAATCTATTTTGTGTTGATAACCGTGTAATAGAAAAACATTGTGTCGTTTTCCGAGTACAATGTTGGTACATCGGACTTTATTTTTTTAGGTGGCTGATGGAATCTTGGGGATAAAAAAGTAACGTTATGTGTAAAAATACACGGCATTAATATTGAGGTGATAATGTTGTTCAGGGTACATATTACAGGACGATATATGTACCTTATACATATTATAATACCAAGGCTATCGGATGGTGATTAGTGGCCCTGAATATGAAATCCCGTGAGAAGTAGTGTTTGCATAATGAGCATGAATACATAACTAGTTCGAATACTGTATACTACCTATTTACTGTATCAGTTACTACTAAACCAAACTAAACCTATTCAGTGACTACTAGCTAATAAATCGAAAGGAAACGGCAGCAGAATAACTCTATCTAAAGTGCTACCAGACAGAACCGAAACACAAACATATGTCATGGCAATACGTTAGAAAGTATCTACAAAGTTAGGGTCTGGGATTGTGGAAAAGCCTCTGCGACCGCATTCTGGCGATCGGAAAATTCAATTGAAAAGCGTAGATATTCAGCGTATAAAGTCGGAATTTCCACCAAAGCTTAGCGATAGATAAGCGGCATTTTTTAAAGGACAAAATATACCTTGTAGATTTCTTTAGTTTTTCTAATCTACGAGTAAGTATATCTTCTCAGTGAAATGTGGGTTAGTGGGCAAGGTATAATAAACAAACAACATGAATCATTTAATAATAAGTGTGCGAAGGACGCAAAAGAAAGAGGAGTGGGAAGAATTATTACGAAGCCTCGCGGAGGACTGTCATTAATGGTTTGGATATCCTAGTATAGCTTAGCTTTGGCGAAGCTGCTTTTCTTTACAGGTATACCTTTGGTGGAAACACAGCCTCACTGCCAGCGCCGGGTTGGACCCGAGTGCGTGTCGGACATATTTTATGAAGAGCTAATGGCGTTACATTATTGACGAGCACCTACTTAAGATTAATTTCCTTCATTTGTCACATTCAAAATTTATGATGTTCGTTAATTGACAGTAAAATTTTGCTAATATCTGGATAATAATGGCTGCGAGGAGAACACTTAACTTTCATCATATTCAGACTTTAAAACTTGCTACTAAATCGAGTTACCAATTATTTGCCCGGACCCTTCCATTATGAACAAGAGCTTTTTCTGTCACCCAAAAACGGTTAGTTCTTGTTTTTGTGTAACGTTTTGGGCTCGATCCCATAGGCGTAGTGAATTCGTGACTCCGCACAATTTTGTCTATCGCATTTGATATTTAAATTGTTTGCGATTCAAATTAAGCACTCAAATCTGCGTTTTTCAAGACAAATAAGACGAACAAAGAATAATAAAATGTTTATTTAGGTAATAAAACATACCTATAAACAATCAAAGGTTTAACAAAAGGGATCTTTACAGATAGGTATGTTACTTGGCAATAGCAACTAGCAACCATTTCTAGGTTTTAATGTTACTTTCTCGATATAAAAATAGTATAATATAGTAATATAGTAGTTTCCTAATCGGATAAGTAATACGGATTATAATTAAATGACGTCCGTACGTACTCGATAATTTTTGGCTGGTACTTACCAAAAGAAGCGAACAGGGAAATCAGTACAGGTACGATGATTATCCAAAAACAGTCGCTTATCTCCATCCAGCAACTGAAACATAAATTCAGGTTTAATAAATGCGTACATTCCTAAAATAAATAAATAAATACACCCCGTGTTATGTAAAAACTATGCAATACCTATTTGAATTTTGAGCATCAAGTTTTGAGTTTTTCCGAATACCATCAAATTACTGAACGTTTCCAATTAGGTATGTCTGTTATTTAATAACCACACAACCTGATGTAATTTCATTTTATGGAAACGTAAAATGAACCGAAAATTACGATGTTGTTTTCCGATATTTTGAAAGTTTAGTAGGTCAGCCAGTTTAGGAACACGTACATATTTGCGTCTCTAAGACGAAGCAGTCAAAAATAGACGGGCTTTTAGTTATTTTTTCAGAGCTCCGAAGGCTATTAACGTGTTTCAAAACAGCCATTTGTGTGCTTTCTTCAATTACGCCTCCAGTAATGGCTTCAAAAACAAAGATAAGCTCAAACGCATGACTTTATCATGAGCTCATCAACATGATAATTTGTGGGGACTTGTGAATCGCGCGTGTTAGTATGGACCTACATGTGACGTCACAACTTATAACAAGGAGAGCGGACGGCATAGTACCTAGTACCTACTAAAATGACAGCAGTGAAAACCTCACCGGAGTTTCCCAGCCCAGGATTTAGACGGGATCTAGCATCCAACTACATCCTAGACTGCATCTCACTTAACACCAGGTGCGATTGCGGTCAAATACCTGCCTGGTCTAGCATAAAAAAAAAACTTAATCGACTATTTTTTTAAAAGTTATTTAGCCCTGAAAGTAATCGAAACAATAAAGATTGTTATCGCGACCACTTAGGGTTCCACGAGTTATACCTACACTTCTAAGTCATGATTCGCGTGATGACATTTTCCGAATGTGGTGAAAACTAATCCCAACCGCGCACTTGTAACGAGATTAAGTTGCGGCTGTATCCAGCCTGGGCATGAAAAATGGCTGACCCAGTTATGTTCTTGTATGCATTTTTTTCAGGTTTATTAAAACCTTTTGTGTGCACTTCTTTCACTTATCTATGACGCTTAAATTGCAGCAAAATCTTATTAAGATAAACGTGTTTAAGCGCTTAGAAGCTGGGCATACAAATTCGATCAGGAGCGGTAAGGAGAAGGAAATAAAAAAAAGAGATTGAGTGACGTAGCCATTGGTAAACATGCATAATATATGAACGTTGGGTTTTAATCTTTTGCGACAAACGAACATATCCATGTTAGCCAATCTAAGCTGACCGCCCTGGCCAAAATACATATGCAGACTTTGGTTGGTAATTATAGAATAGACGGTTTAAGCTAAGTATTTATTACCAGTACGCCTTGCACGTTTTAGTGCTACAATTCTATTGTATTTGCTACATCGTCATATCAACTGTTGTTATTTTATTTTTGTTCAGCGTAAGTTCCCAGCTTTAATTTTCAAGCGTACCGTTTAGGTAGAGGACCTTTCACATTTTTTATCTGTAATACTAACTGCGAGTCTTTATTTTGTTCTTTTATATTATTTTCCGTCGTATTCGCGAATTTTCCGGTAGCATCAAATAATTTGACTAGTCACCACACAAGTTCTATTTAGTGTGTGGCTCGAAAATGACGTGACAGTTGGAGCAATTCATTTATTTAATTAGTATGCAGCGCACCAAGCGCAGATCGTATTGAGCTTGTGTCGAATGGTTTGGTCACGAACTCCGATTTCCGAGGAAACTTTGAGGTGCACCTTATTTGCAAATGTATACCAATTTCACGCAAATAAATCGCGCTATTCTAAGCGTCAGGGTTGTCACTTAGCAGCCTCTAAGGAATGATCAATAGACGGTATAAAAGCAATTCACTTCGAGCTTTATTCTTTGCCGAGTCTCCTGAAAAGAACTCGTTTATGCTAGCGGTTCGACAGATATAACCTGATCGCTGCCACTTAGGTAAGCTTGCTAATGGTGCTAGTCGATGATTTTGGTTCGCTGTTGAATAACTTTGTATGATACAGCTTTACAGTCCTGTAAAGCTCCCGTAATGTCCTGTAGTCCTGTAATAAACTGAAGTATCATTTAATGTGTTGTTACCAACCGTTCGGTAGCTCCAGGTGTGTTGTAGCGCACCGCCGAGTACACGCCGACGATCAGCATGGGAAGCCCCCAGCCCGTCGCTACGAACCACCTCATTGCCACCTCATCTTTTACGAAAACCTGCCAAGAAGAAGGGTTGAAGTAGAACCTTGATATGACGTCACAAATACAGGTTAAGGAACTTTGGTGACAGTTAACTCTTTTCTTGTACGCTCCGCGAAGTGATCGCTACACTGAGTCTCTCACAAAGGTTACTTTTTAGGGGACAGGAGGTTAGGGAACTAAAACGAGCACACAAACAATGCAACTTTCGTGACAGTTTTGATTCCGAAAACTTCACTCCGCTTTTTTTGTACGCTTCCTGAAGTAATCGCGACATCGAATCTGTCACTTTAAGTTACTTTGATTATGGGACAGAATAGCCCAAAATGTGCACATAAACAACAATCAGTGGCGGACATTTGGGCCCAAAAATTGCAAATCACTATTTATTTAGCTTTAACAATAATTACCTACATACGCCCGTATTCACAAACGAAGGTTGCTTAAGTGAAGCAGTAAATCGAGCGCACAACGCTGAATAGAGATCTTCTGTGATAGGTTCGTGCGTCACCCTGTGCGTCAACGCGCACTGTGAGATTTCATAGTAATGTGTTTGTGAATACGGGCGTTATGATGTGTGTACTCTGCAGCACGCCCTTGGATTATAGTCTAAACGTGTAAACAAAAAGTAGATAATTAACATTTCCTCTTCAGCAATGCAAAGTTTTTATTGAAAAATATTTCACAAACAGTCTGAGTAGATTTATTACTGTCCCTAAGTTTTCAGAAAGGAATAAATTGTCCAGAAGTCGTTAAACTCTGTCATGGAATGTTAATTGAAACAAGATTAAACAGTGAATTCATTATTGAATACCTTTCATGTGTTTGTTTGTGGATAATGCAGTTGTTTATTCAAACACATCATGCGAAATGGCTTAAAAACCTAATTAATATTTAATAGTTCATAATAGTAAATAAAACAATAATGGTCAGTGGAATGAATTGATATCGGTATTAATATCTCAATTTTATGGATGTCCACTGTCCGTAACCGAAACTGAAACTATCGGATATCTGGAATTAAAAAATATCCGTAACCGTAACCGAAATTGATTCAAGGTTTCGGATAGTTTCGGATAACGGCGGAGTCCAAATCTTAATATTTTTCAATATTTGTAGCTTGTCTGGCATTCCCTGGCAAAATCTAATATCCCCGCCTGTTTTACCTTTATCACAGGTTTCGTCATTCGTAGTATATAAAGTGGCTATGCGGGTCGCGCTGCATTTCGCTCTTTGAATTATAATGTTTAAAATTCTATATCCGTAACCGAAATTATCCGAAACATTCGGATAATCCAAAATGATTTCATATCCGTAACCGAAACCGGTATAATATTATTCTAATATCCGTAACCGTATCCATAACCGAAACTGCATATCCTCAACATCCCTGATTCATAAAAACGACTTTAACAACGTCAATTTTTTTTTGTCTCTTAGGATAATAAGAACTAAGCCATCTTAGAAAAAGGTTAAGGTTAAGTTAGGTTATACGAGCATTAAAACAGCTTAAAACTATCGATTTTCATGGGCAACTTGTGTCGGCTACAAGATTATGTACAGAAAATAAAATGTAAAAATAGTTTTGAAGCCTGCGCTACATAAATAGAAATATACTCTATTTCATTTACTATAAGATGATAATATTATGATTTATGTATATTTTATCGCTGTAATGATGTCTTAATACAGAGATATAAGATCTCAAGAAGAAATAAATGATAAGATTTTGGTTGGGTAGATAAACATCAAATATTTCACAAAATAATGGCGGGTTTATTTCTTTCATCATCTACTTCACGGTTCAGGTAGATAAGTGAATGAGAACAAAACACGGTCAGATGAATTAGGACCTAGAAAACATACCTACAGGTTCTTTTCGCTGTCCTATATTTATTATAGGTGTCGTTAGCGCTTTTTTTTACTAGATGTACCTAGTTACTGGCTTGATGGGCCTTAACTCTTGTGTCAGGTAGTAGGTACATGTTATTTCGCAAAAACGTGATTTAAATACAATATTATTTACAAAATTGAGTTGGTTAAATGTATGCATAAATTCGAGTCGTGAGATTCGTAAGCGAGAGAAGAAAACAAAAGAGTAGCGAAATTCGTCGTCGAAAAAGAATGAGGTTTTTCTTTGCGGCCAGTGTCGCGCAGCCAAGGAGGCTGGAACACTAGGGTTACCTATAGCATACTGGGAAATGAGCCAGCCTTTTTGGTGAGGTGTAGGTAACCCAAAAGTTCGCAACATGTCTTGTGACAATTAATTAATTGAAATAAGGTTGTGTTGTCAACTTTTTGGCCACTTTGGGTGTCACGAACTACACTCGCGAGTAAAAGTATGGAATCACCCTACTTGTTCCGAGCGATCGTAACAACTAAATGACCAATTAAAGGTAATATTTCATACTTTAAATTGATACTATAGACGCATATACATACATAGAATCATTCAATTCTTAAGATGGCTTGGAACCAAACACATGGGGGTGATTTCATAGTTTTGATCGTAAGTACTCGTATATTTGATGCTGCTGTACCTACATTCTGTTCTTCGACTTTTCAAGTTTAGAATAATTAGAATCTGTATTCGCTGGGTGCGAAGTACTAGGTGGGGGGGACATAATCTATCGCAGCGCTCATGGTGGTCAAAAGTAGAAATAATGTTAGCTCTGTCATCAGATGTATCTGTCAATGGCAAAGCGATTCTACATAATACATTTTAATATCATTAATTAATCGCATGAAAAGGGTCCTACTGGGAACTTAAATAAAAGAGTGGACTGTATTTCGATAGGGCTGTTTTAATAGCCGTTTACAATTTGGAAATAACTAAACTATACAACGTGGTAGTACAAAAATGAGTCACAGTAGTTGTTGTGCACAGATGTTTGCCTTATGATGAGAGCGTGAATTATTGAACTCTGCCCTTGTTTTGTTCTTAATTCTTCTACATCTCGGACTTGTCCAGCCAATACCAACAACTTTCCTTTAAATACGGTTTGTGGATGGAATTTGATATTGTAACTCTCACAAACCCGGTCTTCAAAACGATACTCATTTCGATCTGAAAACGATATTTAATTTATTACTAGCGACACAGAAACATTTAAATATATTTACTGTTATATAATGAAACCGTTAAAGTAGCTTTTTCTTTTTGTTTTACTGTAAAACTACAACTATAAATGAAGTAAACAAACCCTGACACAATCAAAATTAAACACACTTTTTGGACTTACCTCATTTGATTTGAATGACCAAAATGATTTCAAAACCTTTTTTCCACCCAAATCGTGGTATCACAACAATTTATTAGTTGAAAATAAGTATTTGTTATTTTTTCATTTCGATATTTTTTCACAAATATACGACCTAAATGTCAATGTGACAGAGCCCACAAAGTTGTGGACGCTAGTCGGCGCTGTAATCGTGCACGGAGCCAATAGGTAGAGTTATACCTAGGTAGTCTTTTTCAAGAAGGCACAAAGAAATGAGAACACGACGAGGAGTAGAATATAAGAATAGCAAGATAATTCGATAATGTTATAGGACAATTTATATACCTGTCTTTCTGTCTTGGTTATATAAATATTTCTTTAAGCTCTCGATGGGTAGTATCGTACATTTATGAAAATGTCAAAAAAAAATATCAGGCTCATTTCTATTGCACAATTCTTGTTAGGGGTTTTATTAGGGAATGCGCGTAAAAGTACAATATGACTTTAAAATGTTTACTATAATGTGATCGTAGAGCCAAAAAGTAGAATTTTAACTTTTTCCTTCTTTCTTCATTCGGGGATTCAGTAACACCACAGATAAAATGTAGGTAAAACCACAGGTAAAACTTAAATACTAAGGCTGAGTTGCACCACCTATCTTTGACCGTAACTTTAACGATAACCGGTGTTTTTTGTATGGAGTTTGACAGATTTTTGACGTTTGTCAAAGTTAAAGTAAGATGGTGCAACTCAGCCTTAGAGTAGGCGCACACCGTTGATTTTTAGTTGGCCGATAGTTGTGCCCGATTTAAATTTATATGAAGAATCGGCCAAATCGAATCGGCGTAGTGTGCGCACTCCCATACATGCCCATACTGATCAACTGCCCGACTAAACTATCGGCCGACGAAAAATTAACGGTGTGCGCCTGCTCTTAGTCTGATCTTAGTTTGTCTGTGCTCAGGTGCAAATCGCAATTAAGCATTCTTGAGGTCTCTTATATTTTACAACCGTGATTAAATGGCGGACAGGCTCTACCGTCATTAGTAATTGTAGATCGCACAGAAAGAGTTGAGGCGATCAACACAAGCAAACATTTGTGTCTGTATTCGCTTGACGCGGTGACGTCTTGCGTATTCTGACTGATGCACTGATTTGTACAAGTACTCTGAATTCGAGGTATTTCTCAAAGCGCACCCTTTGGAGACGCACCTAAAATATCGCACCTATAGCGTATTTTTACGAATAACTTTGTAGGATGAATAAAAAGTACCAGGGCAATAAAACATGAGTGCGCTTCGAGGAATATGAATTTAGATATTCTCAGTGTGTGTGAGTATGTGTTCGCCTCAATGTGCCTCAACTTTCGTTGCGCGATCTATAAATGTGCCGCATGTTTAGTGAAAAGCGTCTCTACCGTACTGCTTAGCTTTACTGTGGCATAAAAGTTGGATTTATCATCCTCCCTCAACCGCTACAGTCGTTTGTGCGTGAGTCGAGACTCACTGACTGAACTTTGATTTAAGTTTCTGTGTTTACCAAAACGTATATTAAACCAAGCTCGGTGTTTGCCGGCGGATAGATAATTGTGCTGTTTTAAAACAAAGCAAATACGGAAGGATTAGGTTCTGCGGTTTGGATGAGATTGGCTTTGTGAACGATATATTTAAAACGGCAATGTTTAGTCCTTTGGCATTTCATTGAATCGCTAAGTTGGAATCGACTGCCTGACTTTTCGCAATATTATATAATTAGCACTTAAAATATCACCGGGAACATTTTATTTACAGTACTATGAAGAGTTAGAATTAACCTTTTTTGTTACTAAACACAGTTCCAAAAATGTTTCAAGGAGCTATTGACCGATAAATAAGACGGTAAAATCACAGAAGACTGTTTAAAAGCAAACTTACCACGACTAGAGCGATGTGCAGATGAAGGCCTTCGCAGAACATCCAGATGTAGCTGGTCACCATGAAGTAGTTCGTGATGACGTGCAGAACTTGACACCATACCTGCATAATAATGAAACTAGAGTCATCAAAATATGATCGGATGTCAACAAGTAAAGTAGCACCGTGAGTTCCATACATAAATAAAAATAATATTTTACAACCTGTCACTTGAATATTTATCTTTTATTTAACGCTCAGCATTAGGTACTAATTTCTTTCAATCGTTTTTTTCCTTATTCTGATACATTTTATCAACAACACCTACCACCACCGTACCCTGCTCTGTTTCATTAATTTTTGCAGTTGCTATTTCCAATATTACTGTGTAAAAGGGGTGGATAGGTACAAAATGAACATGGTAATAGCCTAACCTAACCTCTGACAGAGTAGTTTCGTCGGCAGGCTGGCAGGCGCATCGAACAGAAATGTGGTAACAGGGCTAGGCTGTAGCTAAACCACTAATTGGGTTCAGCTACAGGATATTTGATCAGGATATCTTAGATTAAATCAGAGGAATCTAGAGCCGATAGGAATCGAAGTAAGCCTCGTAAAATATACTAAAACGTTTACTTTTCGTAGAAAAGTTTGGAACATTTTTGATGGTGTTGTAAGATCTTAATTAAAATTATCTCACCCTCCGCGAAGTTTGTGGACAAAATTAGGCTTACAATGGCTATAATTAATTCAACAAAAAAGTTTAATTCCATTAGAATTTAATCGTTGCTCATTAAGGACAAACATCAACATAAAGCGGGCGCAGTGGCGACTTGCTTCAGGAACGCGCTGGCTTGAATTATTTCGCCTAATTGCTCCATTTTCGTTTATTCTGTCTTTTAATTTGAATAACGTCTGAATTAATTTCGACATTGTTTAACTAAGCCACTTATAATGTAGCTTGAAATGCCGATGTATGATGTCAACAACTATGTATTGTATAGTATACGACTCGCGTTGTTGGATGCATAAATATCTAATGCTCTTCTTCTTGTTTATGCCTTTTTGTTTATCAATGTTAGTAGAAGTATCTTATATAACTTTATTATAGAATAAATAGAGCACTCTGAGAAAACCTCCATGATAATGTGATTTCATGTTTTTATGCAGCCTGATGTACAGGAGATATTTTATTACGCAAACTCAACTTTTTTATTTTTTTATTCGTTCATCGAGTTAGTGAAAGGTGATTCCTAAAAATAGCTAGTGGCAAATTGAATTTGATTTGAAAAGGGGCGTACTGCCCGGACTTTCTATAAACTACTAGATTGAGGAAATTAGTCTATTCAAACTGTTTGCTGTTTTCCCGCTGAGAACCGCATCTACTGATGCAAATATACACTCTATATGTGCGTATGTAGGAGGTATCGACAAATATAGGTACAAGCAGCAATTTGGTTTAGGATCGATCTGAAATTAAACGCAGACAGAATGAGTGAGACGAGTGACTACGAGTAAAATTTACAGATTTACTATTGGTCTTTGGATGCTAAAAATAATACAAACAAGAAGAATATCACAGACATAACATACTCGTACACTTATTTTAGATCTTCTACCCGCACGTAGTTTTGTAGGTTTATAATTTTTTGCGATTGATCCTGTTTAAACCTCTTTAACATTTATTTCCGCGACACTCTATACATGAGGTCTATTAAAATTTTATCAAGTTGGTCTAGTAAGGTAGTGGTATGGGCATGAAAACTTAACTGTCAGATAGTCGTAGATGGAGTTACTTTTGGATTTAATATTAGTTTGGATGGACTTGTCTCGCCGTCGACTTCGCCATAAATAAGTACGTGTGCATCACCTGTTGCTCGCTTCGACCCAGTGGCCTAGCTCCATATCTCATAATTTTATTCAATCTGGCTACTTTACACTGTATTTTGTAAAATTTTAGTAAAAACTAAATTTTATTGTATTTTTAATGCGTGACGAATAAAATGTGTCATCAATCAATCCATTAATCCACTGTCATCGATTAATTACCTGCATTTCTTTTCATAGAAAATTCTTTATCTTCTCATAAAAATACATTTCACTCACTAAGAAACTATTGTTAGGTATAGTATACATTTTACATGCTTAAATTGTGTGAGCGATGTGAGCTTCGCCGTGTATTGTATTACGAGTAACATATTTATTTATTTTAATATTATTTTTCTTCCATTAAGTGGTGAACAGGTTGTAGTCAGTTGTTGTCATATACGCTGGAAATTGACCCACATTTTCTTTTAAAAGGCTCGTTGCATTCGATTTCTTACTTAGCTCAAAATAATGTCGGAATTTTACTTATACGTGTATTAAACGACTCAGAAAATTACGCTCATTGGCATCCTTTTATTTAGAGCAATAACAAACATGTAACACGCACATTCAGTCTTTCAACCAACTTTAACCTTAATCAGTCTTACTAGACAAAGTCACATTCGTTAATAAACTTTCGTTTAACTTTCTGCTTACTCATAACACAGCTGCACAGCCATCTACATTTGGGCGAATTACTTGCGAGCTAAACGAAGAAGCCCAGAGACGATTTAGGCGAAGATGTATGGGTAATTAATGGATTAATATAGATAAACGTTGTTGTAAAACAAACTTTTGCGAGTTACTTTACCTTGGCACTGGGCAGTGTTACTCGTTCGTCTGCTATTTTTATATCAAAATGTTATTTCAATGAATCTTTAATTTGCTTTTGAACTGTACGGAAACCCTGCTGTGGGTTTGGCGAGGGATCGAATATATTTATTGCGACTTATCATATCCGCAGCAAAGCCGATATTCAGCTAACGCACACTTAGGTTGAGTTGCACTATCTTACTTAGATTTTAACAAACGTCAAAAATCTGTCAAACTGCATACAAAAAGGACCGGCCGGTTATTGTTAAAGTTACGGTTTAAGTAAGTTGGTGCAACTTAGCCTTACACTAAGCCGTAAGTGAAGCTACGAGTATAGTTTTAAGATTTACGTAAAATAAAAATAAATGTGAAATGTACATACGAGTACATGTTCACCCGGTTTCGATCTGCGATGATCTTAAGAGCTGTCTTTGTTTGTGTTTATATAATCCTATGATTTAAAAAACCAATTATGTCTGTGTGATCCAATGTATTTCGAGGGATTAATAGAATAAGCGGTTGAAAACTCTACAGGCGGCGGCGTTTTGCACCGCGACAGAGACCGCGACAAGAGACTGACACGGGAGACTGCAACTTGACTTACGTCTCGGTCTCTTGCTTCTGTCTCTCAAGATTATGGCCGGGGTCACTGTTGAGCAGTTTTGTACTTACGTCCCGATCAGAATCCGTGAAAATACGACCTGAAGTAATTAGACGTAGACATATTTATTTGTATGGTAATTTAAGCACTAGATCTGATTTCTAGATCTGTAACTTGACAGGCTTCTGATCACGTAATACGAACCCGCTCTAACGTGGTGATAACCATGGAATACCATGGTCTTGAAAAGTTGAACGCTCCATGGCTAGCGTGTATTTTACTGAACACTTCACGAATGTAACAGTCGCTTGGCGATAAGAGACCGTTTGCTTAAGCAAATGGCAAAGATGTCCCCATATAAATGGGGATTCTTATTTTCATTTATATAGGGGCATCTTTCAGCAAAATGATTGCTTTTGGTTTAGTGCTGCTATATACACACTAGCAATTTACAGTCATCAGTAAAAGTAAGCAAGTACTACCTACATAGTCACTCTATTTAGCAATAACAAATATACAAATTTTAATTCGCTAATTTTGTTAATTCTGCGCCAAATTCGGTGAAAAAATTCTTCGGGTTCGACAACCTCGATAAAAATATACCTAGTTCTTATAATGCATTTAGTAGGTACGCTGTTTGTTATCATAATAATTACAACGACGTAACGAATTATTTCAGTTTCAACATAAACCTATTGAACCCTTATCTTACTTTTTGCGAACTTATCTAACATACAGTATGTGTCTAGATTGTGAAAATAACATGAGCCACGATATTTTTTTCTAAAATTCAAAGCTTGTGAAGCCACTATAGAGCTTCACGATTTTTTTGAGGCTGAACATTAATTTTGAAGATTCCCGAACTTTTATTTTTATCTAGATTAATTAATTAGAAGTTCTTCGGAAATACAGTGTAACGATATTATAAACCCTTTCGTTATAAGTTAGGCGGATAAGGTTCGAATAATTATGATGAAGACAATTTCATGGAAGGATGAAAATTCTAATTAAAATTATTTTATGTTATTCTAAATAATAATATCTGGACCATATTTGGACGTATCCATTTTCCGCTAGCCAAAAAAAGGTACAGAGCAGAATTTTTTGAATAATAAAAACATATCATTAAACTTCTTCCTAAAGGCTAAAGGCGCCTCAGTGCTGTTTGAGATAGATTATAAAGGACATGTTCAGACACTATTGAGCAACCGCTCGAAATGTTTGGCCAGTAGCTAATATGTAGGTCGTATGCATGGGTACGTCCCCGTCGTTACAAGACCGTCAACCAACAGGAAGATACGCAATGTGGGCGCTGCATACTAAGGCAGGGATCTGCAGTGAAATTTTTAATATAAAATTTTGGTTAGATTATCGTTTCTCTTGTAAAAATTGTTTAATCTATTAGTATTTTAAAATGTTCTCGCCTTTGCTAGCTATACTTGCTCAAATCCGTGGTGGTGGGGGCCCGGTGACCTGTAACACAGGTATTCATTTACCTAGCTCAGGCTCCGGTCTCACACACTCATTAATGTGTTTTCTTTAAATGTATTTTATCCGGTATTTTTGTGTGAGAAATAAATCATTATTATTATTAGTGGTGGGCATTCGTATTGTTTCATTTAAGTCAGATTGGCATTAACAAGTAACCATTGGTTTTCAGCATTGGAACATTTAGCCAGGTTAACACTGCCTAACATGGTACTCGTATAAATTCTGAAAATAATTACAACAAAAAACTTTATTTAGCGGGAAAATACAGGGATAGTTTTACGGTTTTAGATTATTTATTACATAACGGATGCGTTCCATTTGCAGCAGTATTAATAGTTCATGAAAAATCTTTAATTGACTTGCGGAGCAGCATTTTGTGAAATAGATTAGTTAATAAATGTATTACAAAAGTATAGGGGTGCGGTGATAATGTTAACCTTAAGCAAACTTACCCTGTTGTTCTGAACGACGGTGACTTGGTCGATGACGGTCTTGTACCAGACGATCCAGAGCAGGTTGTTGAGCGCAAACGACGTGAAGAGGTGGATGTGGATCCTTATGCGCGTGCATTGGAGGGACCTTGTACAGAAACGAATTACTTAAGTTGAGTTTTAGCAAAGCAGCGCTTGCGCTTAGGCAAAAGCTATGGCAATAGAGAGCTTCCACATGAAGTAGCATCGTACAGTCGACACCAAAAGCTCTTGTAAAAAGGAATCTTAGAATGTATGTTTTACGAGAATTTAAGGTTAATTAAGACTTTTGAAAAAAAGTCTATTCTTGCTACTCATGAAAAGGCGAGTAAGCTTTACCTGTGTGTGTACGTGTATATGCATAACGATAGTGTAATATCTATCAAAACTATTGAAAAAACGAACAGTAGCGAGCCACCACACATGTAAAGCTCACTCGTCTTCGTGAATTGCAAGAACTAGGTATATATTTTTGCAATACAAACTAGATTTGCTTAACTAAAATTAGTTAGCCGATTTATTGGGAACTTTTGGCGTTGATATATCAGTTACTTTGTTTAAGATTCGAGTATGCAATATCCTCACAATTGAATGAAAATTCATGAGTTACAATAAAAATTCATATTAGGTACTCTGACAAAAACAAATCAGCATTTACGATTCCATATTGACACCATGAAAAAGTACAACATATTTCGAGAGTTGAGAGTATTATAATCAAATTACTTTGGGATTCTGCCAAATGTTCTTGGAGCGGCGGCTATCAAGGCTCACAAGAGTTTTACGGTGATGTAGCTAAAAGTATTCCTACTCTTACGCGAGAATAAAATATCACATGTCGTAAAAATCTTTTCGTATTACGTTAAGGCCCTACGCTGATTAGCTTTGTGGTGACTGGCGTTAAGGCATTTTTGTGGATCTCTGCTCCTCGGTAAAACCAATTTAAGAGGTGTGAGAGTTAACTAGTAAATTCAGCAGAGTACTAGTTCTTTAACTCTCTCACCTCTGATAAATACGAGTAGCTGAACAGCCACATTCATCACTTCAGCGTAATAAAATCTTCTAATAGTTTCAGTTAAATGCTAAACAGAACCAGCCGTAGTTTCAAAAGCAAAGATTCAGATGGATGATTTTAGTATGTATACCACGCAGGGTTGAATATTTTATTGTGTTTTGAGCATCGTTTTATAATGTGAGCATTGGTGTCTTCAGTAAAAAGTTGTTTTAAACCGTTTGTGAAACAGCCAGTGGCCACAAACCCATTCTCAGTTTCAATCTACCTTGCGGTTGTAGGCTGCGTTAGATACTTTACAGTCGTTCGACAATGTAGACTAGGCGGATTAGCGCGACCTACATGTCAGCACTAAGCCTTCATACACGCGAACGTTTAGTGCGGAGCTCAAAGCAGGACAATTGATGGATTTCGCGCAAAGGCGTAAAAGGAAACTTTTTGCGAATACGCCAAAATTAATTACTATGAAAACTTAAAGATTTTCCGGTCAAAGTGAATGCAGAATGCAGATATCATCAACTATGAACCACATTGTCGGTCTCTATACATTTTGTATTGATGTGATCTGACAGTGCGGGCACGAGCAAAGATCGCAAACTGACTGGTGCGGGCTGCGTTCATTTGACCTGACTGTACACTGCAGAATGCATCTAGTGTGACAAATGATTAAGTAGGTAGGATCTTGATTTATTATTTATTAAAAAACTTTATTGCACACACAATAGATTAAGCGGTACTAAAAGGCGAACTTAATGCCATGTGACAATTATCGTGTCGAGGAATGAATGATCTGGTGGTAATTTCAAAGAGCTAAAGATTCGAAACTTTATGTATTAATTACTGGCAAATTCTTTTTTATTTGTGTAAGTTGGAACGGTGGAAATGATCTACCGTTCCTTTACACATGTAAAGGAATGGATATACAGTGTGAGTCACGTTAAAGTGTACATATGAAAACAGATGAAACAAGACCTATTTTTATCGACAAAAAAGAGGTCAAAAATTTTTTGAGATTTTTTTTTAATTTTTTATAGAATTTTTTTTCTTCCAATTACTTATTGTAAAGAAAACGTAATAACTTTTAAATTAAGCGGTATATCCTGATAAAATAAAAACAGTAATAATGCTAAATAACAGGCGATACTAAAAAAATACATAAAATACACAAAAAAAGGTCAATAAATAATAAAAATGATACTTTTTGAAAAAAATCTGCTTTTAAATTCGTGTTTTTTTGGTTATTTGATAAATTTCTCCAAAAAATGCCCCTATAACAGGTGGTTTTTATTACTTTGTATTATTCTCTGTCGTATTATCTTTGTAAAACCAAAAATCGCATGTCTCTATCATTTTTAACTATCAAAAATTTAAGCTTTCTCCAGTAACACTGATATTATTATACTGTGACTCATCAAAGTCATCATTGTCAAAAATATTGACAAATCGCGAACTGTCACGGCCAAAAAACTGACACGCGTCCGTCCTCCGTAAGCGCCACCGCGCGACTGATTGAGATTGTCCAAGCCGTCATGGACGATTTTTTCCACATTTTTTAACATAGTAACTAAATAAGACGCAATATAAAAATTTCATCCGTTAAAAGCCCTCAAGTTATTTCTGAACTATAGTTTAGTAAAAGATTTAGAATCTCAAATCGCTTATTTTAAAAATAAAACCATAAATAGAAAACGAATAGAGGTAACTTTGGGAATTTAATCTATCGAGTCAACTTCATCAAATCGTGTTTCCATCCGTTAATAGCCCTCGAAAATATCCTCAACTATGCCCAATAAAAATCTTAGGCTTGAATTTTACTGTTTAGTACCTCAAAAATGAAAAATGAAAACCTCATTTTCGCCATTTTCTCTGCTACCCGGCCTTAATACAGGGTTTTTTCAGAATTTTTTTTTAGAGTACTATAAAGTTCGGAGGAAACGGAGTCTTAAAAGAACACGCACATTTTTTCTCTTTGTGCTTCTGGGTGTTCAGAAAAGGTGCCAGGACATTATACTCGTACCTACTACTACTTCTATAGTATCACAGTAACATGTGAATCCATTAATCGAAAATCGCTCGAGTAAGTACGCTTCTGTGAATTTCTCTCAATGATCCGAATGGAAACGAAATTAGCTATCCGTTATAGACCCGAGGAAATCGATAAACCCAAACGATAAACAAATGATAATGGGATAGTCACATGTGCTCTAGAACCTATACGAGTAAATGATGGAGCATACGTGACCTCGAATAGAGACAGTGTCTTAGCAACCGATACGTATGCCGGTTTCTTAAGAGGTATTTTTAATTGTTGTTTCCCCGTTTCGTATATTTTATTTTATTTAAAACTTATATTTACCCATTCGCCGTCAGTCAGTCTGAGTCATGCAGAAATCTCTGAATGCTGTGCAGGTTTAAATAAAATACATCTTTTCACAATATATTTGTCTAAATCTTATTATTGTGATATTAAGCAATAACTTATTAATTTTATGATTTCGAGGTAAAGGCAAATAATATATTCACGCCACGTCTGATTTCATTGCTTCAATATAAACGGACCAGGAAAAGGTTGTCCAATTTCAGATGAAAATTCCATCCTATCTAATTTCTTTAGTAATTCGAGACAAGGACAGTTCCGAAGTAAGCCAATTTACCGACTTTCCTCAATTGCTGTCATGCATTTGTACATCTGTAGAGAAAGCTGTCTAATAAATGCGGCCGTGACAAGTTATTGCTTGTTAATTGCATCGAAAAAGACAATAAAAAGGGATTTGTGTCGGTAAATATGATAGCAGATAATTCATTATTCTAACGTGTGTCCCCTATGACTGTGTGCAAAGCGTATCCTGAGTATCCCCGAGACTCGTGATTATAAATTAAATCTGCATTGTACATTTTGAGCGTAAATGGCGCATAGTCAGGTGTTGCCTTGTTAATATTGTAAAGTAACACAGAAAATCCTTGGGGTTTGCTGCAGCTCTTACGACTATTCTAAGACATAACTGCACAGTTGCATGCAATCATCAAATACTGACAAAACAACGTGAGAATATATGTTTTAGAGAAAATCTATATGCATCTTAACGGGTCGGAAAATCATACTTTAAACTATATTGTGCAGCTTAATCCGCATCTCAGCAATCACGCGGGCTAACGATGGATTCAATAGTTAACCCCCTCTGTAGCGCGAAACTTAAGAGTTGGCTTCTGAGTAGAGGATTTGAGATGAGTCTTGAATGCAGTGAGGGATTTATGCTCGCTCGAGACGCTCTGTCTCAGAAGAAGACGGTTAGCCCCAGAGGAGAAGGCTCTACTAATCTTGCCTTTTGTGAAAAGTAGAGCAGGTACCTACCTACGAGTACTTGTAGAGATAGGAACTGTATTTTACATTTGTCTGGTGTTGATAGTAGTTTCTTAATAGATTATAGCAGAGTGGTTCTATCTACACCTACCCATTGCCATACACATTTACCCACTACTATGGGTACTCGTGAAATTCCGTAGACGACGTATTATTGTTGTATCATAAACGACTTGTTCCAATTATTTTCTTTTTAGTGTTCGAGTTGCCCGCGGTAGACATTTCAAACGAATTTTCCGGTCCCAAATCTCATTAGCGGTCCATGCAGCGACCCAGCTGGAGGGAGGCGGGGTTATAATTACTTACTTTATCGCACAACGAAGCATTTTCAAGGTGGCAACGGTGGTGTAAAAATTATGTACCTATCTTTGTACCCATATCATAAATCTATTACCGAAAGCGCATCATTTCAAACATCTGCCAGGTGTGTGTCAGGATGTAGGTGACACGTCTTAGTTACAATATTGCCATAATCCAGTATTCAGTATATTGTAACTAAGACGTGTGGTTTCAACTTTTTGGCTTTGGCCACTTTCGGTTTCACCAGTGTCATGTAATGTCATGACGCTGAATGTAAGTAGGTATGTATAGGTGACCTACACTGAACTGTCCCACCAAACTCATTGACAGAGGGGCGCCACCATCGTTCTACTATACTTTCCAATATGGCAAATATCGGAAGCAGCGATCCGGTATTGACGGTGGCACCCTCTGTCAATGTCACAGGTGGGACAGCTCAATGTATTAGATCTCTACCTACCTACTAAGCGCGCTGGCCTTACCGCATTAAGGTTTAGCTAAACCATCGCGTGTAGCCGGCGGGCACGATGGCAATGGTGATGGCGATCTGACTTAAACGCATTGATCGCCATCGCCTTCGCGCACGCAGGCTGATCGCGTTGATTTGGCTGAACCTTTAGACCTAATCACTTTGGTCTTGTGAAGCTTGGCTATTTATTCTGACGGCAGCTTAAACAGAAGCTGCCAATGCCTATAATTTATGAAAAACTGATAAATACCTGATTTATAATACAAATCACGTTTAACGGCGCCACAAATCCTATTTCCAAGGATCCTTTGTTAGTCTTAAAAATAGGTTAAAAAAAGTTGCAATAATACAATATTGCTAGCTAGCTACTATAGGTATATTGTATTATTGCAACTTTTTTTTTATTCATCACACATCACAAACTCTCATTTTGCTCTTTATTTATCAACTTCCATAGGTTTGATGATGTAGTAGATGACTGAATAAACAAATGTGTTTTAATATTTGAGTGATTCACTCGCATCCGGATCATGCAGCAGTCAGTTTATGCCTACATCAAACGATTAGGGAGATATGAAATATTACTATGGTTTATAATAAATTGTGCGGATAACTAAAATAAGGAGCCCAAATAATAGAAAGTTGTGGTTGAGTTATATTTGAAAATAAACTTTGTCTGTTATCACCTTAGCTGCAGAATTTCAGAAATAGATAAATTATAGAGATTAAATGGCCAGAACTTGCCAAAAGAAACGCTTTATAACTTCTAACTATTCGGTTTACATACACAGTCAACTTCTTTTGTTTATTCAGATTGTAAGGCTTTACGTGCCTTTGTACGAGTAAATATATGACATAGTTCAATCAGACGTTTCCTTGTTGCTTGTGGTTTGATCCCCGTACAATGTAAACGTGTGCAAGAATAATGTATCTGTCTGGGTGTTAATTAGAATCAAATAATAGTTACTAGTATATCAAACTATATCATATAGTAGATACTCACAAAATCCATAGAATACTCACAAAATACTAAACAGATATCTTTTATAAAAAGAAAAGGACTCGTGAAGAACTCGAACCTCCGACCTCTTCGCGCAATTTAACACATTGCGGATGGGTTTACTTCTGAGCTGCCGAGCCGGGGGGCGTAGTGTGAGTTTAGTTCAAACGCATTCGATGTCTAATAGGCAATTGTTAGTTTTTTACGCAGTCACTAGTGAAGACGTTTGATGTAAGGGGCTAGCCCCTTGTAATGAAGGGGTGAAATTCGTCGCCGCCGGTTGCTTGGCCTAGTGGTTCGCGTACTGGACTACAATTCGTAGGGTTCGATCCCCGTACAGCACACATATATCTGTTTGTATTTTGTCTGGGTTTCTTCTACGTGAAAATGTATTTCAGTATGTGAAAATTCGTTGCCTATTACCCATAGTACAAGCTTTACTTAGTTTGGGACTAGATAGCGCAGATTACACGTCCAGACCCCGGAAGTCCCGGAACAGGTGTAAATAAATAAAAGCTCGTAAAAATAACAGGAAAAACTTACCGAAAATAGAGGAAAATTGCAACTGAGATGAGCAGGGCCGCCACTGAGATCACGTAGCCGACCACGTAGATGTTGTTTACCACGCTCCGGAACTGAAACAATCGATACGTAAGTAATAAACTGTTCTTCAAATGTTTTCAGTCTGCATTACATTTTATAGATACAGGATATATTTTATTTGCACCATTCCAACTTTTTATCTAAATAAGGACCAAATAATGAAGAACTCAAACACAGTTCACCTCGTATTCTGACTGCGTCCGATCCAAATTGAGAATTTGAGAGTACTCTATTCATAAAATATACTATTTGTAGATAAGTACTTAGGACCGAAACTTTCGGATTCGAATCGGATGCAGCGTGTAACCGCTCTAATAATGGCAATGGGATAAGTCGTTTAAGAACAAATACACGAATTTGAGCGAAAAACAAACCCTAATTTACTAATTGTTGGTATAATTTCCTCCCTCTCTTTAGGTCCTATCCTATGTTTGGTTCGTCTTTTTATAACACTCATCAGTTTACAAACGTTGTAAGTGACGTTAAGTGTTTTACACTAGAGTATAATCCTGGAAGTAAACGCGATGCTGTTCACTCAAGTTCTGAAGTTATCCATCTACCTTCTTCGTTGGGTTGATCTTTGTAATATCTTAAGTGAAGTGGTAGAGCGTGATAAACTAGTTTAAGTGTAGTTTCGCCCATAAGCCAGCTTGTTACCCCAACGTTAAAACTTGCCTCTCATAAATATTACTTTGGCTCTCCTTGTCACGAGGACTTGAATAGACTGAAAGAGTTATTTGCTAATCAGTCTAATTGGTTTTCTCACTCTTTTTATGTTTATTAGAAGTACCTAGTAAGTCCTTCAGACTAAAATTACTCGTAAGTGATTGTCAGATTACCAAATATAGATTTGTGTTATTATGAAAATAGGAATAACGATTGATATTTTTAAAGCAATGTTCTTTGTTTCTGAAAAAATGTTGTGTAGAGAGTTGGATATTTTTAAGCTTTGTTTGATTTCATGTATCCTAGAAACGATATTTCAAACCTGATATTATTAATCATTAATTGTCACATACAATTTTCAATTTTGTAGCAAGTCATTTAATATCGGATGGCTATCATTTAATCACACTTATGTTTGTTAGCTAGGTACATAGATTTTTATAAAATATACAAATTGAAAAGGTTCTGTACTACTATTGTAGGTAGTTTTCATCCCAGAAAAACACGCATTCCCGCGGGATGCACGAAAAGATCAGTCTATAATAGAGTGAATTTGTCGCAGCGTAGAACTGTGGTATGTTCTGGATATATTCGATGAACATTTTTAAGAGATTGATATTTAATTTCGCTTTTCTTATTTATTTTAAACTTTTTGAATTAATAAATATTGTGTTTAAATAGTAGGTACCTGATATATTTTCTATCACATATTATACGACCCCAACATTTGCCATTCTCTTTGTTTATAAATTACTAAGATTGGCATTTTTTAACCTCAATGAATGTGAAAGTATAATATTTCAAGGCTGGCAGGTAGGTATTTCCAAATGTTAAACCTAGAATTTTCCTCAATAATGACATCATGAAGGCATTATGTAAATGCTCAATTAAATGCATTCGAGTTAAACTTTAAGGCATTTAATCAATTTGTAATAAGTACTTACTTTTTTGCGATCAAAATGTTTAGTCCGTTGCGCTGTTCTTTTTTTAGGCATATAGTTCCTTATTTTTACTGGATAAGTAAGTAATCCATCAAGCTTTATCTCACTATGCCACCCAACTTTTTCGAGCCACAAGCATGCACTTCCCATCTAATCACACAGTATGGTGGATCGCAAATCCTTTCCGGGAGCCTCAGAGTGGATTAGTTCCTCCCCTCCCTCAATAATTTTCAGGATAACAATCCAGAGTTGAATTCAACTATAGTGGAAAAGGGTTAGCTAAAAGATGAAGAAGATAATGAAATAAGACTTTACTGATAAATTGTAGAGTCCTATCTAAAAAGCATAATTATTAATTTTTAAAAGATATAAAGAAATTACCAACAGGCCTTCATTTAAGAAAATGAACTGATTTAACATTTAGATTCTCAAAGTAGACTTGTTTTAAATCTAGTTAAAAGTATGTGAGCATTGATCATTACACAGAACAGTTTGTTTTAAACCGCAAATGAAAGGAATAAATTACAAGAAAAAGCGGCTAACGTGGATATTATGAATAAATATGAAAAATAAACAGGCTCGAATATTGCAATAAAATGTGACTCGAATAAAAAGTTGAACGTCAGATTTTTGTTTTATCAATGCTGGCACCATTAAAAAAGCATTCCCGATTTACCATTTACTTCCCTTTTTAGTGCCATGTTTTCGTATAGTATTTATTTAGCGGCAGAATTCATTCTTCAAATATTTTCATACAGGAATGTATCGAGGCAGTATATTTTGTAAACCTTTTTAATCCATCAATTTACTGATGATAAGAAATACACGTACATTTTTGAAAATATATAAACAGTATCCATCTCTCGTACCTACCACTTTTAATTCAAATAAATTGTATTCTATTATATTTATTTATTTTATTTATATATTATATATTTTAACTTAAGTTTGTGCTAGTTGTAAAAATATGTTTATTTTAATAATTTGCGTTGAGATTTGCATTAGGCCATTAGATGTCATTCAGATTGAATGAGATGTACAGAATCGCTCCGACTTGGTGGAAACCGGGCCTTAGGAGTGGTTAGTTAAATTGTCAAGTTTGCTGCCAAGATTCCATCCATGGTGGAAGTATTTAATCTACGAAATGTGTTCCGTACTTACATTGTAAGTATATTATATATATATATATATATATTACAATATTGTAAGTAAAAAGTTAAAGTTATGGCAAAACTTTTTCAGGTAGATTTTCTTTAACATGTATTCGTAATTATTAATATTTTTCGCCATGACATGACTATTTCTTACCCTAGTTCGCATCACTCCTGTAGCCCAGATCTATAGCCGAGTTACTCTCTGGAATGTTATACTGTGGTTATACTGTCAATGGACTCGCAATCGCAACGAAATTAATCAGAATAAAGAATAGGGGAGTTCGAAGCTAATGATCGACTTGCTTCCTGAGCAAAGCAGATAACAGATGAATTTTAGCGGTAGCTGACATTAATGTGGACGAAGCCATCAAGCCATAGATGTCCACTTGTCTTCTTCAATATTCTTAAATCTAAACATCTACTAATAAACAGCAGTAACGCCCGTATTCACAAAGATTACTATGAGGTCTCACAGTGCGCGTGGACGCACAGGGGCACACACGAAACAATCACAGAGCTCTAATCAACGCTGTGCGTTCGATTTGCTGTTTCACTTAAGCAAGCATCATTTGTGAATACATGCGTTACGTGGTTAAACCATCCATAGTGAAAATATTGAAAGCTAAAATGTCAGAAAATGAACATTCTGTACATTTATACAATTATTTTGATACAACTTTCGTAATTACAAAGTTTTATTCCGTTATCACTTCACTTGTACGCTTTTTTAACGTAAATAATTCACCTCGAGAAAAGATTGCGAAAGTTGGTTACTATTTGAGCAGAACAGCACGTCCAGCTAAACACTCTTACGTAGTTGTCATAGGTGCTATTTTACAACAAAAATATATGATGTCCTGCCGATTGTACAGTCAGCGTCAAATAGTTCATGACACCCAAAGTGTCCAAAAAGTTGATAATCAACCTTATTCCAATGAGACACATCATGCACCCGGATGAGATAGCAGATATCACGCTCCAAAGAATCTGGAAATTTATAGACTCAACGGGACTAAGCAGTGAACTTTAAAGACAAGGGCTGCCACAATAGATCAAACCTGGTCGAGTTGGCGCAAATAAAGGCCCAAAAACCAATAATAATAATAATATTCCAATGAGGGTTTTCGCGAATGAAAGATCCGCTAGATGGCGGGACGTGGATGTGGGGTCTGACTGCTGCGTGATTGGTGGATTTTAACATATCTGTCAATGTCATGTCAAAAATAACCAATCATGCAGCATTTGGACCTCGCGTTTACGTATTGCCACCTAGCGGATTTTTCATTCGCGAAAACCCTCATTGTAACAAACACGTGTTGCGAACTTTTTGGCTACTTTGGGTGTCACGAACTATTTGACGCTGACTGCACTATATCTAGGGGTCTGAGCAACTATAGTTAGTAAATTAATAATTAAACTTACATTTAAGTCTTCCACGTCAATGCAGGTCGTATAGTTGGTCCAGGGTTTGTTTCCTTCAGGGTGTAAGAACCAGGTACCGTTTTCCAGGCATCTGAAACAATTTCAGTTAGAAAGTAAATACAATCAGAGGCTGGTTGGTTACTTTATTATACTGTATTATACCCGTATTGTTTTAAAAATGGACTGAGTTAACTGAACGAGTACATTGAAATAATTGTTAGCATTAAATTGTAATTATTGATTTTTTTCCAGGTTCATTAACACTTTATTTGCTTTAATCGTATAGGTATAGATTTTACAAGAGCATTATTTTATTTATAAAAAAATAACTTTTTCTGCAAATACAATAAATGACCCATTGCCATTGGGCGGGCAGCGGGGTGTGGGAGGCGGAGCGCAGATCACCGCACGCGCCGCGCCGTCTCGTCGCCTCAGTGTCACCCCCGCCTTAGGGTATTTTACTCAAAACTTTGGGTATTTTTAGGGTAGAAAATTAATTGGGCAATTTTCAGGGTAAAATAAATACAAAAAATTTCAAATGAAATGTAGGTACCTACGATTTAAAAAGAAAATACTGCAGTGCAGATGAAATTTCTATGACTACGATGGATGCATTCCAAGAATATTATGTATGGAAACTGTGTAGTAGTTAAAATATTAATTTAAAATGAATTAATCAATAATATTGAACTGGTTTACACACACGTCCACCCCAATTTAATATTTTTATAAGTATATGTGGCTTCAGTCTTAGATGTAATAATTGAAACTGAAACTCATAACATAGACAACGGTACTCGTAACCAATTCCTCGTAAAAAAAAGGAATTGGTTTTCCTTCATACATTGGGTTTAGTGTGGAATCCATGTGAAGACGTACTACATTTGATATTGATGATAATAGTACCTCGGACTCGGACATTGTTACTAAACGTTACTTGCGTTTGCACTTCAAAATCTTCGATCAGTTCAGCCTACTAACTTAGTGTACAGTGCAGCAGTGTAAAGCCCAAAATCTTGTTGCAAAAAGTTTGGGCACATACATTAAATTGGGATGATCTTGTGAATTGACATTCAACGTGCTTGGGCACACTTTATAGTTAATTTTAAATATTTGAAACATCTCACAATGCCTAGGAATATTTTTCATGATAAAACTTCATACATTGAACTTCACAGTTTAATTGATGCTTCTCAAGCAGCTTACGGCGCTTGTACGAGTATTTACATCAAGTCATTCTGTTAATTCGGTAAACAAACCATAAATCTCCTTTGTGCCGAGTCACGTGTCGCCCCCACAAGGTACATCACTATACCCCGTTTGGAGCTGTCAGCAGCGATACTAGGAAGCCGTCTCGCTTCTACTGTAAACTCAGCCTTTTGAAAGTCTATAGCTCGCTGTATTCACTGGAGTGATTCAAGTGTAGCCCTTAGCACCATACAGTCTCTATACAAGAATTTGTGTCTGATCATGATATTCAATCTTTCACCGGCCGCGGCCTACGCTCTTTTTAACGGCTATGTAGAGAGTGGCATTAAATCCGCAAAATTTCATATAAAGCATTTAGGGAACACGCGTATGACATTTGAGGAGCTATCATTAATTTGACAAATTAAAGCAATCCTCAACAGTCGTCCTATTTTTCCTCTCTCCTCATCTCCCAACGACTACGCAGCGCTCACACCAGGGTCACCAGGGCACTTTCTTCTTGGCAGGCCACTGATGTCGCTTCCGGCTCCGGACCTACGAAAGCTGGACCGATTCCGACGAATTGAGCAACTTAGACAGCACTTTTGGCAGCGTTGGCAAACTGAATCATCATCATCATCATCATTTCAGAAATAGGACGTCCACTGCTGAACATAGACCTCCCCCAATGCTTTCCATGTTGATCGATTGGTAGCGGCCTGCGTCCAGCACTTCCCTGCTACCTTTACGATGTCGTCGGTCCACCTTGTAGGTGGACGTCTCACGCTGCGTTTTCCGGTACGCGGCCTCCATTCCAGAACCTTTCTGCCCCATCGGCCGACAGTTCTGCGTACTATGTGCCCTGCCCATTGCCACTTCAGCTTGCTAATCCGTCGGGCTATGTCAGCGACTTTGGTTCGTTTACTGGCAAACTGAGTAACATCACCGAACTACGGCAACGTTGAAAGTGAAGAGTACGTACGTTGCAAGGATCCACAGCAGGGAGACCTCGTAATACTGAAGGAGGACAACCTTCACCCAATATTGTGAAAAAAATTTGAAACCTTCAATAATGTTTTATTAAAATCTTAGCTGGACACATTATTATACGTCCATTGCTATTGAGCCTTTGAAATTAACGGACGGACAAGCGGTTATTGTTTTATAATAAATTCCGGTGCTTTTGTCTGAATTTTCCTAGTGAAATAAACATGCCAGTTCTAAGAACTTGTACAAAGCATCATAAAAACCATGCAACAAACAATAGTGGTTGGCATGTAAGGGCTGTCAAACAAGGCAGTATCGACAGGCCTGTTTCCGTTGATGATTTCACAATAGCTCTACAGTCTCTATATCTGGTTCCATGAAATGTAGTTGATTGAGGTATGTAGAAGGTTATGTGATATTTGATATTTGTTTGATGTCTTTTGATTTGAAACATTTTATATACATAGTTTTTATTAAAGCGTCAAAAACTAAATTTATTTATTTGTTATTACAATAGACATTTTATTATATTATTACAAGAATAAATTGTTATTCAAACCAAGGATTTTCATCCTGTATCACAAACTTTCCTGAGGGATTTAGTTGGCAAAGGATAAAACGGAATATGAGCTAAATACAGCATAATGCTCTGAGTCAAAATAATAAAGTTTTTCTCCACGCCAAAGGCTTTGTTATTTTTACTTACATGAACCACAATGATATTAGGTAGGTGTATTCTCAGTAGCAAAATAAATGTCCTTATTATATCTTGCTCATTTGTCCTATTTTTATTTATAAATTAAGTCGTAGTTCGAAGGAAGTTTTGTAATCGGACGTTAATTGGAATCTGACAAGGCTTCATTGTCTTTGTTTGGAATTGGGATCCCAGTCTTTTGGAATCGGGGGGCACTTACTTATATTTCTTAAAATGAATAGGTACTAGTATCTATCTTTATTTTCAAACTTTTGGAAAATTTAAGTCGGCTGTGTTCAGGTTCAAATCCTTTCAAATCTTTATCAGGTTGGGGACTAAGGTAAGTCTATTTGGAGTCAGTTTATTTAGCTTCTTGGGTCCGAATTACTTTGCAATGTTGGCACAAGGAATTCTAGAACTGAGATATGATTTTGCTGAGGAGGTCCGCTACGGGACGTGACGCGACATAGTAGTTAGGCCTTGTCCAGAAGGGCGAAAACTCCGCGAATGTCTTCGCGCGAACACGAGCGTATGTATGTCGCGATTTACGCGCGAATTTACAACTCGCGTGTATCTTGTGGACGCAATGTATTGGCTGCTAGTATTTTGCCAACGAGCGTATGATTCTACGCGCTTAGGATTCGCGGCGAATACGCCCTCCTGTACAAGGCCTTATATGTTTCACTTTTTAATTGCAGTCATTAGCCATTGTTCGTTAAAAACGTGCTCACAAGGGCTTGGGAACGTGCAAGCCCGTGCTTTTCTTAATGAAGCTTCGCAAAGCTATGGACAAATATTAATTTTGTATAGGAGAAATTAATGTCCTATGTCTGTTCAGGTTCAACAGACTGATTCTTTTAGGTCTGCTAGACAAGTTAGACAAGAAAGCAGGTTCATAATATAGTATCTTTTATCTTTTGTAATCTCATTCATCTCAGCTGTCAGTCATTGAAAATTTACCATTCTAAAGTATAAGCTAAAAATTCAGAACCGATCTTAAGGTTCGGCCAAACCAACGCGATCACACGCGATCAACCGGCGTGCAGCGATGGCGATCAATGTATTTAGGTCTGGTCGCCATCGCTGCACGCCGGCTGATCGCGTTGGTTTGGCTGAACCTTAATAAAATTTCATTTCATTTCATTCAAATACTCGTAAGCTGTTACTTATGTTAATGTTCTGTTTAAGAATGATATAGAAAAATTCAAGATTGTGAAGCGAAAGCACTTGGGGATAGGAGGACTTATATTATGAACTCCGTTGGTAATTATTGAAATGAACAATGATAAATTGAATTGCTTACCTACTTGACTATTTGTAATGCGACGGTTGCTTGTAATACTCAAGGGAGCTTGTCGTATAATTTTATTTAAGTTCATAGGAGTGGAATATTTTTGCTCCGTGTTTTTATAAGGGTATTATCAAAGTTACTACAAATAGATAATAATCTTCAGGTTTTTAAAATGCAGGCAATTTTTGGTCCCTTTGAAACAATCAAAGACTTCGTGAAGGAGATTATTTTATGACTCCTTATAAAAATTAGTCCACTTTTAGTAAATAGGATTTTAATTTCAGACTTTCATGGAGTACTTACCATGTAGGCTGAAATTACTTCTCTGGTGTCATGTCAAACTTCATAAGGCAATATTATGCGTGTAATCGCTCTATAGGCCTGGCTATCTAGTGAATCAATCTCGGAATATTTTCTTATAAAAATGTTTACAATGTCCTATCCAAACATTGGACCAAGGTCAAGAAGTTATGTAATACGTGCGTAAGTATGGACACACTTTAGAAATTGAATACGGGTCAAGAACTTTAAACTCTAATACCCACTAAATCAGGGGTGTCCAACATAATTTTGTAGAGGGCCAGGTTTAGTATTTTTGTAACCGTAGCGGGCCAAAAGAAATACCCAATAGCGATAGTACTTATAGGTTTTTTTTTTTTTTTTTTTCATTTATTCTCATAGGACCACAAACAGATTCACAATCAGAATTTATATAAAGAAGATAGTATAAAATAATGTACATTATTATTATGAATCCAACAGCGCTGGTCTCAGTTTACTTATCAACTAGTGTTAAGGTGGAGTTCGTCTTTTACATAATTTTAACTAAGTTAAGTATGCATGTAAAATAACTTATACAAAGCAATATTTTGTACCTACATAATTTCAACAACCCAACCGTGCATGTTGGTTGGTGATATGCAAGAGATACCACACACCTGTCCGCCCTACGGTGATCGAAGTGAAACCTTGGGTTCAGAGGCATTTCTCGCGAGTGGGTGCATCTACAGAGCAGGCGTGTGATATCAATTACATATGGAACTTACGGGGCTGAACTGAGCATATCAACAGCAAGCCCTCGAAACTTATCATGACTTAGTGAAAAGATATCCAGATCGTTGAAGTTTTCATTATATAATTTTAGCATTCTGTTAATTGGTGACCGAATACCTGCATTGGTTCGGCAAGGCTTGATTGCAAACAATTTATGCGTTCGCGAAGATCTCATTAGCGATCTTGTGGGTACACTATATCTTAATTTATTAGTAATTTCTGTGCAATCATATCTATTGTGTATAATATCATGTAGCAACATAGTTTCAAGTTGTATACGTCTGGATCGAAAGTCAGTTAATTTATATTTGTTAAGTAACAGTTTGTACGATAAGCGTTTATGGTGACATTTGTAATGTATGTATCGAAGGTATTTCTTTTGTATTCTTTCAAGTACAAGATTGTATTTTTCGTATAAAGGATTCCATATTGTTACAGCATATTCTAGTTGACAGCGAATTAAAGACACAAAAAGGTATCTGAACGTTGAGCTCTGCTTAAACTTTACACCAGATCTGATGACAAAGCCATACATTTTGAAAGCCTTGTTGACAATATTATTAATATGTATATCAAAGTGTAGTTTACTGTCAAGAGTGATCCCAAGATCCTTAATACTATTTTCCTTCCCAAGGGTAGTACCGCAGAGTGAGTACGAGTAATTACTAATTTTTTTCTTTTTTGTAAACGTTATAGCTTTGCATTTATTAGTACTTAGTCCAAGTTTATTAACATCGCAGTATAAAGATAGTCTATCTAAGTCGTTTTGTAGTTTGGTATGATCATTTGAATTATTGATAGTCCTATATATTTTTAAGTCATCTGCATACAGAAGAAATTTACTATTGTGAAAACATTTCAATATGTCATTAATGAAAAGTACGAATAAAAGTGGCCCAAGAATCGAACCCTGCGGTACACCGGATGTGATTTCAACGCATGTGGATTCAAAACCATCAATTACTACCATTTGAGTTCTATTGGAGACATAGGATTTGAACCACCTCCAAAGATTTCCTCGAATACCATTGAATGCAATTTTTTCAAGTAGGATTTTGTGATCCACCCTGTCGAAAGCCTTGCGAAAATCAGTATAAATACTATCAATCTGTTTGTTTTCGTCAAGACCTTCAAATAGATCAGTTGTGTAAATAAGTAGATTGGTGACAGTTGAGCGACGTTCCACAAAACCATGCTGTTGTTGCAAGATTGAATTATGAAGTTGTGGGTAAATAGCTTTATGGACCAATCTCTCACAAAGTTTCGACAGGGTAGGCAAAATGGAAATCGGCAATCGAAATGCACTCTCCTTGCTATTCAAATATAACTAAAAATAATGTTCCTGTTAGGCATGGATTATAAATAGGTATCTCTAATGGGAGAATCGACCCCGTCCATCCACCATCATCACAGTCAAGTTCGAGATAAGTTTTATTGGCTCCAATTTGCATAATAGCTCAGATAAGGGCACGTTTTACGATTCCTGAAAAACACCAATGTTTCAGAAGTTATTTTAAGTTGGGCTGCTTGTTACCGTTTCTGACGTCATTTTACGTAGGTAGCTTTGGTCGTAGTTTAATTGAAGAAAAAAAAATAGACGTAGGTAATGGTATGTAATTTGTAATGATGGACCATTAAAGTTAGCCGTCCTATTGTTTTTTTCGAAAAAATATAGAATACCTAATATTAGACTCCTACGTAATGGTTTACTATGAATAATAAAAATTAACTTGAGCGTACAAGTTTCTTTCATAAGATTCAATGCAGAAGATAGCTGGATATAATATTGAGGTTACACAACTTGTAAGCGTACGTTACTCAAATATGGAAAAAGAAAATTTTCACGACCCAAAGTCATCCATCTTACTCGTATTATGCAAAGACAACGAAGTACATATTAAGCCAGCTTTCCAATATCCAACTGGAATGAATAGTTCTCAGCTTTATATTTGCTTCAGTAAGGAAGGCTGCGTTGCCAACTAATTTGGGCCTAAATCTGTCCAATTTAGCTGGAGGGCGACCTAGGTTCGCCAAGTTTAGTTCTTACTTTACGTTTTGTGCTTTAACTAAGAGCGGTTGTGTTTTATTTAATTCTATTTTGGTTGGTAAGACTGTTTTAAGAGCAAATAATATTTTGCCCCACAGGGACCTTGTTCGCATCTACACTGTCACCAATTTTTTACGATATTTATTTATCGTGCGAAGTTGGTTCTTGGTATTCGAGTACGATCTACGCGCTGAAATTATTTTCAGTATCGCATATGGGATAGAAGGGACAAACAAAAATATTGACCAATCTAGGTAATCAAAAGTTCAGTTGAAGCAAATACATAGTATATCCTCAATAAAACGACCTCCACAAACCTATTTAACCCTTAAGGTTATAAAAGCTGCTCCTAATATAAATAGGTTAGAATGTTGGTGAATCACGATGTTTGGGTCACCGTGGCTTTGGCAGCTATTGGCAAGGAGTTGGAACTGTTAAAACTGTCTGTCGGGAGCATACGCTGACAAGCTTTCAGCTTTTATAAAATGACGTAGATAGTCTATAAAGCTGAAGAGTTTGTTTTTTTGTTTGGTGGTAAACTATTTTCACGCGTACAAAGTCGCGGGAACATCTATAACACATAAATTAATATGGTGCATCATGTAAAGCGAAAGTCATATTAGGTATGTTAAACTGCTTTACTGTTTTAGTAGTATAAAAAGAATAGCAAAAATTAATTAGCTGGCGCAGTGTGTGATTGTCCAAAGATTTATTTATTTATTTAACTAGCTTACCAAAATGAATAATCCAAAGGGTTCTTGCAAGAAAAGTAAATAAAACACACAATGTAAAAATACTAATACATACAACATTTATTTCTTAATATTTATCTTAGACATTTAGTACGTATTTGTAAAGAATGTAATCTTTTATGTTTTTCTTTTTCAAATAAATAATATAATTTATAATTTACAAATAAAATGTATATCTAAAAAAGGAAAAGGTCACTGATTGACTGACTCACTCATTACGAAATCTCAGAAAATACAAGTGCTAGAATTCTCAAATTTTGCATGGGGGTTCCTTTTAGAACGTAGGTGCTCACTAAGACGGGATTTTGCAAAATTCAAACCCTAGAGGGGAAAACGGGATTCACGCGTACGGAGTATAATCTTAATAATAACCTAATTTGTACCTTGTAAAAACAAAGTTAAATAAAATGAAAGTTTCAGGTAATTAGTGACAATTAAGACAGAACTACACCTATTATTATTAAATGTAACATGTATTTGCATAATATAGCAGATTAACTTATACCTAATCACTAATACACACAAATAAAATTGCATGTCATAATAGTAGGTATAGGTATAAAAAGTAAGTACTTTTTTTTAAATCTCTTGACTTACCTACTCTTGTGAAGTGCCATTTTATACATACTACAACAGTTATAAGATCGTTTCATTCATGAAGACGCGCCCCACCAATTTTTGTGTCTAGGGAAGCGCGGGGTGCGGGAAGTTTGATCCGAGCAATCCGAACGTCATTATTATAGTGTGAGTCTGCAGCGCACTCATGGATAATTTAGCGTGTACCGATAACACTCAAACATTAGCGGAAGAAAAATGTGGCGCGTCTTCGTGGACGAAACGATCTATACAAATAAGTTACTACTTAACTTATTTTTTTGACACACAATACACATGATTAAATGTGAGAAAAATTATATTTCCTTAGTTAAAAATAAGTTACTATTTAACTTATTTTTATGACACACATAAATTTAATATGAATAAATGAGAGGAAAATTATATTTCCTTCAATTTTTCTTTTGTATATCTATCTTGATTACAGCCTTGCTGCTTGATGCCCCCATATTAATATCAACCATGACTTCACCTAACCCGGTTATTTGTTGCTTGCTTTCCTGGAGTATTTTCATCTCCTCGTCTTTAACCAGTTTACGGCCTGAAGTCTCTTGCATATCCATCAAGTTTTTTAACCATTTCTCATTTTTTATAATACCGTCCTTTTCAGTCGGCTTCGCATCTTTTGTGTAAACTTTGCGAAGTTCCTCTACTAATTGTTTTGTTGTTTCATCTTCAGCAACTTCTTCAGCAACTTCTTCAGGGGTCTTCTTTGCTTTAGCTGGTTTTTTTTCTTGGGCCTCAGCTGGTTGAATGGCCAGCTGCTCTTCAGCCTTACTGTATCCGGCCAGCCTCTCTATTTCAGACCAGTCCTCGCTTGATACCGTGGACTGCGTAGCAGACGGGGAAACCGGTCGCTTGATGCGGTCCACCACTTGGTCGTATTCCTTATTAGGGTCTTCTTTAGTAAAAACAACATCTGAATTGGTAAATGGATACTCACAGGCAGCATTCCCACACATCAATATTTTATAATTGAAGTGTATGAAGTAATATCGCACCACCGAACCACACAGTGGACATACCTGAAAAAAAAAGAGTATTGAAAACCAGATATAAACATGCTTCTTTATTTCAATGAATTATCAACATTTTTTTCCACGGCCATTGATAACTTTTTAAAATGCAACACATTTTTAGGGTTCCGTAGTCCTGACAAGAAACCCATATAGTTTCGATATGTCTGTCTGTCTGTCCGAGGTTTTGCTTGGAAACTATTATGCTCCCCTACACGTAAAGTATGACTTTTTTTCATCTTCTATCCCATCTTGTGGGGCATCGTTGGATAGATCTTTTAAAATGGCTTAGGGGTTTCTAATACTATTTTTACATTTAGGGTTCTGTTTGCAAATTATTAAAGTTTAAATTGCCAATTTTTGTTCGAGTAGGGCCTCCCTCTAAAAATTAAACTGTTGGCTTGAAAAATCTGGAAAATTTGTAATAATACTTACTTTTCATGAAATTTCAAGGAAAACTATAACGGTTAAGATAAATCAGTTACGTTTAAGAGTTTTAGTCATTGACTCATATACAGTGTGAGTCACGTTAAAGTGTACATATGAAAATAGATGAAACTAGACCTATTTTTATCGACAAAAAAGAGGTCAAATTTTTTTTGAGATATTTTTTAATTTTTTATAGATTTTTTTTTCTTCCTATTACTAATCGAAAGAAAACGTAATAACTTTTAAACTAAGCGGTATATCCTGATAAAATAAAAACAGTAATAATGCTAAATAACAGGCGATACTAAAAAAATACATAAAATACACAAAAAAAGCCAACAAATAATAAAAAATGATACTTTTTGAATAAAATCTACTTTTAAATTCGTATTTTTTTGGGTTATTTGTTAAATTTCTTCAAAAATGCCCGTATAACAGGTGGTTTTTTATTACTTTGTATTATTCTCTATCGTGTTATCTTTGTTAAACCAAAAATCCCTACCACAACATTTGCTATGATCTTTTGAACAAAGGCCTGCCACAACATTATTCTCCGCTACAGGTAGAGACAATTTTAATTTTAACTAAAATGCTTATTTTACTTCAAAATCTTTTGTTTTTATTTGAAATCTAACTTGTCATTATCAAAATTACAAAACTAGAGCCATTTTCCGTTTCGTTGTTAACAAAGCGTTGAATGGCGCGCCCGGAGAGGCTTAGTTCAAACGATCATTGCAAACGTTATGATAGGGATAGCGACATGCGATTTTTGGTTTTACGAAGTTAATACGATAGAGAATAATACAAAGTAATAAAAACCACCTGTTATAGGGGCATTTTTGGAGAAATTTATCAAATAACCAAAAAACACGAATTTAAAAGTAGATTTTTTTCAAAAAGTATCATTTTTTATTATTTGTTGGCCTTTTTTGTGTATTTTATGTATTTTTTTAGTATCGCCTGTTATTTTTTTTTTTTATATGTATTAGTGCTACTGAAATGCACTTGCAACTGGTGCTAACGGTTTACTCCAATTGCAATGCGGTGTTTTAGATGGAGATTTTGTGGGTGTTCATTTATTAAAATCTTTCAGGCTGTTTACTATATAGGTTATGTATATTTTAAAGCTATTGGTAGTTTCTTCTTTTTTGGTTATATCTATTAGATTGTAAGGATTTACGTTAAGCAAGCGAGAAGTGGTTTCATGGATGTGGCGTTGTGTGACGAATCTATGGCATTGTGTAAGAAGATGTTCCCATGTTTGTGGCGTTTGGTCGTCACAAGGACAGTGGTCATCTGCGACGATTTGGAAACGTTTTAAGTAGCTTTTGTGATATCCGTGGTTGGTTAACACTTGGGTAATTGCGAAGTCCGGTCGGATGATCTTTGTGAACTTCCGTAGGGTGTTGAACGAAGGCAGGAGAGATCTTATTTAGCATTATTACTGTTTTTATTTTATCAGGATATACCGCTTAGTTTAAAAGTTATTACGTTTTCTTTACAATAAGTAATTGGAAAAAAAAATCTATTAAAAATTCAAAAAAAATCTCAATAAATTTTTGACCTCTTTTTTGTCGATAAAAATAGGTCTAGTTTATAGATTAAACTTATTTTCACTATGTACGTGACTCACACTGTATTATAAAATTTCTTAATCAGTAAAAATTCCTTAGTAGAAAATATAAAAAATGACTTAAGATGAAGTAATTGCTTGCTTCTGAAATATACAGGGTGGCCAAAACAGTGAGGTCTAAAAGAAAAATTTAGATTTCTTACATCAAGGTGTACCTAAATCACCCCCATGTATATTATACGATTGTGCTTAGTTTAGGAGATAGAGTTAATTTTGTGATATTTTAAAATTTTATGACCTAGTAGGCTTTAAACATTTTTATCTTTTTTTTGGGTTGACTTTTTTCAGATTTCTTTTTTTCGGCAGATTTTTTATGAATTGCAGATATTTGAAAAAAATAATCACCTTCCTATCTTTGATTCAAGATACAAAAGTTTTGCTAGAAACATTAAAATTATGCTTTTATCAGAACACTATCAAATTTTCAACTTAAAAGTTTAAGTAAAAAAATTAAATAAAAAAATATTTTTCAAAAACAAGCTTTTAATGCTCTAAAAAGAATAAAATAAAACAAACCCATCAACTTATTACTTTACTCAATTTATATGATTAAAAGCTTGTCGCGAGATTTACTTGTATAAAAAATACATTAAATACGTAACTTGATCTTGCTAAAACTTTGATCTTAGAAAAAAATCAAATAGTTNTGTGCCATCGCCGTAGTAACACTTCCGATTTTTTTAGATATTCCTTGGCCAAAGGCGTTCCAATTATTAATATTTTATCATCTAATCCTTCATCAAATAAAAAAAAGTCCTCGACAAGGCTATGAGGTAGTTTCAATTCTTTTAGATTTTTTATGGTTGTTTTGTCCAAATTTAGATAATCTTTTCGGGCTTTGAATAGTAAATCTTTTTTTTCTTCAAACCTTGGTTTATCGTGCTCTTCTAAACAATTTACAGACTCCATAAAATTTTCATAGATCTTTGGAATAGCTAGGTTCCAGATTTTCGCACACTTTCTTTTTACAATCTTCCATCAGTCCGTCTATTAAATTTCTTTTTTCATCGGCAACACAAGTGTGCTTTCCTTCTTTTATATCGTTACTATCGTTTAGCGTAATAGACGTACTGCATTCATTTCTTTTAAAACATCTCCAATTTGTTGTCCCATTTTTATTCTTCTGCACAAAATTATATCGGTAACCAGCTCGCAATACCTATCACAGGTTTTCCTTTTTTACCATGAATAATTTTTAGTATCAGCAAAGATGATTATTTATTGAACTAATTTTCTGAAAACGCAGACAATTCAAAAATAATATTTCAATAATTGACATGAAAATGTCAGTCATATTTTTAATATGCACAATATACCGATCTTCTTCAAATCAAATAGCCAGTATAATAATTAAACTAAAGAGTACTCATTTGTCCTAATAAATAAATATTATAATATATTTATTTTCAACTTTTTAGTGCCGGTTTTTGGAGTCTGTTTTAATTTTTTTGTTAAAATTAATTTATTTCATGATTTTTAGTTGTTTACTCCTTGTTATTCTATAGTTTTGAAGTTTGACCTTTCATCATCAGCTTACCTAAAAAACCTGAAGTAATACAACTGTAGGTATGTACATACGTACCTAAAATATTTAAATAATTATTTAAATATTTTAGGTACGTATGTACGTATGTAATAAGGAGGTTTACCTTCCATCATCACCTCGTCAATATTAGGTGATGACTACCAGACGCATATACTTGAATCACTTTAGAATCAATATGAAAAGCGATATATGTACGTGCCTATAAAATTTGAGGGTTGCCCTCGATTTCTCTAGGATCCCATCATCAGATCCTGACTTGGTGACAATGGGGCCACCTTAGAAGTGTACCCTGTCAAACAAAAAAAGAATTGAAATTCGGTCCACAATTGACGGAGTAATCGGTGAACATATATAGAAAAAAAAACATACATACAGTTACAGCCGAACCTATTATTATAATCTCCTCCCTTTTTGAAGTCGGTTAAAAACGGATTTTGAGACGTTGCGTTGGTTATAAAAATCATTTTTTTCTTGACTGTACAAAATCCGTCTTAAAACGAATCTGTCGTATAGAGAATCTGTCGTAAACCTAATCTGTCCTAAACAGAATCTGTCCTTAACCGAATAAAGGATTAATACCAATAACACTGTACAACAGCATGTCTGATAATTGGGTTATGTTACGTGATATTAGTCCAATTTTTAAAGACGATTTCAAATCTGTGATTGAATTATCTATATCAGCTCTGGTTAAAAATGGGATGTGTACACCTAGCGGATAGGTAGGTATCTCTGCCTGTACCTACTATTGAGGAGATACAGCCAAAGACAGCACCCGCTAAGTGCAAGGATTATTGCAGAGAGGTGGGACCTAAACCGGGTCTATGGGTGGGAAATTGCTGGAATGGTTGCCGGGATATTGATGAGACTACGGGACGCCTGCCACATCAAATGTCTCATCTTGATAACTCTCACACTCGCTGCTCACTAAATGGGCCGCCCCATTATAAGCTGCCGGGTGGCAGCGAGGGCAGCAACATTTGTGTGAACGGTTTGTTGTCAAGAGGTGAGACTGCGGGGCGCAAGATCGCCTTATCGGTCAGCATGCCCCCGGCGTTATGACATTTTACGCTTCCAACCTGGAGCATAGCTTCTGCTCTTGCTACTCCACTCCTGGTCGACCGGTTAAGGCAAGCCAGAAGGCGAGGCGACAAATCAATCCGGGCCATCTGGAGATCGGGGTCTGAGCTGTCGCCACGCATCTACAGCTCGCCACTAGCTGTCCCTGCGATTTTATCATTATTTACTTTTCGTTTCTTTTCTCCACCTTTTTAGGATGGGTTATTACATCTGTTATGCGGGCCTCAGCCAAGCATAACAGCGTTAAATGTTATAAACACAAAATTTTGTAGTCGTTCATTTTACTAGGGGCACAAATTCCCAAAGGTTTTATCAACTTCC